GACAGTGATTTTTCTGTGTGTCACAAAGGCATTGTGCACTGGAATGGATGCCAACTAGCACGCGAGATATTGATGTGCACAAAATATGCCAAATATCAGTGAGGAGGCAGGCCCATACATTATACAATACGAACATGTGCACGAGTGTGAGCTGCCAAATCAAGCGCAAGCCCAAAAGTAGCAACAAATAAAATTTTATGCGCTGTGCGAAAAGTTTTCCTTTTGCATAACGCCCAGCAAATACAACAGCCACAACACAGGAGCATCATTGGGGAAGGCAATGCCAATTTACATGTACAATGCAAAAGTTTCGATTTTATTGTGTGGGAGTGTTGGTGGAGAAGGAGATGTTCCTTTTTTTTCGAAAAAATGGAGGGGGGGAGAAGGAGTGGCTTTTTCGGGGCGTTTTGGTTGAGATGTCTGATTCTGTTTGTTTTCACTCTGACAGCCATTGGAGATCGAAACGTTCTGTGCGCTCCACGTTCCACGATAAACACAAAGGGCAGCAACATCAAGCGATTGCCGCTGCCGGCGATGGACAAAAAGTCAAAAATAGTTTCGAAACGCCATTTGTTGTACTTATTTTCGGGAATGCCAGTTAAGTGGAGGGACTTCATTTGCCATTACACGCTCAAACCTGTTTGAACGGATCGATGAAACTTGTGTGTTTCAGTTTTAAATGGTTGGCCAACCCAAAGGAGATTGTAGCTTAAAAATGTTCAAGAATTGGTTCTAATAGAATTGCAATGTGGGGTATTAATTAGAGAGATTTAAAAGGTCGTTTTAAATTTACATACTTTCCCAGTAAAAGTGCATGGATTTATACAAGCTCGTTTCTGATTATAAAACCACAGAGTCATCACAATTTCTATCTTTTAAATTGTGGCAATACTTCATGGAAGAGCTCTAGCTGAACTCTTCGGAAAGCAGATAAATCGTTGGCAATTTCAACCATGCAACGCATCGCATTCTACTTATGCACATCTGCTCAAGCCGAACAATGAATGATACGGATGCACATACATACATACTCTATACATATAGTACATATAGTATATGCGCCCTAATGCAGTTTATACCCACAATTTAACATGGTCAGCTACCGCAGATGCAGTACAGTTCCTGGCCATGGCTAATTTGCATATTGTCTGGGTCAATTGCATTACAGAGACGCAGCATTCCAGGCGAATCCTAATCAATTGGATTGTTGTGTGTTTATAAACCGAAGACTAATCAGTCCATCATTACGACTAGCCTCGGGGAATTGCAAAATTAAAGCACTGTTTTGCAGGGGGAAAGTAAGATAAGGAATATTTTGACTTTAGAAACGCTTGCTGTTGTGAATTTGGATGGGATAAAGCTGTGCAATGCAGTGAAATCGCAACGGAGGTGGCGGGTCAAGGCCTCCAACGTATTAGCGGACCCATGACAGTTTAAATTGCCACAGAGCCACTTTTTTGCGCTGCGCTTTTGTTGCATATTTCAGGGCGCCGCTGCCCATTGCTCTTGTTGGCCAGGAAACACAACGAACTGCCAAATGGCTTGCGCAAAGCGGAAGAAAAACTAAAACAAATGTCAGTCGTAGTTGACGCGTTGCCACCGACCACCAGTCACCAGCCACCGGAGCGGTTCCGCAGCAGCTTCCCCCTTTCTCTACGGGATCCCCAGGATCTACTCTTTCCCATCCTGCAATCCTGCAATCCTCTCCCCACTTCCCCTCTTCCCCCCCGATCCCCGCTGGCTGCCAGTGAAATGCAAATGTCATTTGCAGTTGACACTTGACTCAGCACTTCGCACTGTCCTAGGGCACTTTGGGGTTTTCACCTGCGTCTTCGCGCCCGCTTTCCCGCTTTCCCCACCCATTTACTGCATTTGGTGGCACAATGGCGCTGCCTTCCCCCTTCACACCACGCAGACAGCGGCAAATAAAAGAAAGTCAAATAAAACAAAAGTTGGGGGGCCAGGTCAAAAAAAATATAAATGTAGAGGTGAGCGCGGGGAATAGGGGAACAGGAAGGCGGGAAGCGAAGGGGTATGGGGGAGGAGGGAGGGGCGACTAATGCCAACTGAACATGAATAAAGTCGTGGCCTCTTGGGAAGCTGCTACCGCTGCCATGTCGTCGTTATTCTCGTGGTCGTCATTAGGAGGGCAGACGTCAAAGTATGCGCTTTGTTTTTGCTGCGTGCCATGCAGCGTGTTAATAGCCAGGCACCGGGCTCCAATCCACCAAGCACTGCACTAGGAGAAATATCCCTTCATTCTCTCTCAAAATTCAGATAGAGAAAACAATTAAAAATAAATAAAACTTTATCCAACAACTTCAAAAGAATTGGGCTTTACAAAATATATTAACCCAATTGATTAAAAAATATATTTATATCTGTAATTTATTGTTATCTGTATTATTAACTTCCAAAATTTAAAAAATTATTTAAATATTTGTTTGAGTTTGAGTTTCAATGTAATAATGTAATGTAAAAATGACAGCAATTGTTTAACACAAATCAAAAAGAAAATAAACCAAAACAAATAATCTTAAAATTCCTTATTCATATTTTCTCGCTGTGCAACACCGTGAGGCATTAAACCGCTTTCCGCCCAAAAGCCAGAAGCCGAAGTTGACAGAGCCTGGGAAGGGGGCGTGGTGAGGGGGCCGGGCGGACCACGTGGACCAAGGGCCACGGCAAAGTCGAGTGCTGGAGTTGCTGTCGTGTGGCGAAAGTGAAGCTTGCACAGCGTGCAGCGAGTGGCTGACATCTCGTGTGGCTGCTGGCTGAGTGTTGAGCACATTAAATTGATGCGCTTGATGCGGATTACAAGGAAAAGGCGGCTTAAAGTGCGCAATTAATAAAGAAAACGCACATGAGAATTAAGAATACATAAATAGAATCTATTAAAATATCAATAACATACAATTAATGAAATATTAAACAAACCTTTTAATATTTGTATATTAAATATTAACAGGTGCATCGGTGCGTATGCGTAATTTAAACGCCGCCCTTTGGATTGTTCAGTGAACTTAAAATAAGCTTTACCTTAACTTTTTCAGGCATTTACTAACATAAATACCCACTAGGTGGCGTTACCTCAAGCTTTAATGAAATATTTAACAATAATAACTTAAGTACAATGATTTTCCCCATTAGAAAATTTATATTTCTAGGTGATATTACTTAATATGCACTAAGTGCTTTAAGTGCTTTTCTAGCTAAGTTAAGGCCACAAACATTCCACCCTATACGCAAATCAAGCAAATTCAATGTTGAACACTTGTCGTTTAGCTGGCGCGCAAGCGGTACACAAATCACAACACTCTGGAGACAATATCGGATTTTTTGGAACGTGATCACCAACATAAAAGGAAATATTTCAGCATTAACAAGGTATCAAACGATGAGATATTGAATATTTTAATAGGACTTGCAACGTCCAAAAACATCACATATTTATGCAATATAATCCTAATAATTAAAAATATCACTTCTCATTTAAAAAACGCACTTACAAATGTAATGTTTTTTTAGTTTCCAAAGGTGCACTTGTATGTTGTTAAAAGGCAATTATAATATTTATATTTATTATATTTATTTTTTGATTATTTTGTTTGTTTTTTTTTTTTTTTGGCAGAAGGAATTTATGTAGCAATGGATAACAACGATCCAACGCCCGAAAATGCACTGTGGTCATTGCAGGGCGGAGAGCGACCAAGTGCCGCCCAAAGACTCCATAACCTGACTTCGGGAGCAGGATCGAATCCAGCTTCCGGATTGCCCCTGCCACCGAACATCTTCACAAACCCATCCATCCAGCCCTCCAGTGTGATAAACCTCAATCATTCCACCGACGTTGTGATCGGTCCCAGGTATCATGGACCCGTGTCCATATACTATATGGATTACACGGAGGCACACGCCACAGCAGCAGGTGAGTCCCCCATTCTGGGAACAGGGGAAAATATTTTACCGTTTACTATCGGGAAATTCAATCAACAATTGGCTCAATTCATTAACATAATAATGAAATAATATGTGACAACTTTGATCAGTGAGGAAACCATTGATGGCAAATTAGTAGTTCGTTGCACTCAAATGAATGAGAGAGAGAGAGAGAGAGAAATACGGTTATCCAGTGTTTGTGGATCAAACATTAGCCACTTGCGATGCACATCGCACATTGCGCATACGTCACGTAGTACAAATGAGAGAGGGAGAGAGAAATGTGAGAAGAAAGAGTGCCTTTCCCTTACACAAAAGCAAGCGATATGGCTGCTTTTCGAGCGTTTTTGCCATTTCTGTTTCTGTTTCTGTGTCCCATCGACAGCTGCACCGCATTTCCAGTTTTTTGTTCGACGGGTTCAGGTGCGGTGGCGGTACCAGTAGCACTCGCCTGTGCAATTATCGGTCAATCCCATTAAAAACCATTATAAAACAATAAACATCCAGGCCGCTTCTGTTCCCCGGTATATTCTGCCCGCTAGCCGATAATGCTCAGTGTTGTACCATTTATCCAAAAATTGTGATAAAACTTCAATAGGAGCGCACGGCGCGCAGGCGACGTACTCCAGAACCCAGTTTAACACACTCCCAGGATTCATCAAGTATATATAAATAAAACATCATATCGCATAACTCTGACTTTCTACTCCAAAAAACAATATTTAGTTGAAGCAATAAGGGGTGTCAGATAAGAATCGTGCACTGAAGGAACATATTACATATTACATAGTGATACTTGATACTGATTTATAACTTGAAGTTGATTTATAATAAGTCTGTTTTCTAACTTTTGTTAAACAATACATTGATAAGCAAATTTTTAGCATAAGAAACAATCCCACTTTTTGGGCTCGGTGTATAGCAAATGCTAATTGATTGGCTTTCGCTAATTTAGGAATCAACAGTCACAATGCAAATGGCAATGGCAACGCCAACCGAGGCCGCGATAAAACGCCATCGCAGAGACTCACCCGGAATACCATACTCCTGATCACGCTGATCCTATTGGTCCTGGCCACCATATTGGTGGTGCTCTACGTGGAACTCAATCGACCCCGAGCGGAGTTGCCCAGCAACAAGGCCATCTACTTTGGCAACAACTACGACCACGATACGTGTAAGTGGGCGGGACTCGGATTGTCCTCATATCCAATTCAATTTTACAGTTCCGAATCTAGGAAACGGCCACCTGGTCATCGACAGGAAGCAGTGGGGAGCAGCCGAGAACACCCCCGCCCTGATCATTCCCCTCAAGAGACCAATTCCCTATGTCCTGATCACCCACATCGAAGAACAGTCGCCTTGCGAGAACATGGCCAAGTGCACCATCAGGATGCGAACCAACCAGGACTGCGCTATTGTCGAGAGGGGATTGCCGGATTTACAGTCCAATTTTTATGTAAGTAATTGAATTGATTTCCTAAAATATATGAGAACAAGAATAAGGGGGCTGTGCATAAAATTGGAACGCAAATTGTCAAATTTCCGAGTTTATTTCGACCAGGTTTCGGAGGAGGGCAATATCTACGTGGGCCGCGGCTGGGACTGGGCCAACACGTATGCGAACCAAACGTTGGGCGTTACCTTTATAGGCGACTTCACCCGCTTTAAGCCGTCTGCCAAGCAATTGGAAGGTGTCAAATTTCTGCTAGCCCATGCAGTGGCTAACCGAAACCTAGAGGCCGACTACAAGCTGGTAGCCCAAAATCAGGTAATAACGCCAGAGACTAGTGAAATCTAAAAATACACAATTAAACTATTCCAGACAAAGACGACGAAAAGCCCGGGGGCCTATGTCTATCAAGAAATCCGGAACTGGCCGCACTTCTACGGCTGCGGAATGGACGGGGCACCGGCTTGTGGCATCGAACTGGGCATGAAACCGGAATCGTGGAATGGCAAGCAATAGCAACAATAGACTTTTTACCAACTAAGTGTATCACCTGCGTCTTCGTGTCGTGGGCTCATGTCATCGTTATTCTCGTGGTCGTCATTACTTTGTTTATGCTGCGTGCCATGCAGCGTATTAATAGCCAGGCACCGGGCTTCAATCCCCCAAGCACTGCACTGGGAGAAATATCCCCTGATTTGGACAAAACGCAGATGGAGTAAAAATTACAACCAAACCAAACTGTAATCCTAAAGCTTCAAAAAATACATTGGCCCAATTGATATTAATATGCCTTTAAAAATATATTTAAATTTTTAATCTATTTTTTACTTACAAAATGTTAAAAATTAATAAAATATTTGTTTGTGAAACAAGAAAGAAAGCTAGCTTCGGCAAGCTGAAGCTGATATCGAAGATGGGCCACCCTGTACATAAAGGCTAAACCACATCACATAATAATTTTATATATTTTGTTCATGTGACAGCTATATGATGTAGTTGTCCGATTTTTATGAAATTTAATTCGTTAGAAAACTCTATATTCCAAAAATCATGCTTGTCTGATGGAGTTGCCGTCGTATGGCGAAAGTGAAGCTTGCATAGCGTGCAGCGAGTGTTGAGCGCATTAAATTGATGCGCTTTGTGCGGATTACAAGGAAAAGGCGGCTAAAAGTGCGCAATTAATAAAGAATGCGCATAAAAAAATTAAACAAACCTTTCAATATTTGTATATTAAATATTAACAGGTGCATCGGTGCGTATGCGTAATTTAAACGCCGCCCTTTGGATTGTTAAGTAAACTTAAAATGTTCTTTACCTTAACTTTTTCAGGCATTTACTAACATAAATATCCACTAGGTGGCGTTACCTCAAGCTTTAATGAAATATTTAAGAATAATAACTTAAGTACAATGACTTAATTATTTCTATGTGCTATTACTTAATATGCACTAAATGCTTTAAGTGCTTTTCTAGCTAAGCCCTATATGCAAATCCGGGAAAATCAACGTTGAACAGTTGTCGTACGGCTGGCAAGCAATCGATACACAAATCAGAACACTCCGGAGACAATATCGGATTTTTTGGAACGTGATCACCAACATACCTAAAAGGAAATATTTCAGCATTAAACGGTATCATACGATGAGATATTAAATACTTTGTTGTTTGTTGTTAAAAATCAATTTTAACATTTATTACTTTAACAGTGCTTGGTTAGCTTCAAAACAATTTTTTTTTTTTTTTTTTTATTTTTATTTGGCAAAGTAATTTATGTAGCAATGGATGACAACGATTCAACGCCCGATAATGCGCTGTGGCCATTGCAGGGAGGACAGCGACCAAGTGCCGCCCAAAGTCTTCACAATCTGACTTTAGGAGAAGGATCAAATTCTGCTTCCGAATTGCCCCTGCCACCGAACATCTTCACAAACCCATCCATCCAGCCCTCCAGTGTGATAAACCTCAATCATTCCAGGGACGTTGTGATCGGTCCCAGGTATCATGGACCCGTGTCCATATACTATATGGATTATACGGAGGCACACGCCATGCAAACAGCATCAGGTGAGTCTCCGATTCTGGGAACAGTGGAAAATATTTTACTATCGGAAAACTCAATCAACAATTGGCTCAATTCATTAACATATTTCTGTGGTAATAATAATATTGGCATAAATTGCATTATAAGAAATATGAGCTTAAAATTTTTAAGTATAAGTAAGTATAAGTATAAGAAGTTTATTTTTCTACTGATTAAAAAAACTTTGTTAAACATAAACTTGCTAGATAAAAATTAAAATATTAAAAAAAAAAGTATAGTATAAAAGTAACTTTGATCAATGTGAAAACATTTGAAGGCAAATTAGTAGTTCGTTAACTCGATCGTCAGCTATGGATATTTTATAGGGTCAATAATTTTACGGGAGGAACAGAACAATCAAGGTAATTGAAATGCAAATCGTGCGTTGGGGATTCCAGGAATCCCCTGATAATCGTACATATATATTAAAACTAGAACAAAGAGAGTCCCCTCTCAGTTGCATTGATATGAAGAGAGAGAGAGAGATTGAGAAATACGGTTATCCCGTGTTTGTAGATCAAACTTTAGCCACTTGCGATGCACGTCGCACATTGCGCATACGTCACGTAGTACAAATGAGAGAGGGAGAGAGAAATGTGAGAAGAAAGAGTGCCTTTCCCTTACACAAAAGCAAACACGAAACATGTCAACCAAGGGAAGAGCGAGATGGCTGCTTTTCGAGCGTTCTTCCATTTCTGTTTCTGTTTCTGTGTTCCATCGACAGCTGCGCCGCATTTCCAGTTGTTTGTTCGACGGGTTCAGGTGCGGTGGCGGTACCAGTAGCACTCGCCAGTGCAATTATCGGTCAATTCCATTAATTATAAAACATCCAGACCGCTTCTGTTCCCCTAGTATTTTCTGCCCCCGCGCTTGTTGTGCTAATACCAATGATTCAGCGGACAGTTAGTTATCGAAAATAACCGATAATGCCCAGTTTGGTATCATTTATCCAAAAGTTGTGATAAAAGTTCTCCCTGAGCGCACGACGATACTGATTCATAACTTGAAGTTGATTTATAAAATGTATAAAAATGATATTAAACCAAAAACAATTTTAAGGCCTTACAATTTAATCTTTATTAAAACAGTGAAACCAGAGAATATACAAAACATCAAAAAATACAATACATTGATATGCAAATTTGTAGCATATGAAACAATCCCTATAAATTGGGAAAATTGGGCACGGTGTATAGTAAATGCTAATTGATTGGCTTTCGCTAATTTAGGAATCAACAGTCACAATGCAAATGGCAATGGCAACGCCAACCGAGGCCGCGATAAAACGCCATCGCAGAGACTCACCCGGAATACCATTCTCCTGATCACGCTGATCCTTTTGGTCCTGGCCACCGGATTGGTGGTGCTCTACGTGGAACTCAATCGACCCAGAGCGGAGATGCCCAGCAACAAGGATATCTACTTTGGCAAAAACTACGACCACGATACGTGTAAGTGGGCGGGACTCGGAATGTCCTCATAGCCAATTCAATTTTACAGTTTCGAATATAGGAAACGGCCACCTGGTCATCGACAGGGAGCAGTGGGGAGCAGCCAACACCACTCAAGCCCTGATCATTCCCCTAAAAAGACCAATCCCATATGTGCTGATCACCCACATCCGAGACACATGGCCCTGTGTGAACATCTACCAGTGCACCCTCAGGATGCGAAGCAACCAGGATTTCGCTATTGCCAAGAAGGGATTGCCGGATATACAGTCCAATTTTTATGTAAGTAATTGAATTGATTTCCTAAAATATATGAGAACAAGAATAAGGGGGTAACCCTTATCAAATGGACTTTTCAAATAGCATTAATATAAACTGTGCATAAAATTGGAACCCAACCAATTGTTGACAATGGAAAGTTGATTAAATTTTATAGATCCTAAATATTTTTCAAGTTTATTTGCAAAAAGAAATCCCGGCACGTGCCATTTTGGGCAATTAGCTTTCCGCTTACGCAAATCGTCAATTTTCCGAATTTATTTCGACCAGGTTTCGGACGAGGGCAATATCTACGAGGGCCGCGGCTGGGACTGGGCCAACACGTATGCGAACCATTCTTTGGCAGTTACCTTTATGGGCGACTATGGCCGCTATAAGCCGTCTGCCAAACAAATGGAAGGTTTCCAATTTCTGCTAGCCCATGCAGTGGCCAACCGAAGTCTGGAGGTCGACTACAAGTTGGTGGCCCAGAATCAGGTAAGAACGCCAGAGACTAATGAAATCTAAAAATACATCATATAACCATTGCAGACAAAGACGACGAAGAGCCCGGGGGCCTATCTCTATCAAGAAATCCGGAAGTGGCCGCACTTCTACGGCTGCGGAATGGACGGGGCACCGGCTTGTGGCATCGAACTGGGCATGAAACCGGAATCGTGGGATGCCAAACAATAGCTACAGACTTTTTTCAAACTAAGTGTATCAGCTGCGTCTTCGTGCCCGCTTTCTGCAAATAAAACAAGAAAAGAAGCTTATATACCCATGCAGTCATCAAATATGTCGAAACAAATACATAAAGGCTAAACAACATCGATGCTATGACGGTTTTTCTAATAATTTTCCAAATCTTGTTCATATGACAGCTATATGATGTAGTTGCCAGATTTTGATGAAATTTAATTCGTTAGAAAACTTTATATTCCAAAAATCATACTTGGCTGATGAAAAGCAACTATGTATGTTGTAATTTTATTTCCGTTATTTCTATATATATTCTTTGATCTTTCCTGTGGCAGCTATATGATAACGTTGTCGGATTTTAATTAAATTTTTTCTCGATTCAACGGTTATTAAAAACCCCATATTTTTAAAATCATGCTCGTGAGATTAAAAACAACGATGTTATAATTTTTATACCCTTCCAGAGCAAAGGGTATTATAATTTCAGCGGAGCGGTCCACGTGGACAAAAGTGTGGCAAAAGTAAAGCTTGCACCGAGTGGCTGACATCTTATATGGCTGCTGGCTGAGTGTATAGCACATTTAATTGATGCGCTTAATGCGGATTACAAGGAAAAGGTGGCTCAAAGTGGGCAATTAGTAACGAAAACGCATAGGAAAATTAATAATATATATAATCTATTAAAATATTAGTAAAATAAAATTAATAAAATATTAAACAAACCTTTTAATATTTGTATATAAAATATTGACAGGTGCATCGGTGCGTATGCGTAATTTAAACGCCACCTTTGGATTGTTTAGTGAACTCAAAATAAGCTATAAACACCACTATGTGGCGTTACCTCAAGCTTTAATAAATTATTAAATTATTAGAACATTTATATTTCTAGGTGCAATTAATTAATATGCACTAAATGCTTTTCTAGCTAAGCCTAGGCCACATATATTCCACCCTATATCTAGATCATGGAAGTTCAACGTTGAACAGTTGTCGTTCGGTTGGCACACAAGCGATACACAAGTCACAGTACTCCGTAGACAATAACGGATTTTCTGGGACGTGATCACCCACATAAAAGGAAATATTTCAGCATTAACACGGTAATAACGATAAGATATTAAAAAAATATGGAATATATCACATGTTTACACAAACTGTCCTAAAAATTAAAATTTCAGAATGATTTTGACAATTTAAAACATAGTTTTCCATAAAAAAAATTGCATTTAAAAGTGTAATGATTGTTTAGTTTCCAGAGTTGCACTTGGATGTTGTTAAAAAGCAATAATAATTTTTACTACTTTAAGAGTGCTTGGACAGTGCTTGGTCAAAACAATGTTTCTGTTTATTTTTTTCCTTTTTTTTTTTTACTAAAGTAATTTATATAGCAATGGATGACAACGATTCTATGCCCGATAATGCGCTGTGGCCATTTCAGGGAGGACGGCGACCAAGTGCCGCCCAAAGACTTCACAATCTGACTTTAGGAGCAGGATCAAATTCTGCTTCCGGATTGCCCCCTGCCACCGAACATCTTCACAAACCCATCCATCCAGCCCTCCAGTGTGATAAACCTCAATCATTCCAGGGACGTTGTGATCGGTCCCAGGTATCATGGACCCGTGTCCATATACTATATGGATTATACGGAGGCACACGCCATGCAAACAGCATCAGGTGAGTCCCCTATTCTGGGAACAGTGGAAAATATTTTACCGTTTTCTATCGGAAAACTCAATCAACAATTGGCTCAATTCATTAACATATTTCTGTGTTAATAATAATATTGGCATAAATTGCATTCTAAGAAATATACATAAGTAAGTATAAGTATAAGAATTTTATTTTTCTACTGATTAAAAAAAAAAAACATAAACTTCCTAGATAAAAATTAAAATATTAAAAAAAAAAGTATTTTAAATCGTTAAGTCATAGAACGTGTTTTTCCACACTCGAGATGAATTTCGATTAGATTATAACAAGACTTGTGATCTGATTACTAATTAATTGTCTGAGAAATACTTTAAACACTAATTTAAGAACAGAGAGTTTGTTTGTAGATCAAACTTTAGCCACTAGCAATGCACGTCGCATATTGCGCATACGTCACGTAGTACAGATGAGAGAGGAAGAGAGATATGTGAGAAGGAAGAGTGCAAATCGTAAGTATGTAAAATGTGATATGGTAAAAAGTTGTTTGTTCGACGGGTTCAGGTGCGGTGGCGGTACCAGTAGCACTCGCCAGTGCAATTCTCGGTCAATCCCATTAAAAACCATTATAAAACAATAAACATCCAGGCCGCTTCTGTCCCCCGGTATTTTCTGGCCTCGCTTATTTGTTTTGTATCATTTATCCAAAAGTTGTGATAAAAGTTCTCTCAGAGCGCACGACGATACTGATTCATAACTTGAAGTTGATTTATAAAATGTATAAAAATGATATTAAGCCAAAAACAATTTTAAGGCCTTACAATTTAATCTTTATTAAAACAGTGAAACCAGAGAATAGTATATAAAACATCAAAAAATACAATACATTGATATGCAAATTTGTAGCATATGAAACAATCCCACTTTTTGGGCACGGTGTATAGCAAATGCTAATTGATTGGCTTTCGCTAATTTAGGAATCAACAGTCACAATGCAAATGGAAATGGCAACGCCAACCGAGGCCGCGATAAAACGCCATCGCAGAGACTCACCCGGAATACCATTCTCCTGATCACGCTGATCCTTTTGGTCCTGGCCACCGGATTGGTGGTGCTCTACGTGGAACTCAATCGACCCCGAGCGGAGTTGCCCAGTAACAAGGCCATCTACTTTGGCAACAACTACGACCACGATACGTGTAAGTGGGCGGGACTCGGATTGTCCTCATAGCCAATTCAATTTTACAGTTTCGAATCTAGGAAAAGGCCACCTGGTCATCGGCAGGGATCAATGGGGAGCAACCAACACCACTTCCGCCCTGATCATTCCCCTTAGGAGACCGATCCCTTATGTCCTGATCACCCACATTGGAGAACAGGCGCTGCCCTGCGAGAACGTCTACCAGTGCCTCATCAGGATGCAAACCACCCAGGATTCCGATATTGCCCAGAAGGGATTGCCGGACTTACAGTCCAATTTTTATGTAAGTAATAGAATTGATTTCGTAAAATATTTGAGAACAAGAATAAAGGAGTAACCCTTATCAAATGGACTTTTGCTTTCCGCTTACGCAAATTATCAAATTTTCGAATCGATTTCGACCAGATTTCGAAGGAGGGCAACATCTACGAGGGCCGCGGCTGGGACTGGGCCAACACGTATGCGAACCAGACGTTGGCCGTTACCTTTATGGGCGACTACACCCGCTTTAAGCCGTCTGCCAAACAAATGGAAGGTGCCCAATTTCTGCTAGCCGATGCAGTGGCCAACCGAAGTCTGGAGGTCGACTACAAACTGGTGGCCCAAAATCAAGTAAGAACGCCAGAGACTAATGAAATCTAAAAATGCATAGTATAACTATTCCAGACAAAGACGACGAAAAGCCCGGGGGCTTATGTCTATCAAGAAATCCGGAACTGGCCGCACTTCTACGGCTGCGGAATGGACGGGGCACCGGCTTGTGGCATCGAACTGGGCATGAAACCGGAATCGTGGGATGCCAAGCAATAGCTACAGACTTTTTACCAGCTAAGTGTATCACCTGCGTTTTCGCGCCTGCTTTCCCGGTTGACCACCCACCGCCCACTTACTGCATTTGGTGGCACATTGCCGCTGACAGCGGCAGATAAAAGAAAATATAATAAAACAAAAGTTGGGAGGCCAGGACAAAAAAAATATAAATTTATTTTTACAGCATTTGCTTGCCGCAAATCAAAAAGAAAATATACAAAATAAATAAACTTAAAATTCTTTTATTTTTTCCCTGTGCAACACTGTGAGCCATGAAACCGCTTTCCGCGGAGCGGTCCACGTGGACCAAAGTGAAGCTTGCTCAGCGTGCACCGAGTGGCTGACATCTCGTGTGGCTGTTGGCTGAGTGTTGAGCACATTAAATTGATGCGCTTGGTGCGGATTACAAGAAAAATGCGGCTTGAAGTGCGCAGTTAAGTAAGAAAACGCACAAAAATAAAAGAGATATAGAATTTATTGAAATACCAGTAACATAAATTTAATGAATTGTTCATAAAACCTATTTTTATACCCTTGCAGAGCAAAGGGTATTATAATTTTGGCCAGAAGTTTGCAACGCAGTGAAGGAGACACCTTAGACCCCATAAAGTATATATATTCTTGATCAGCATCACCATCTGAATCGAAATACGTCTGTACGTCTGTCCGTCTGTCCGTCTGTCCGTCTGTCTGTCTGTCCGTCTGTCCGTCTGTCCGTCTGTCCGTCTGTCCTCCTGTCCGTTTCTGCCCAAACTAGTCTCTCAGTTTTAAAGCTATCTTGCTGAAACTTTCCCAAAAGGTGTGTAGTTATTGCACGCAGTATATAAGTCGGAACGGCCCGGATCGGGCGACTATATAGGATAGCTCCCATACAAGAGATTGAAATACAAAATTCTAACGCCGTTGTTTTTAATCAGAACGACTTGATTTCTTCCACATGGCGTTTTCTAGTTACTATTGAGTTTCGGGTTAAATTTTATCGAAATCGGATAACTCTATCATATAGCTGCCATAGGAGAGATCAAAAAATATATATAGAATTAAAGGAAATTAATTGATTACGTCATTGTTTTTCATCACACGACTATGATTTTTTCAGTATCAAGTTTTTTAACTAGCCTTGGTTCATAAAAAAAATTTCATAAAAATCGGACAACTATATCATATAGCTGCTATAGGAAAGATCGAAAAATCTATATAGAATTAACGGAAATAAAATGATAATATCCTTATTTCTCATCAGAAAATCATGATTTTTGGAATATAGAGTTTTCTAACGACTCTTGAATAACAAATAAAATTTCAGCAAAATCGGACGACTATATCTTATAGCTGACATATGAACAATATTCAAAAATATGAAAAATTAATAGAAAAGTTGTCGTTGCTTCGATGTTGTTTAGGCTTTGTGTATTCTGTTTGAAATATTTAATGACTGCAAGGGTATATAAGCTTCGGCTTGCCGAAGCTAGCTTCCTTTCTTGTTATATTAAATATTGACAGGTGCATCGGTGCGTATGCGTAATTTAAACGCCGCCCTTTGGATTGTCCAGTGAACTTAAAATAAGCTTTACCCTAACTTTTTCATGTATTTGCTAACATAAATAACCACTAGGTGGCGTAACCCTTAGCTTTATTAAGATATTAAAAAAAAATTATACCTTAAGTACAATGACTTTTCCCATAAGAACATTTTTATTTCTAGATGCTATTACTTAATATGCACTTAATGGTTTTAGTGCTTTTCCAACTAAGTCTAGGGTAATATTCCACAAATATTCCACCCTATATGCAAATTATGCCTATATAAAAGCCTACAATTGAATATAAAAATATGCATGATTAACAAAAAAATTCCCCATTCACACTGATTTTCATTTCATTACAATAAAAATAGCTGCGCCAACTTCGGATCAGAGAGCGAACGGCACTTGAATCTCAATCACTATAGTGCCAAGTAAGTAAGCCACGAGAGAGGACTCGATATTTTGTTTACTTTTCAGTTTGAACCCCATCCATGGAAGTTCAACGTTGAACAGTTGTCGTTCGGCTGGCACGCAAGCGGTACACAAATCACAACACTCCGGAGACAATATCGCATTTTCTGGGACGTGATCACCCACATAAAAGGAAATATTTCAGCATTAACACGGTATCATACGATAAGATATTAAATACTTTAAAAGGACTTGATGCGTTAAAAAAGATCACATATTAATGCAAAATGATCTTAATAATTATAATAGTCATTTCTCATTAAAAAAAACGCATTTAAAAATGTAATGTTTTTAGGTTTCAAAGTTGCACTTATATGTTGTTTAAAAGCAATTATAATTTATTACTTAAACAATACTTGGTTAGCTTCACAACAACTTTTTTATTATTTTGCTTCTTTTTTTTTGGCAAAAGAAATTCATATGGCTATGGATAACAACGATCCAACGCCCGGAAATGCACTGTGGTCATTGCAGGGCGGAGAGCGACCAAGTGCCGCCCAAAGACTCCATAACCTGACTTCGGGAGCAGGATCGAATCCAGCTTCCGGATTGCCCCTGCCACCGAACATCTTCACAAACCCATCCATCCAGCCCTCCAGTGTGATAAACCTCAATCATTCCACCGACGTTGTGATCGGTCCCAGGTATCATGGACCCGTGTCCATATACTATATGGATTACACGGAGGCACACGCCATGCAAACAGCAGCAGGTGAGTCCCCCATTCTGGGAACAGTGGAAAATTTTTTACCGTTCACTATCGGGAAATTCAATTAATTAATTAACATATTTCTGAAGTAATAATAATATTGGTAGTAACTTCTATTATAAGAAAGCTGAGCTTAAAACTTTAAAATATTTTTATAAAGTAATAATTTTTATAATTAATTTTTTTTTATTATTACAACTCTATTAAACAAAAGCTTGCCAGAATAAAATTTAAAACTTAAAAAAAAATTTATTTTAAATTAATCATGGAACGTGTTTTTCGCAACTCGAGGTGAATTTTGATTAGATTAAAAGCTTTTGTGATCTGATTACTAAATAATTGTCTGAATTGGCAAATGTGCGTTGTCGCGATTTTTTTTATGCTAAACACTTTGTAACAAACTTTTAGTAAAAACTGACGGCATTTAAAATAATAAATTTGTTTGATCAGTGAGAAAACCATTGATGGCAAATTAGTAGTTCGTTAACTCGATCGTCAGCTATGGATATTTTATAGGCTCAATAATTTAACGGGAGGAACTGAATAATCAAGGTAATTGAAATGCAAATCGTGCGGCGGGGATTCCAGGAATCCCCTGATAATCGTACTTATATATCTAAACTCGAGCAAAGAGAGTCTCCTCTTAGTTGCACTCAGATATGAACAGAGAGAGAGAGAGAAAGAGCAAAATACGGTTATCCAGTGTTTATGGATCAAACATTAGCCACTTGCGATGCACGTCGCACATTGCGCATACGTCACGTAGTACAAATGAGAGAGGGAGAGAGAAATGTGAGAAGGAAGAGTGCAAAGCGTAAGTGTGTAAAATGTGATATGGCAAAAAGACAACAATAACAACAAAAGGCCGGCAGTGCCATGACGCATCCGCTCCACTCTCCCCACTTCCCCTTTTGCCTTTCCCTTACACAAAAACAAACACGAAACATGTCAACCAAGGGAAGAGCGAGATGGCTGCTTTTCGAGCGTTTTTGCCATTTCTGTTTCTGTTTCTGTGTTCCATCGACAGCTGCGCCGCATTTCCAGTTGTTTGTTCGACGGGTTCAGGTGCGGTGGCGGTACCAGTAGCACTCGCCTGTGCAATTATCGGTCAATCCCATTAAAAACCATTATAAAACAATAAACATCCAGGCCGCTTCTGTCCCCCGGTATTTTCTGCCCGCGCTTATTATGCTAATACCGATGATTCAGCGGACAGTTAGTCATCGAAAATAGCCGATAATGTCCAGTGTTGTACCATTTATCCAAAAGTTGTGATAACCGAGTGACAGCCACCGTGAAGCAAAGTGCCATGAAACTGCTGCTAAAAGTTCACTCGGAGCGCACGGCGCGGAGGAGACGTACTCCAGAGCCCAGTTTAACACACTCCCGGGACTCATCAAGTATATATAAAACACCCATCACATCACATATGTATCTCTGACTTTCTACTCCAAAAACAATATTTAGTTGAAGCAATAAGGGGTGTCAGATAAGAATCATGCACTGAAAGAAAATATTATTAATGTTTTATTTATCAAGTTTAAATGATTTCTTTTTACTGAAAATGAAAATGGGTATGGAAATAATTTAAAAAAAACTTTTAAAGTGGTTATAGTTTAGTTCTTTTCATTAAATCAGAAAGATAAAAAAAATAAGTGAATATCAACTGATTCATAACTTGAAGTTGTATTCATCAAGTATAATGTTTGAATGATTTATAATAAGAATATAAATGACATCAAGGGAAAAAATTTTTTAAGGCCTTACAATTGAATTATCTTTATTAAATCAGCGAATCAACGGAATCTATAATATGTTTCTTAACATCAAAAAAACAATACATTGATATGCAAATTTGTAGCATATGAAACAATCCCTCTTTTTGGGCTCGGTGTATAGCAAATGCTAATTGATTGGCTTTCGCTAATTTAGGAATCAACAGTCACAATGCAAATGGCAATGGCAACGCCAACCGAGGCCGCGATAAAACGCCATCGCAGAGACTCACCCGGAATACCATACTGCTGATCACGCTGATCCTTTTGGTCCTGGCCACCGGATTAGTGGTGCTCTACGTGGAACTCAATCGACCCCGAGCGGAGTTGCCCAGCAACAAGGCCATCTACTTTGGCAACAACTACGACCACGATACGTGTAAGTGGGCGGGACTCGGATTGTCCTCATAGCCAATTCAATTTTACAGTTCCGAATCTAGGAAACGGCCACCTGGTCATCGACAGAGAGCAGTGGGGAGCGGCCAAGACCACTCCCGCCCTGATCATTCCCCTCAAGAGACCAATTCCCTATGTCCTGATCACCCACATCGGAGTGCAGTCGCTGCCCTGCGAGAACATCTACAAGTGCTCCATCAAAATGCGAACCATCCAGGATTCCGCTGTTGCCGAGAAGGGATTGCCGGACATACAGTCCAATTTTTATGTAAGTTATAGAATTAGTTTCCTTAAAAATATGAGAGTCCTATCTTACCGCCTAAAAAAAAACTTAACAAAATGATTTTTCAAATACATTAATATCAACTTTGCATAAAATTGCAACTTTACCAAATGATTGTTAACAACTAAAAGTTGACTAAATTCTAGAAGTCCTAAAAAATATTTTTAAAGTGTATTTGCAAAAAGAAATCCCGGCGCGTGCATTTGTGTTCCCGGCACGTTCACTTGCCATTTTGGGCATTTAGCTTTCCGCTTACGCAAATTGTCAAATTTCCGAATTTGTTTCGACCAGGTTTCGGAGGAGGGCAACATCTACGTGGGCCGCGGCTGGGACTGGGCCAACACGTATGCGAACCAGACGTTGGCCGTTACCTTTATGGGCGACTACGGCCGCTTCAAGCCGTCTGCCAAGCAAATGGAAGGTGTCCAATTTCTGCTGGCCCATGCAGTGGCTAACCGAAACTTAGAGGTCGACTACAAGTTGGTGGCCCAAAATCAGGTAAGAACGCCAGAGACTAATGAAATCTAAAAATACATAATATAACTATTCCAGACAAAGACGACGAAAAGCCCGGGGGCCTATGTCTATCAAGAAATCCGGAACTGGCCGCACTTCTACGGCTGCGGAATGGACGGGGCACCGGCTTGTGGCATCGAACTGGGCATGAAACCGGAATCGTGGGATGCCAAGCAATAGCTACAGACTTTTTACCAACTAAGTGTATCCGAGCACAAATTATATTTAATACGTATACTAAGGCGAGGCGGGCTTTCTTTTAATCGGTTATGCTGGCTCGAAAACACCGCAAACCGGTTGGGAGCGGGCGGGTTATTTTTAAAAAAATAAACAGATACTCGTATCGCCCTCTCTCTGGAGCTCTGTTTGTATAAACTGTCGCTCAAAAAGCTGGAAATTCCCAAGCCGCAGTCAACCTATCAGTACCAGTACCCCATTCTCCCACAGACAGGCTTTAACACTCATGGATTGTGTGTGTATTATATATGGACAGCCTTTGTGCGCCAGTACAACATCATTATCGGTAGCTTCACTTCACTTGTATTGATGGTGTTGTGATCGCTCTGGCTGCCTTTGTCACTTATCTGGTTTTCAAGTTAATTAATACACAATAATAATGATAATAATGAGGTTGTAAAACGTTGGGAATGAGCACTTTCCAACTCACAGGATGGCTAGATAAGTCTGAAATAAATTGTAAATAAAAATATTGGATATCCCAGTTGTGAGTGAGTACTTGAATCACAGAGCTTCAGTGTAAGGCTGTAAATATGTGATGAACATTTGTTGATATTTAACAGTCACATCCACATGAAAAATAAACTATTTATAACTATTCTGCGGTCCCAACTTTTGGACTTTAACTATGACGGCATTGCAGCATATACATATTAATAATTTGCACAGAAATATGGGTATACACTTTGACCCCTTATCGCTAATGGCCTTCGGTTCAATCCCCTAAAAAGAGTGACGTACATTCATTGACTAATTAAACACAGACCACCTTGAGAAAAATAAATTATACCTACTCCGCGGAACGAATTTTTGGCCAAAACAATGACGAAAGTGCGGCACGTGTAGCGACCAAAACAAGAAAAAAAAAAAAAAGCAAATGCGATGAGGGAACCAAGTTTGGCAAAATAATTAATAATAATTAACAAAAGAAAATGTGTAAAGGAATGTGTACAAAAATAGATACGCTGATTGATTTTGCAGCTGATGTAAAAAAATACGTCGGAAATGATTTACAATAATTACTAGTGTTTTTCGCAATAAAATGGGTCAACAAAGAATAGATTGCCTGGCGACACACGATATTCATAAATCACAAAGAGACAGTTTAGTTTGAACTTGAACTGCAGCCATACAAATAAATTATAAATGCCACGCTATTTCTTATCAGTATTTTAAAAACACTTAGAAACAGAAACTTTACTGTTTTCCGATCAAAGGTTTTTCTGCTTTCTTTTAGTCTCTTTTATTTTAAAATTATGGAAAAAGCGTATTTGAAATTCGTTCCATTAATTTAATGATCTTTACAATTTATCTATCAACAGTTTCCCGGCGCCCTTTTTATACTTTCAACGATCACCAAACCACCGCTCGTCTATAATTACATTAAATATTTTTCAACGCAAGCACAATGGGTCAAGCCGGAGTTCGTAGAGAAAAGCGATATGAGAAATGGCCAAAACCGATTGCGGGCCACAAACAAAACAATTCTCGGAAATGGTAGCGCAATTTAAAATGTTCAGATTTTTGCCCACACTGCACTGTCTGTACCAAAAGTATTGGGAGTCGGGAGAGAGCCGCAGATCTGTGTTGTTTATTGGTTGAACAAATACAAAAATATAATACGTATACGCCGTGTTGGGTGTATTGGTGTTGATGTGGTTTGGACGACTAAACAAAAACAAACAGTCATCGTCAGGTGGGTTGGCAGACTGGAGTGCCCGATCTCCAGCCACGGGGCGTAGATAGAAGTATCATTATGAATTTGACTAATATCTGGAAGATATATGTATATAAAAAAACCCGAAATCAAGAACAGGTTCCTCAACTTCGGTGACGCATGGAAAAACCGAAAAATGCAGGTCTGAAAATGCAGGTATCGGCATTTTTTCAGATTCTTTGGATCACTAACTTTCCGTTTCAAACTTGTTTCGGCCTGGGAAAAGTTGCCCCACTAGTAACTAATTAGGGGATTCTTAGTAAATTATTTATAAGCTCATTCAGAGAGCAAAACAAAACGAGTTTTACCGATGTAAAAATAAAATTAAATATGTTTATTACCATAAAAATAAACTTTTATAAAATTGATACAATTCAACATGATTAATATTTACTTTATAATAAAACATTTTTTAAAATTTGACTTTGATAAAGTTTTAATATGTTTTTGTAACATGGTACGATTTTGAAGTACATCAATTTTTTTGAGAATATTTGGGACAAGGTTTTCCAGCCACACTTTGAAAATCTTTTCAAAAAAATTATATTAAAATGCAAATCTGGAACGAGTTGAACTGCTATAAAATCGGATTCAAATCAAACAACTTTGGTTAAATAATAAAAAGGCGGCCGCTCTTTCCATCTCTCTCTTATTTCTCAGCGCTCTGATCTCTCTCTCGCGCTCCCACACGCTGCCATTTAGGCGCTCCAGCTTTTCAGGCCGCTGCGATTTGATCGGCGCTCAGTTGATCAGAGTCACTCGAACGCGCCGCTGCTCAACGATTCGGAATTGGCGCGCAAAATCAAAAAGAAAATAAATTCAACTTACAAGTTTTTTTATATAGTATACCCGCTCAAATATTTACGCGCTGCAACGGATTCGCCGTCAATTCGAAGTGCGTAAAATGTTAAAATATGTAAAGTATTACACACCTTAAAAGAAATCAAGTTAAATCCCCATAAAATGTGACCACAATTTAAATATAATTGGCCAATTGAAATAAGTGCATAAGTGTAAACTAGTTCAAGTGAAATATATTTAGTTTAAAAAACGATATTTACTCCAAAGAATGTTAATTACAATTATGCCTTCAAAGAGGAAACGGAATATTTCATGGAACAACAAGCTATCAAAACACCGATCAAAAATCAATTAATTTGCACATAGGCCATATTTAATGATAATTTCCAAAACACGTAAAACACCAGAGTTGTTAATTATTATCGATTCTCCAGACAGACAGACAGACAGAACCCAACCAACAAAGAGACACCCATACTGGGATGATGTGCAAGTATGTTAGTGACAATGGCCGCCGCTCAAATGCCAGTGTATTGGTGCGCTCAGTAAACTCTAAGTGCCATTCCGTTCCTCATTTGTAGCCGTTGTCGTTGCTCGGCATTTCGTGTTATCTCAAAAGCGCGCTCTGTGCCAACTCTAGCACATCGATGCCGACATATACACATATAGTCGAAACCCTCTGCCTCCACTCGATGTTCCTACGGGTTTATCAGAATTCCGGGAATTCCGTAAAAGAGAGTTACTGTCTTGCATTTGGCAACCACAAAATCTTCCACTAAGACGTCAGACAACATGCCTATTATGAACTTTTAACCCCTTGAAGATCTCAACCAAAAGTCTTCCACTAAATTTCCATGAAATTAAGCATATTTATCCAGCTAGTAGCAAGTGTATTTTGTGTTTCGAATTCGAATTCTCGGAATCCACTTAAGTAAATTTACTACGTCAATAATTATAGGTAATTTGCATAAGCCCCGCTTTCGTGAGAGCTTATTGACCAACTTTATGAATCGAACTGAGGGGTATACAATATAAGTGAGCAGTAAACTGAATATATCCGAGCACTGTTCGAAACCTGAGTGTCTTAATTATACGAACTTCATTGCTACACAGCAGCCGCACAGCTTTTATTCGCGTTTTGAAAACGCAACAGACCCTCGGCCAATTGAGCTTATCTTCAATCGTGTATACATGAACTATAAGCGTTGATTATACTTATAAAGCGCAATTCAACTAGCGAGTAAAATAACCTCTAATTGACTGTGATAACAATAAATAAATATTTTAATCACTTGCAATATCAGTGATATTAAATATATGTATATAGTGAAGTAATGACAAAAACAAAACAAAATAACTCAAACAACAAAGTATAAGCTTTGGAAATTTAAAATTTGGGAAGTGTATTAAAAAAATTTGAAATCTGTTCAAGAATCTAATCTTATAAATAAATCTTACTTTTCGAAAAAAATTTAAAATAATACTTAATCACTGATATGAAAAACATATTGACCAGAGAACTCAAAGTGCACTTTAAAAATTAAACCCATTTAACCCCAATACAAACAAAGACTTTCTTCGAAATTTATCATTTGACTTCCTCATTATCAGCCAGTTAACGGGAACAAAAAAAAAACCTTACCTTATTTGCAGATGCTCATGATGTGATGTTTGCTGAGAGCTGCGCCAAGTCAGCCGATCTGCCATAACAAAAAAAAAACTAATTCCCGGCGAAAATGTTCTACTCAATCTGCTAATAAAAAGGCCAACACAAAAGTTTAGTTATATAGAGGAAATAGAAACCTGGTTACGTAACTGCTTCGATAGATCGACATGCATTTTAGCAATGAAACGGAAATGAACCAATGTCCTAATCCGAAACGCAGAAACCTCGATCCGTCGGCACCAAAAAACTGTAGTACTTCGTCAACGGACTCGGGAGTGATACTAAATGAAAATGTGGCGACATTTCGGCCGAAAAAGGATGGGGAGACCAAAGATCGGGGGACGAACGAAGGGCAGTCCGAATCAAAATCGGAAACGAAAACGGAACCCAAACGCATCAGCATCGAGCACACTGTGAATATAACAAATGAAAAGGCCGGGAAGTCATCTTCGCCGACGGTTTCCATACGGAGCACCACCATTTCCATTGTGTCCATCGATGAGAATGCCGTGGACTCCAGTTGCATCGATAGTGATTCGGAGGCCGAGGCCGAGGATTATACGGTCCAGAAGCTGGGTCACCAGGTCACCTACCCGCCCAACAGTTCCCACCTGCGCGACCTCAATGAGGGTCTAAAGGTGGTAAGCCACCAGGTTGCTCCGGGTCAGTCGGACATTCCGCCGCCACTGCAAGCCGGTGTTGTGGCCAAGCAGATCCTGAACGGAAGCCTCGCAGTGGCCACGCCCACTTCTCCGCCGGGCGGAACGACCCAGGGCATCGGGAGCATCGCACTCACAAACTCCACTGACGTGACCTTCGGTGATAAGCACTTCTACGAGGGACCCGTCACGATACAACAGTTTCTCATCGACAACCGGGACAAGTGGAAAGCGGGCGAAGGACCAGGCGGTGGGCAGGATAATCCCGCCTTTAATGGCGGGGCAACCACAAATGGCACTGCGCCGGGTAAGTCAACCAAGGTTTTTAATTTGTAACATTATGTAAGTTTGGAAAATACCCAATGATCATTTATAGTCAGGCAATAAGGCAATAAGGTTAGACGGATTATAAAGGTATACAATAGGCCATAATTCTGTAATAAAAGAATATTAAATTAGTATTTTTAACGTTTTTCAGGGAAAATACGTTAGAATAAAATTTCGTTGCTTAATATTTTCATCACAAAAAAAATACTGTTTCCAATTAATAAATTGCTTTCTAAAAACATATTTCTTAAGTTCATATTTTGATATTCTTTGAATAAAATTCTATTTTATTTTTTACTATATTTATTTTGCTATACATCCTTTGAACATATTTATATTATCGTTGCAATTTCCTGCTGCCTTTGTTTACATTCCTTCTCCGTCTTTACCTTGCCTCGGTTTTGTTTGCTTTAATGGGCGATACTGAACGCGTGTGGCGATTTGTTTACCCAAACCAGTCAGACAGTTGGCCAGGTCTAACGATCGTGCTGCGAATGGTAGATTAGCAGATGGCCCACAAACCGCTTAAATTTATTAGATACGACTAGAACCAATACTACTTTGTACTCGAATAACGATACGATTGCATTTTATTCCACAAGGCCAAAGAATCTAAGAAACTCTTTTTTGAAAATTGTACGAAATTTCTTGTTCAGAAATGAGATTAGCAGTTTATTTTTTTAAATACATAAATTTTCCTAGAAATAAATAAAACAAATGAATAGTAATTATTTTATTTTGTAGACAGTGGACGGTTATAAAGAACAATAGCAAAAAAAAAACATAGTGGACTAATTAAAAAGAATTGAAAATTTTGTAAATAAAATGGTAATGCTTAATGAATAAGATCTATTTACTTCACAAAAGCAGAGCACGATTTCATTCACGAAAAGAAAATGAATCTATGCCGATCCAAGGTCTCTTGGCTCGTAAATCAAAATGGTGAAAACTCGCAATAAATTCTTAAAAAAAACAATACCGGCTGCCAACATGCAATTGTTTACTTGAATGGTTTTCACAATTACCATAATTAAAGCGCCAGCCAGAAATCAACATCCAATTGGAGTTTAACCAGGCGAAGGGGTGTAAATTTAGTTAGCTGTACTTAGGTAATCGTACTAAACAGACAGGTGATTCCCCTGGATCTGGCAATAAAAAGCCCTCGTGCCTCTTTGGCTTGGGGGTTTTTTTCATTGTGAGAGCCTTAAATACTTGCTAAATGAAAAGTACAAAAAAACAAGAGTGAAATATGCATACGCACTGATCAGAAAAAGTACCCACCGATCGGCTTCAGTTGTTCATATGGAGCGATCGAATAATGTCGTGGAACGCGCTTGAAATTTGCCTAAAGTGCCAAAAGTTAATCGTGGATAATTCCAATCGAATCAAGTGTGACAATGGGCTGTGCGGTCGATTTTGCCATCGTAAATGCTCGGAATTAAGTGAAGATCAGCTTAAAATGCTGGATACAGTGCCCAATTTCAGTTGGAAATGTGATAACTGTCTGGGCAAGGTGAAAAGTGGAGCAAAAATGAGCCAGTGGTTGGAAAAATCCTTAAGGGAACATGAAAAACGATTGGAGATCCTAGAGCAGGGCCTAGAAAAGCGTAAGGAAATGTTGAAATCAAAATTATTATCATTCAATTGTAGTTTAACAAAACAAAATGAATATTTGTAAATCAACTGTAATAGGGGAACCAAAAGTTCGAAAATCAAGTTTTTCTAATATTTTTTTAATTGTTTACTAATAAAATAAAAATATTTATTCAAAAAATATTTTGCACAAAGAGATAAGAATATTATCTTTTTAAATAAAATGCTAAAATGATGATCATTCATCAAAATTCTTGCAGATAGTTTGTCATTGAGTTTATTTTCAAAAATTTTTTACTAACCCACAATTTTTTACTATTTTGTAGGCTCAAAGCTGGAGGACCCGGTAGCTCCACCCATCTGTCCCTTTCTTCCTACCTCAATTGGTCGAAGGGCTCTCATAGCAACAGTGGCTTTTGCGTGTTTAACCATCCTGCTGTTCGTAATTTTGGCGACCACCACAAACCTTTTTGGGAAAACGTTGAACCAAAGTAAGCTCGGCGATGTCGACGATTCCAGACAAAATATTCCAATCAATTCAACAATAGGTACAGTTTTGTCCTCAATTAGTTGTGCGATAGTGCTTCCGACTAATCAATATCGAATTGGCAAATGTGCTCTTACATATCCTCTCGCACCAGCCCAACCAGCATGTAAATAACCCATCCTAATATCATACTGTATATAATAACTCATTGGGAAAGGTATGTCGTTATGTGTCAGTGCATTATCCATCTTTGTGTTCGAATTGCGCGTTTCTTATCACTGTATCAGTGTTGTGAAGTGAACCATGAATCAAGAGTGTGGCCTAAAGTTCAGTTGAATGGAATATGCCAGTGAATCGACCCAGTGCCACCTTTTCATTACGCCCACAAAACAATGGTAGTTTGATCGAACATCGAAAATGGATGTTTAGTTTTCAAATGTAGATTCTTTAAGTACCAGTATCTTTTAAACACAAAAAATTGGGTTTATTTTTTCGAGTGATCAACTCCATTGTTTTGGGCGCTTTTGTGCCATGCTAACCCCCCAAACTCTCCATGCAGCCGAGGATGTCGTCGATGATAAATCCTTAGTCATCTTAAAAGTGCCCGACTGGGGCGGAAGGCCCGCCAAACATAAGCTGGCTGAGCAGGTGCTGCCCATCAATCGGGTTGTTATTTCGCATACTGCCGCCGAGGGCTGCGAGTCTAGGGTAAGTTAATGCCACATTCCATATCCCGATCACTCAATACAAATAACTTCAACCAATTCACATTGCCCATCGAAGGAAGTATGCTCCCAGAGGGTTAAAGTGGTCCAATCCTTCCACATGGACAGCTGGGATTGGGATCACGTTGGCTACAACTTTCTAGTGGGCGGCGATGGTCGTGTGTACGAGGGGCGTGGCTGGGACTATGTAGGTGCCCATACCAAGGGCTATAATACCGGCAGCGTTGGAATATCCTTTATTGGAACCTTCACGAAGACAATTCCGAACGAGAGGCAATTGAAGGCCTGCCAGCTTCTTTTGGAAGAGGGCGTTCGACTCAAGAAGTTATCACCCAATTATCGCCTTTATGGCCATCGGCAACTGAGCGCCACAGAAAGCCCCGGGGAGGAACTCTACAAGATCATCCAAAAGTGGCCCCACTGGTCACACGAAATTTGATAAGTCATGTATTATAAATATTTCCAGTAAATAGAGTCTTTAGAAATATCAGAAAAATATGTTTAATCGATTTCATTTCCCCCAAAACCCCGACATGAAAATTCAAAAAGAAGCAAGTGTTCCAGGAGTTGAGTTGAATGGAATATAAACTTAATAATAATAATAACATACGAATGACTTGAAAAAAATATTTGGAAAATCTTTAAGGAAAGGTTGCAAAACTTTAGAAAATGTTTAATCTGCTTAGAATCTGTTTTCTTAAAGTGATTGGTGGTGATAAGTTATATATTTATTCAAATATCCAAATTAAACTTTTTTAATCATTTTAAAAATTAAATTAATACATTTATAATTGGACTTCATTTTTAAGTTTGCATCTTTTCCTAAAAAAATCCCAATAGTTAACTAACACAGCTGCTGTTTTTGAACCAGCCGATGATTCCGAGGTCCGTGTCGACGGAAAACTAGTGGTGATTGGCTTAAAAAGCTGGGGAGGATTGCCCACTAGGGGAAAACTAGAACCTCTTGACATCCCGGTATCCAGGGTTATTATCTCCGATACTCCGCCAGAGATGTGTCTGACAAGGGTAACCATTTAGAATATATAATCTTTAAAAATCAATTAAAAGCATCTCTTACATTATCCTTTAGGAATCCTGTTCTTATTGGGCGCGAGTGCTGCAAAGCAGGCACATGGACACCTACAACTGGGGTCAAATAGGTTACAATTTCATGGTGGGCGGGGATGGACGTATTTACGAGGGGCGTGGCTGGAACTTTGAGGGCGCCCACACGAGGGACAACAACAAAAGCAGTATCGGTATTACCTTTTTGGGAAACTTCCTACGAAACGAGCCAACTCCCAAGTCACTGGAAGCCTGCCAACTACTCCTTGATCAGGGTGTACGCCTAAAGAAACTAAAGCCCGATTACCAACTTCTGGGTCATCGGCAGATAACGGGAACCTTAATGCCCGCCGAGCGGCTCTACAAAATCATCCAAACCTGGCCACATTGGCTAAATTTAACTAAGACGTGGCCCGATCTTCATATGACGCATTAAACACATGTAAATGACTAAGTTAAGATTGAATAAAGGTGCCAAAAAAAAACGTTATTGAAAATTGATTTACATGAAGAAAATGTATTAAAACTATTAGCTATTAACCAATAACTATAACAATAACATCATAGCTATAAGTACGAATCATTGAATGGAATAAAGTAAATGACTAAATAAAAATTTGGTGTTTGCCTACTAACATTCATAATTGTTTCATTTAAATTCCCTAACTACTAAAGCGCTTAAATTTTCTAACCAAAACTAAAACATTGCTGTTAAAATCTAAAAACTAAAATAACCACTGATTAATTCACAGATCAGGACAATATTGGCGGCGGCTTGATACTGAGGTTCGTGGAGCGTCAGCAATGGCTCGCCCAGCCGCCGCAAAAGAAGATTCCCGATCTGGAGCAGCCCGTAAAGTTGGTAATAGTCCTGCCAACAAACTCGGATGATTGCAGCACGCAGGCGCAATGCGTTTTTCGGGTTCGCCTGCGACAGTCGTTCGATATCGAGTCCGTGCAGGAGGACGATATAGTCTTTAACTTCCTGATCGGCGGCGATGGCAATGTGTACGTGGGACGCGGATGGGATCAAGTGGGCGCCCACATGGCTGGCTACAACTCAAGAAGTCTTAGCCTGGCCTACATTGGTTCATTTCAAACGCGCAAGCCGTCGGACAAACAGCTCAGCGTGACTCGACTTTTATTGGAGCGCGGCGTTAAGTTGGGGAAAATTGCGCCAAATTATCGACTCACAGCGGCCAGTAAATTGGAGCCCAGTCTTACGCAATACAAAGCGGATGTCCTCTACCAAAGCTTTGGCAACTGGACGCATTGGTCGTGAATAGTTTTATGAACATTGATTTAAGGAAATTATTGTCAGTTTCGTATTGATATTGTAGCATATATAGGTGTTCTCTCTTAATTCTGTGGCATATTCGCGTTAGCTAGAATTACTATTCGTTTGGAAAAAAGAATGTGATATTAAATAAAGCAAAATGATTATTACTTGATGAATTTCAATCATGTCAGCGGGTCAAAATCTAACTGATAATCGGGGATTTTATTTTAGGTAATGTCTGAAACGACCTGAAAGCGGAAAAGCTGAGTTACTGCGTATGTCTATTCGCAAGATGCCGTGCTAACTAGATTTTGTCTTTCCATTCCGAGAGTTCGGGGGACTCCCCATTCTTTTAATACAACCTGTTTGTCTTCTTTGTTTTGGCTCGCTTATAATGGGCGATAACACCATTACTACAAAAGCCATTCTTATTATTAAAATTCATAATTTATGATTTATTGTCAAAAAACGTTTGACTGTGGTTTTTGATTTAAAGGTAAAATATTTTTGAAATGATATTTACTTTCTACTAAAAGACAAACTATTGATTTCTGTGTCAATTTAAATTCAACTTAAATAAGGACATTATACATCGGTTATACACGATTTGTGTGTAAAGAGTTATGTACGTACAACATTAATAAATGTGGAATTTTTCCTCATAAAAGTACTAATTATAATAAAACAAAAATATAAATTAAAAGAAACAAACAATATTGACGTTGAATGACTTTTGCAGATAAGGATGTGCAAAGCTTTTTTTTTGCAATGCTGATACATATGTATTTTTAATTTGATGCTGACTAATTTCAGTGTGCAATCAGCTTTTGTTTTGACTAGGTTACATTTAATATTTGTATAGTATGGAAACTCTCGAGTTAAATGACCTTCTTGAAAATCAGGATAAGAGATTGAAAATAAAACGGTTATGGATAGTCGTTTTTTTCTTTTTCTTAATCACTCTACCAGTTGGATACTACATTTGGATCCGGAGTACGTGTAAAAAAAATCAAAGGGACTATTAATGCTTATCAGTTCAGTTTAGGTCACAAGAATGATCTTTTGATGATTGAACGTGATGAGTGGGGAGCTAAGGAACCCATCGAAAGGGAATTTCTAAATCTGCCAGCCACAACTGTAGTTATTTGCCACACAGCCACTGGCCCTTGTGAAACCAAGGTAAGAAATTATTAAGCTTAAAGTAAACCAAACAAATTATGCTATTATGAATCTTTTAGGCTGCTTGCATACGTCAAATGCAGACCCTTCAAGACTTCCACATGAATAGCCAATTTAGGTACGACATTAGCCTGAATTTCCTTGTGGGCGGCGATGGAGAGATATATGAGGGGCGTGGTTGGGATGTAAAGGCTCAGCATTTGAACGGTGATGGAAGTGTATCTATAAGCATTGCTTTTATTGGAACCTTCTCCAATGTGGAGCCTCCAGCACGACAAGTGGATGCAGCAAAGCGATTGATGCTCGAAGGAGTTCGCCGGGGAAAGTTGCACCAAGATTATCGCGTTTATGGCCACCGTCAATTTCAGCCCACCGAAAGCCCTGGCCAAAAACTATATGAGCTTATCAAGCAGTGGCCGCGATGGTCAACTATTATTAAGCATATTAGCACGATACCTTAAAATTTTTGAAGTCCACAAACTAAATTTGAATAAAATTAAGTAAATATAAAAATTGCATATTAAAATGAACAATATAATAAAGATTATCAAAAATTTTCTTATCAGACATTCAAAGCTTTTTTTATATATATTTGGAACACGAGGCTGACCAATCTCAGTGTCAATCGAGTTTTTGTTTCGAGTAGGTTATACTAGGATCGCCTAAAATCAACGAAATGGAACTAGAGGAAAATCGGGAAAATAAGGTGAAGAACAAGCGACTGTGTTTTGCAGTTATCCTGATTTTCTGTATAACTTTACCTGTGGGCTACTTCGTTTGGAATTTCTTCCAAGCTTCTTCCAGTGAGTCGGTACAATTAATTGAGCTTACGAATCATAAATATATATCAATTAATTTCAGGTCAAAAAAATGATTTATACATTTATCGCAACGAATGGGATGCTGAAATGCCTCTTAAAAAAGATTTTTATTTTATTGTGCCAGTCCCAAATGTGATTTTCTATCAGACACCCACCCTTCCGTGTAAAACAAAAGTAAGATATGATGTAATATACGGCATAGGAGTTCCAAATACTAAATATTTTAATAATTTGTGTCAGAAATTTTGCAAAGAAATCGTTAAGTTTCTTCAGGTCAACCACATGAGCTGGGGTTTGCCGGACATAGGATGGAATTTTCTTGTGGGCGGCGATGGAAATATCTACGAGGGGCGAGGCTGGGATGTACGGCCCAAACCTTTGAAGGGTTATGAGGCAGTATCCATAAGCATTGCTTTCATTGGTCTTTTCGAGGGTGTGGAGCCATCAACGCGCCAAGTTGATGCAGCCAAGCAGCTTTTGAAAGACGGAGTTCACCTCCAGAAATTAGATTCAGATTACTTTATTTATGCAGAACGACAATTTGAATTCAGATGTGGTTGGTGTGCTGACCGAAAACTATATGAGATGATAAAACAGTGGCCGCACTGGTCAGACAATCTCGAAAATTTGGCCAACTATGGTGGAAATCGTTTTCTACTTTTCCATATTTGAAAAATATTTATAAACAAATAAAAACAGAGCAAAGATCGTAAAGAACCTTTTTTGTGTCAGGCGGTCAAAACTTAACAAACAGTTTTAATCGGACTTTTGTTCCAAGAAACCGGAAAATAACATGATTTGGTACAAAAGATGCGAACAAGAGCTATAGAAATACCAAGATGAAGTATACGCCCCCTTGGCCAAAGGGGGTTCCCATTTCTTGGACTCCTCACTAGCATTTACGATCTCTTTCTAATCCCAAGTGGGCGGCGTTTGAAGATCACTCACCCTGTTCGGAAAATAACACCCTTTATAAAGCTTTCGAAGCTCACCAAATATAAATTTATTTATAGGTATGAATATGTCTTATCAAAGAGCTTATGAACTGCGCAGCCGCTGCGCAGTTTTGAACGCCGGGGATTTTTTCCAAGCGTCAACAGAAATAAACAACAATCAAGCCAACTTGTTAATGGGTCCGGCTCCGATCAGTTGGCATCGGACGTTCGTCTGGAGAGGAACGATCGCTGTTGGGTTTTCTATTTATAGTATATCGAACACATCTTAAGATGCCAAAAGCCGTGGCAACTGATCTTCCCGAAGAGCCGAGAAGTAACGTTAAGAGATTTCCCCGTGAGCTTCTCTATCTCAGCGCGATTCTCCTCATTCTGGTGGCTTTGGTGTTTGGCTATTCGTTTTGGGTTATGAGTGAGTCTCTAAACCGATCAAAGATTGATTGAAATTTAATTGTCGACTCAATTGTTAACCTGGTTTAGCCCACTCCACGAATTCTCCGAACAAAGGCCTGCATATACTCGATCGCAGCGAATGGCAGGGGGAACCCCCAAGTGGAAAGGCTCCACATATAAAATTGCCTGTTTCCAATGTAATTATCAGCCATACAGCCACCGAAGGATGCGATCGGGAGGTAAGTTCAATTTGGGATTCCTAAAACTGAAGTAGCTAGGTAACAAAGTATCTACTAGAATATTTATGACGCAAAATGAGTCATAAAATGTTTAGCAATTCCAATAACAAATATTTGAAGCACGTTTTAAGACTCAGCTTAAACAGGTCATAACTAAATAATTTTCCATTTCCATCTTTAAATAATTCAATAGATAAATGTATTTTTTTCTTCTAAAGTTGTTATCTGAAACACTTCTTGGAAAAGCCCATCGTAAGACCCACATTTTAAGACAAAAGTTTCTCTAAAAACCCCCATTTGGTTGATGATGTGTACCGAAAGCCAACTTCTTTTAAGAAAAATCCCCTATCTTTCATTTTTTTTGTTTTTGGACTTTTGAAAATTTATTTAGTGCTTTGACAAATATTTATCAACCTAAGAAATGGAGCGAGAGCTTACAGGCATTTTTACTCATATTCACACTTTAATTTTATATATTTTTCCAGGATGTTTGCATTAACCACATGCACAGCATTCAAGCATATCACATGAAATCCCTCGGTTGGGTCGACATTGGCTATAACTTTTTAGTTGGCGGCGATGGTCAAATCTACGTGGGACGAGGATGGCACATTCAGGGTCAGCATGTGAAAGGATATGGTGCTATATCCGTTAGTATTGCCTTTATCGGAACCTTTGTGAACATGGAGCCACCGGCTCGGCAAATCGAAGCAGCCAAGCGATTGATGGACGAGGGTGTACGACTTCATAGATTGCAACCAGATTATCGCATTTATGCACATCGTCAATTGAGTCCCACCGAAAGTCCTGGCCAGAAGTTGTTTGAACTGATGCAGAAGTGGCCACGTTTTACGCCGGATGCTACTTCATGTGAGAATAACTTAGGAAAGAAATCTTTTATTTATTAATTATATGTATTATATTTTTTTAGTGCGCCTCCTCAGCAATTCTACGTTGAAATTCGTTTCCAGGCCCTATTGGCTTGCTCAGCCACCAACTATGCCACTGAATCCTCTACAACTTCCGATTCAGAGCGTTAGATTCGTTTCCACAAAGACTGAAGCATGTTCTACACAAGCGGAGTGCGTCTTTCGTGTGCGTCTCCTGCAAAGCTTCCATATCGAGGGTATGGGGTATAAGGACATCAACTTTAACTTTGTGGCAGCTGGAGACGGTCATATCTACGAGGGCAGAGGCTGGGATCACAGCTGCGAGCCCTCCAAAAATGGAGATCAACAGGATCCACAGGAACTAATTGTCGCCTTTGTGGGCCCATCAGAAAGCAATAAAAAGCTAGCTTTAGATCTAATTGAACAGGGCATAAAACTGGGTCACATAAGCAAGGATTATAAACTAATTGAAAGCTCAGAAAAGTCATAGAAGTTGAGAGCAGGCGGGAATGAAGCTGTACCAGTGCCATGCCTGTGCCATCTTTCAAAGTGATAATAATTTAAGGACTATTTTAAGACACCGAAGATATCTCATTTGGAATACGTGACAATTATTTATAGAAATAAACATGCCTTTATTGAGTTTTAACAACTGCTATCTTTTTATATATCTCATTTGAACGACTACAACTAACATTTTTGAAAACATATTGCGATGCGTTTTTGAATAAAAAACCCTGACTGGCTACCACTTAACGATATATACAGACGACACACTTTGTGCTTACAACAATTGGCTAAATCAAATTCGTAATTGAAAATTTGGAACGCGAACGTGGCTACTACATAGAACTTAGAAAATTAGGCTACAGTTAGTGAGACGACATCCAATTGCAAAGGATTTGGTTTAGTGGTCCAAGATGCGCATGTTGCCCGACACGATCTTGTTTTCCAGAATGGCGCCGGCGGGAATATCGATACGGTCGCCATGGTTGGCAATAATGATCACAGTGCCCTATTTAATTATATAAACAAATTAGCATACAAAGGGCATCATCACAATGGCATTTAGAAACTCACGCGAAGGGAAACACCACGACCGAAGGTGACATCACCGCTCACGGTCAAGTGATCCAGCTCGATGATGTCCGGGATGTTGGCGAAGCGACCCAGGAACTCCTTCACCTTGGAGAAGTGATTCTCGCCCAACTTCACCAGCGGCGTGGTGGGGAACATGCGCTGCGGCGACATCACCAAGCTGCCGTTCTTCAGGGTGTATAAATTCGACATGACCAACAGCAGATCAGAGGACTTCTTCACGGGCAAGAAACGAGAACGAGGCACATTGATACCGATGGCGCCATCGAAGCACTTCATTGCCGCTCCCACAGCAGTCTCCAGCTGGATGACACGGGTTCCGTTCTCCAAAGTCTTGTTGTTCACAATGATCTCCATGTTTAAGGTGCGCTCACGCAAAACGCGATCAATAGCTATTTGAAACGAAAAACAGTCGTTTTTAAGGCTTGCCTTGGAATAATTACTTTGGTGGTGACTCACCTGCCAGGTTGGCCCAAATGTTGTTGGTGTTGAAGAACTTGAAGGTCTTAACGGACTTGAAGTCGTCCACATGCTCTGGAGGCACTTGAGCGATTTCCAACAGTCGCAGCTTGTTCTCCATTTGGATGAGAGTACCACCCTGGAATAAAAGAATTTAAATTAAAAACAAATCAATTACAAATTAATCAACAAATACGGAATCAGTTTTATAAATATTTCTCGATGTAGTGATTTTATACAGTAATCGTTATCTCACTATAACATCTTAATACCATTTATACTTCAACATTTCCTGCACAACTCTTACCTTAACGTCAGCACGGGTCTTGTCAGTGACCTCCATCACAAATTCCACGGGAGTGGTGGCCCGCTCCTCGCCCACCAGCTTGTTAAGAATGTTCAGATCGACGGTGGCGCCCAGGTTATCGATGTTAGAAAGGAAGCAGTACTCGCGGCCCTCCTCAATGAACTTCTTCAGCAGACCAGAGTTGCGGAAGGTGTCGTAGAAGTCACCGTGACCAGGTGGATACCAACTAAAAAAGGAATTTATTAAATAAAGAACATATTTATCTAAAATTAAAAGTCACTCACGCCTCCATATCCTTCTCAACCTCAAAGTCCTTGGCCACCGGCAGGTAATGCTCCCGACTGATGCGCGGGAAGCAGCTCTGGTTGAAGGTGTGGATCTGCACCCGGAAACCCTTGTACTTCCGCACGATCTTCTCGGTATCCTCGTCGGTGTTGAAGGAGTTCATCAGGACCAGCGGCACATTGGCATCGTAGGTCTTGTTCAGGTGCTCGATCTGCTGCACGGTCAAGTCCAGGAAAGTCAGATCCGAACGCACGGGGATCACACTCTTGGGACCATGGCAACCCATCGAGGTGCCCAGACCACCGTTCAGCTTGATGACCACCAACTTGCCCAGCATGTTGCGAATCTAAATACGAATCGAAATCGTTATTACCAGTGCCACAAAGTTAAATACCAATAAGGTGCTGGGTTAAAGAGCTGAGAGGAGTTGGTTAAGCTGCAGTGATAGCCGAATTTCATTAGGGTTTAGTACTACAGCGCAGTGTTTACAAACGAAATAAAACTAAAACTACAACAAAACTAGGTTCAAATTCTAAACGAAGCGTCCAAAGCCCAATAAGATTAGATTTGAGCCCATATTTTAACAAGAAACAGAGCGTCAGCGAGAGACACACATATATAAATATATAAATATATATAGTGAGAGCCGTGAAGCGTAGAAGTTTAGGTAAGGGAAAACGCTTTACCTCATTCTAGGTGCGATACACACGATTATGCATAGTATTTATAGGCAGACATAGCCATATTCAGTATTCAAATCAAAGAACATGAAAATATGCAAAGTTGGTAAAACAAATTAAGATAGTTGTAATATCATCGAGTTGGACCCAGTTTGTGATTTCGGTATCAAGATGTAATTCATTGACGGGACAACTTGGAGTGGTTTTTTTCGGGGTCTGGCGACAGGCCCTCCGCATACCTGCTCGTTTTTGGGCGACTTGAGATTCGAGTAGTTCATCACGGCGTTCTCCGGCAGCTTCTGGATCTTGTTCCACTCCAATGCGGGACCCTCTAAAAGGATAAATCGATTTTAGAAGATAATCAGTTTAAATTTAATAAGCTATACTTACCCTCCTGGATGAAGCGTCCGAAGAGATCGGCAAAACGTTCCATTTCTGCCTTGAGGGCAGGCTGACGGGCCTTTTCCGTGGTCTCCAGCAGGCGGTCCACATCGTGCTCCAAAAGCCTCAGGGCATCCCGTTTGGTCACCTCGTGGAACTCCTTGGAATCGGAGGGTGCTCGCTGGTGGCCACGCACCTGTTAAAAAGAAACACAAAATAAAAACCATAAGTTATACTTGGAGAAACTTTAAAGCCGCATCGATTAACGTGGCCAGCAAAGCGCATCTTTGGGATGCACTCAAGTGACAAAATTAGTGGAGGAAATGCTGACAAAAATTGTTAGCTATTTGTGGAGCTGTCGCAAGTCGAATTACAAGCTTGGGCTGCCACTCAGACGAGGGCGTTGCCAAATGCTCAGGATCGGCGACAGTTTGAATCCAAACCTCGTAATGACAAGTCGCTGGCTGCTATTCAGTTTGCTACTCTATTTGGGTGGCCAAGAGGCCTCCTCGGGTGTAATGGATAATTTCAATGATGGCTTGAAAATGGCCGGACAAATGTTTGGCATTAATACGGCCGCGGATGTGGCCAATCTGGTGGCCAAGGCCTTTGCCGGAAAATCAATGGCAAGTGTACCGAACCTGGTGAGCTATGTGCAAAAGAGCTTCGGAGGTCCGCCAACAAACGACGAGGACGAAGAGCAGAATGAGGATCAATCGGAGGAGCAATCGGAAACGGAAAATGCCCAGGAAGAGCCACCGGTTGAGAGCAGCACCAGAAGCCCTCCTCCAATTTCCTTCGACTCGGGACAATTGTTCACGAACATGCTGCGAATGGTGGGATTTGATACCCGCAAAATTGGAGCTCTAGCTTTGAATGCTCTGATTATGATTGCCCAGGCGGTGAGGTCCTTAAATCACAGCTATCATTTCACAAACAAAATTTTGTTGTAATACTTATAACTAAATATTCTTTCAGATTGGCAGCTCCTTGATGCAGGTAACCCGGGGCGGCGGAGGAACACCAATAGATGCTCAGGAATCCGTGTTCGAACCCAGTGACCATCGACCAAGGTCCCTGTCCATTGGTTCTCCCATCGATTTCTTCCTGCAACGAACCGATCGACATAGCAAACGACTAATCAAGGATATCATGGATCGGGATCTGCCGGATTATATCGTAAACATGATCGAGGACAAGGAGAATCCGAAAGAGGGCATAAATGCTGGATGCCTAAAGCTACTCATGTGCAAGGGAAAACCTCTTATTTGGGGCATGCAGGAATCTCTAAAGAAGCGACTGGCTGAAGAGCCCGAGGAACCCGAGGAATCTGACAGCTACTTCAACAAGCAAATATTCTTTAAGTACTTGCCCAGTCTGGCGGATTTCAGGAACCACAGTGCTAGCTGTGAAACTAAATATCACGAGGATTGCCCCAAGAATGCAACAACTGGGAGCTTCTTTTAAGATCACTATTCTCGTTAAAAATATAAATAATAATTCTGTTGCAAAAAGTTTTATAATAAATAAAATCAACGTGTTTAAACTGTTTTAAGTTATTTTATAAATATATTTAAACCAAAGAATTTACCTATATGCAATCTTATTTAAAAACAATTCTATCTATTTTTGTTTAACCGGGCCAAGGAAATGTAAATTATGTTTAATGTGCATTAATAATAGGGCAATGTTGTACGTGGACAAATCATATAGATATAGATACACTAATTATATTGTATAGTCTAAACAATTTTCCACTGGTCATCATTAGTTGACCCAACAAACGCTGACTATTTAGCCGTTTAATGATGAATTCGACATTCCGATCAAGTCAAGGATGATGCAGAGATAAGAGCCACCCAGTTGGGGTTAAAATTCCAACCTAATGTCCCATGAAACGACCTCTAAAATGCAATAGCCCTGGCAAGTTGTGTAATATAGTAATTTGCGAAATCGTAACTTTGTCAACGAGCGCCTCCCCTATCGCCCCAACTGATAACTAATCTGAATGCTTTATAAAAACTCACCATGGCTTTACTAATTCGGAATCTAATCATTTAATCTAAGCGTTTCTTCCGTCATGTATTTCTTATTTCTACGTCACATCTGATAATCAAATCTCGATTTGACCATTAAGAATTTCTAAGCATTCTTAGCTAAACATGTATATATTTTAGTTCAATGAACTCTGGTAATGTTCTTATCACACTCTGTGCCTCTGGTCGCAGCTTATCGACTAATAGCATGGTAATAATGATTGGGAAGGAAAATATGCAATCGTTAAATAGGCAATAATGGTAAGGTAAATATTTTTAGTTTTTTTTTTTTGGACCTGACATTGACTTTTAGTTAAGGTTGTCACCAGCTCTTGCAGATGGCAAACCCAATATATTGGAAGTAAACAAAGCTGAAAGCTAAACAAAGCAAACTCCACAGTGTAGGCAAAGATAAGACGCCACCTAGCGTTCGGATTGGTTTTAAGCCTTGTCAATCAAAGCAGACAAATGCAATTGACTTATGCAAAATAATTGCTGTAATCGCTTTTATTTTGCTGTTTACTTTTCGAAATCATTACGCAAAAGGCGGAATAATGAGCAGAGTGTATGGAGTGTAAAAACACGTGCCACGCCCACGGCGCCTCCGACGATGCCAGACGATTGCATGTGGGTTATTTATAAAGCAACCGCACTTGCCGCCAATGAGCCATTTGAGCCCCAGCGATAAGCCAAAGTCAGAGGGCAGGTGTTTGAACTTCGGCAAGGTCAATATGCTCAAGATAATTTGCTAACGTTTCATTGATGCTTCTGCTGGCGCCGCTTTTTTCTTATTTAGGTAAAGGCTTTATGCATTTCATCATTGATTAATTGCTTAAAAACCTCTGAGATCACAGAGATTAAGTAAAACGCCAATGAGGAAGTGGATTAGATAAGGTATGAAACTGTTCTCGGCTATTTAATAATCTTTCACTGCCCTGAAGATCTCTGATCCAACATTTTCCCATTACTCACTCTGAATTTTTCAATTATGTATTACAATTGTTTATGTTAACTAATATTAAGTACGCAATTTCCTTATATCCGCATATTTATTTGTAAAATAATATTAATTTAATCGAACTGTAAAGGCAAATAATAAAAAATCAAGTTAAACAATTTTGGTTTGCGTTTTATGTATGTGGCCTCTCAGATAAGATACGTGGACAGTTCCGAGGAGAAAAGTGCAAAATGATCGGCGGAACACCTTAATTAATGAAATCTGATTTTGTTTAATAAAAATATTTTTCCTCGAAAAGAACTGATTAAATTGTGAAACATAGACAGTACTCTGTGATTAGCGGAAGAATTTGTCTTTAAGTTTAAAAAACGAACAAACACAACAATGTTTCGGTTTACGGGTCGAATGATAACCTTTTGAATTTACGCGTTAAATATATTACATGATAAGAAGGTATTTACAGAGGTGTGTTGGCCATATTTCTGGGTTTTTTTTGTAGACAGCTTGTACATTTATGTTTTTCAGTTGGGTAAAAATTGCAGTTCCATTTCCTGATTCAGTGGAATTTTTAGGAAGCAATTTTCCATATCATATTTTTTATTTTTGGATTAAAATACATAACGACTTTGCTTGTAGTCTAAAGTAAAATGACATTAATTCTTTGAACTTGGCCCTAATATTTCATTTCGAAGGTATTATTCTCGGTAAAGTTAGAAAACTTACGCCGGCGCGCTCCAACAGAACGTCAATGGGTCTTATGCCGGAGGGCATTGTGAATTATGGAGCACTACTTTAATAATATTTCACTATGGGACACCGAATCTTAACTTTTCTAGTGTTTTGCTTTGCACTCGCGGCAAAATCGAGAGAAAAGAACGCAATGCGGAGAGGCGCGAAATGAAAACGAAGCTATCTGGTCGAGTGTGCAATTGAAAATAAAGCTGAGTTCCAAACGAAATTTGAATTTCAATACGAATTTTTCCAACACGCGGCGGCCGCGACGTCGCCGTCGACAGCAGCAGAACGACACAACGCGGCGACAAGTGAAGTGAGCCAGCAACAAGTGATAGCAAAAATAAAAAAAAATTACTACTACGAAAAAAAACAACAAAGCGGCTGTTACGGGAAGCGTGTGTGTGTAAGAATTGAGCAAAACAAAAATAAAACAAAAGAAACAAATGGAAACAACAAGCCGGCACTTAAGAGGGAGTGAGGAGGATGGCTAGATAGTTGGGAGAACAAAAAGATGAAGAAGAAGAGGAAGAACAAGAGAGCTGCGGGTGCTTATCAGTAAAAATAAAAACAAAAACAATCCGTTTACGGATTCCGTTACAGTGGCGGATACAGGGGGGCGATAGGGGCGATCGCCCCCCTCAGCTTCTGAAAAAGGTGCTTCACTGGCGTGAACTTCGGAAACCTGCGTGTTACAGCGTGTCGCCAGTCCTTCCTTGCCCTACTTCTTCCCTTGTCTATCGCTCCTCCTAAGACTAACTAGCCTAGCATTGCTACATACGCATTCCGAAATCAGTATTCACATCGAGAGAGTTATAGAAAAGTTTTTAAAAAGAGGGAAAAGAATAATGGAATTCGCCATTTAGATTAAAATTAATTAATTTATTTGTACAGAGTGTTTTGAATAAAACTGCGTATAATTTTTGATTATTTGCCACCTGCTACTTGCATTGTTTAAAAAAAAATTTTGATCGCCCCCCCCCAGGCAGATACCTGTATCCGCCCCTGTTCCGTTACTACGATTCCAGGGGCATGTTCTAGTGATAAGAGAGCCGCTATTAGATATATTCCATGATTACGGCAACTGACAACAAAACCAAGCTAATTTTTGGTTTCCCCAAAAGTATACACGCACACACCCACAAAAGACAACCATACCGAAGGCGACACATGCCTGTGCTTGGAGGTCACTTGAAGGTTAGCGCTAAGCAAATGCAATACATAAAGCAAAAATCCAAAGACAAAACCAGTCAAGAGGGCGCAACTATAACTAAGGAAATGGGCCCATAAGTATAGCCCCTCTGGAACCGGCAAAAATTGCTGCATATACTGGAATGTGCAAGCTGCACTCACACAATTGCAGCAAGAGCGACTTGGAATAAAATCGCGGAAGAGAACGCTTCCCTTTCCTCTAGCTTTCAAAACTGTAAACTTAACAACTCACCTTTGCTTCGTGTGGAACATCCAACATTTTTAAGGGTTTTTAGTTATTTTATCACTTGTGTAATTAAGCAATTAAGTGTCACTAATTTAAATAATTTCGCAGCTTCTACACACGCACGCCCAAGAGAGAAAAGAGAATGAACCCGCAGCTGTGCGATTAAAATGGTTTTCCGCAGTTTGATTGGCGCTGCCCCAAATCGACGATACCAACAACAAGAACGAGCGATACGATATTAATTTATTGGACCAATTTTGAAAGATCTCAGAGGTCTCGGCTTCGTCGCACAAAAACAGCTGTTGCGCCTAACAGCACAGGAATTTAAGACTACAGCACGCTGTTAACCAATCAGCTGTGCCAGCAAAACAAAGGGTGAAGGAGAGGCCGAAAAACTACGCAAAATTCCAAAGAAGCCCTATTAGACGGGAAACCCAGAAAAAGCCAACAAACAAGTGTTATTTGTTCAGGAAATTAGTAGTTAATAAAAATTGAGCATTATGGGAGTCTGTCTATCTTGCTGCGGCCAAAGTGCCGAGGAAACCAACCTAATGCCCTCGCCTGTGAGTTTATGGTTTCTCTAACTGCAAAACAAAGAATATCTTTAAAAAACCTGTATGATTTTTCCAGGAGGAGCGAAGACAGCAACAATTGGAGGCGGCGGAAAGGCGTCGACAGGAAAGTGAAAACCGAGGTATTAAAAATCCAGACAGTGTACGGAGACAGCAACAAAGGGCGGAAGAACTCCAGCGAAGGGAGGAGGAGGCCGCCCGACAGGGTCAAGGACAATCCAATCTAAGGGTGATTCATCAAGAACCTCTTTCTTCAAGTACCCTATATTAAATGTCCTTTTATTTCAGTGGCAAACGAGCTAAAAGCAGGAGGATCTCCATCCTCTACTTGCTTATAAAGCACATCCACCTTTTCCCTTCTGTGTCGACTGCCTTTTGACCAGGCCTTTTGTACTGCTCCGTATTTGTACTGTACTATATACACCCCCTGTATTCCGAACTTTGTATATTTTTAATCTTTGTAAACGGCCACCTTCGATTTACCATAATCCGAAAACTTTTAGCTGGCGACCAAATTGTACAACCAAAAATAAAGTGCACACCAAATTGTTATCAGTGATTGAAAATTCAAAGGAAAACTTGAATAATTATTGTGAGAGTTAGTTGAACTTATTCAGAAAATGAATTATTACTATCATTTTGTCATGACCAGGGCTAACAGAGTTATGTTTTTAAATGAAAAAATATTTATTTCCATATTTTCGCCTTTTTTCCTATAAATCCATATTTTGCACAATCACTTGAATAAATCCATATTTTGAGCATTAAAGTGTCTGAAAACCTATAGAAAGATATGTTTGGCTCAAATATTAAGAAATTTCTGTCGTTTTCCTTATACTTTACTAATTGAGCGTTCATTTTCATCATATAAACACATATTGAGTGACAAACGCCGTAGTTTTGTTTTTACTAATCTGACACAACATGTCATATTGTCTGCAATGATCTTTGAGACAAACGGCGCACTTTTGTTTGTAGCGATTTCTAATTGTTCATTGTCATAAAAAGTTGATATGATCGATATAATCGTCTGCGTTTATTCATTTTTATACCTATATTTATCCCTTTTTTCGTCTATACTACTTATATTTATCCATATTTATCCATTTTATTCCATATTTGTCAACTTTTTTGTCCATATTTCGTCCATATTTCTCTATTTTTTCGTCCATAAATCCATACATATTTTTACGTTTTTAAGAACATAACTCTGTTAGCCCTGGTCATGACTATTTGAATATCTACATAGCACTTAAATCAATTAATAAGCTCGTTTTACATATCATACAAAAATATTTAAAACATTTTAGACTATTCGTTGCACATGTACGTATATATAAGTGTTTTTCATAGTATCCGGGTGCATTCTGTCTACAAATATATATTTAAATTTATATGCTTTGCTAAAAATTTCACCGGTAAAAATCTTTCAATGTTACTTGTCATAGACTTTAAATTCGAAATGCCTTTATTACAGAAATACTATACTTGCGGTGTTCAAAGGTAAGTCAAGGCAAAGGTAGAGTTTTTTATTACTTTATGTTGTAAATAATATTTATATTGATAATAAAATACAAATATTTCACCTGACAAATAAACTTTTCTGAAGGTTTGTAAATATATTAACCGTTATCTAGTGGCGGATCCAGATCAGTATTCAAATAGTTCGATAGTTTGAACCGATGTTTATTCACGTACGGATACTCGCTACGTCGACCTGGTAACACTGCATAATGGGGGTGTTGATAAAAGGGGGTATTGTAATGGATTTGATTGCATTCCAAGGCCGAGCAATGACGACTCGTTAATCTAATAGAGGTCCAATCTCTTATATTTTGTTTACGCGAAGACCGCTCACTGTTTACACCCGTAATCTCCGCCGAAGAGGTTGCCACTCATCGGTTATCAGTAGTTATCAGCTAGAGAGACTATATATTCCCGCTCCCTGGCTGATAACATGGTTATACTTTCCGGTTATCTCTGTGTGAGTGTGTGACTTCTAGGCCCATTAGCTCCATTTGTTCATTGATCGACGGTCACTCGACGCGGAAAGTTACACGGAAAATCACAGCAAAAATGTCACAGGCAGCTACTCCGGGAATCAAGCGGGTGTTATCCATCCAGAGCCATGTGGTCCACGGATACGTGGGCAACAAAGTAGCCACTTTTCCCCTGCAGGTTTGCAACCTTGACCTTTGTCTCTTGGTAATTTGAACTCACTTTTGGTAATTACTTTTTGTTACCAGTTACTCGGCTTCGATGTGGACCCCTTGAACTCGGTGCAGTTTTCCAACCATACGGGATATAAAACCTTCAAGGGTCCCGTTTCCAATGAGAAGGAATTGGGTAAGGTCACAAAGTATTTGCGTTATTTAAAGTCAAGTTTTTAAACTCCCTATAAATAATAGTTTGCATAGGGTTATCCTAGCAATTTTGTGTCCAGCTTAACGGTATCTGCTCGTCAAAAAAGAAAAGAAAAAGTTTCCAAGCAATAACCAACTATTCACAAATAAACATGAATGGTTATATTTAATTAACTTGTTGCATACTAAGGGAGTTTATTTAGTTTACTTTAAATAGTAGTAGCAACTATTTATTTATATTATTTATTCTCTTAATCTCTATTAGCCAGCATATTCGAGGGACTGGAGGAGAACGAATTGCTGCCGCTTTACTCACATCTCTTAACCGGTTACATTGGTAATCCCCTTTTCCTCCGCCAAGTGGGTCACATTGTAAAGAAACTGCGACAGGCTAATCCCAATCTGGTGTACGTGTGTGATCCGGTGATGGGTGACAATGGGCAGCTGTACGTGCCCAAGGAACTTCTTCCTGTCTACCGGGATGAGATCATTCCCCTGGCGGACATAATCACTCCGAATCAATTTGAAGTGGAGCTGCTCACGGAGAAGGAGGTTCGCAGTGAGGCAGCCGTTTGGGAGGCAATGGATTGGTTTCACAAGCGGGGCATCAAAACAGTGGTCATCTCCAGCAGTGATCTTGGACAGCCTGGTGTGCTGCGTGCTTTCCTCAGCCAACTGGATGGGCCCCGCCTGGCCATCGATATTCCGAAGCAAGGAGGCAAGGATCTGGTCTTCACCGGCACCGGAGATCTTTTCGCCTCGCTTTTCCTGGCCCACAGTCATGGCAGCAAGGATATAGCTAATGTGTTTGAGAAAACCATCGCCAGTTTGCAGGCGGTAATAAAGCGAACCGTGGCTGCCCTGCCAAATGGAGGAAATGGTCCGGTTAAGGCAGCCGAACGAGAACTAAAGTTGGTGCAGTCCAAAACCGACATCGAACAGCCACAAGTGCTTTTAAAAGCGCAGCGACTTAACTAAACCGGGAAAACATATCTGCACCTGGACATAAACGATTACCTTAAATATACATATACTCATTGTACTTGTTCACGGACAATAACCTTTTGATACCTATAAATCAGCATTTGTGTGCATTGTTATAACGATTTATGATCATTTTGAACACACAAAGTGACAAGCTAAGTACCATAAATAATGGATTATCAGCAGAGATCAAATTTATATATCTATGCTCGCGTTACGGACATGCTTTGATACCATAAGTTAAACTTTTATATGCATTATTATAACGACTAACTATACAAATATATAAAGTGACTATTGTAAAACTATAGTGACAACTTGTTGACATCTCAAAGACCCTAACGATACGGTTCTTTGCCCTTGGCGACCGACAAGTGGCTATAAAAGATTGCAGCCAGCCGGCGAGAAAAACAAACCCAAAATAGCAAACAGAAGATATGTGGCTGCCGCTTATCTTTATTGTTTGTCTCGTCGGCGTGAGTGGATCAGTGGGTGGTGAGGGAAAGCTGCCGGTGGAACAGGCCTTTGTACCCCGATATACTCCGGTGGTGGAGGGAAAGCGACAGGATCTGGATTTACCCGCCGAAGGAAGTCTCGACCAGCAGCAGAGACCTCCGGTGGTGGACAAGAAACCCTGGCGACGTGTGGAGTACGGCTACGATGGACTTCCCTCGGCTTCCTGGGCTGCTCCCTCAGCTCCAGGTGCCATCCTTTCCATACTGAATCCCCTGCTGGCACCCGGATTGCTTCTTCTGGGTGTTAATTTAGGAGCACTGCTCTACATGCTGCTAGGTCTCTTGGGTCTCGCTCCCCATCGAAGTGGCCCCACTAGCCGGGTGGCCCCGCATCCGGATGCCAATCCACATTCCTGGCCCGACGATCACATCTTCTACCGCCGAAACAGACACAATCTGGATGAGGGCAAGGAAACGGCTGTATATTTCTAGATATAGCGCGTAACGCAAGACTTTCTTTCAACTTATAAAACGTATAAAAAGAACATATATAAATAAATTCAAGGGTTAAGTTATGGGTCAAAAGAACTGAAAGCGAACGGGCATATTTTTGGAGGGGTTAGTGTTCTATCTATATCTATGGTTATAGCTATGGCCCTCACAGAAGATATGGTCACCAAGGCAAACTCAAACTAACGATATAAGAGCCCTACTTCTTCAGGCGGAACGAGGCTGCCCGATTGAACTTCACCAAAGGCGGCTCTTTACTGGACGATCCGAGGGGCTTTCGCGCCAGAGTGGAGGTGCCTGCAAGGGCTGTTCGAAACAAGATAATTATAAATATAATTTAATAATTATGTTTATTGTAGAACTTACTTTTTGCCATCAGCGCTCGTGGACTCTTGCGGACATAATTGGCGTTGTATTTGACATTTTCCTTGGCTAAAGAAGCCGCTGCCAACGTTCTTTGAAGGCCTTGGGCAGTAAAGTGATTCGATTTGAGCAGAGCTGTAATGGTAAACCATAGTTATAAAGGTTTTTTAATAGTAATTAAAAGTGGTAACGAGCATTCTGATTTGAATAAAATTACTTAAATAGGGATTAATTATGAATTATATTACTTTTCTTATCAGGGTTATAAAATAGTTATGGCAAATTAAATATAACAAGCTGATAAAACTGATAGGCCATCTTGTTTTCTACAAAATTAAATCTGAAATATACAAACATTAATTGTACATCTGGTAATTTGAAAATCAAAATACCCTTCGAAACAGTAAAAAGCTTCTCACATTTAAAAAGCAGAACCGTACCCTTCTTGATCTTTTCGTTGCCACCGCGCACGTTGTGGTCGGACAGCATATCGCTGATAATCCTTTGATGGGCGCTCCTCGGCTTGGTGACCGTTGCCGTGAGAGCTTTCCTGGCGCTACTGGTGCTACTGCTGGAGCTATTGATGCTACTGGTCGAGGGTGCGAGGACCTGTGTCTCGTTCAGGTTGCGTGGTCTCTTGAAGGTCAAGTGCGCGTCCTCGGATTCCGATTCGGTGTCCTGGCTGTCGAAGTCCTCCATACTTAGATGCAGATCGTCGTCGCTTTGGGCGGCTTGCCTCTGTCGCTTTCTAGCACTGGATGTCAGGCTGCTGGATGGCTCATCTTCATCTTCGCCGCTTCGCAGAGCTTCAGGCACCACCAGCGAATCCATCTCGGTCATTTTAATGTTGGCCTCGGAGTCCGCAAATCGCATCTTTCGCAACAGGCGCTCAAAAACAGCCTCTATTTCTGGCGTCAGCTTTTGTCCATCCTCGAGGCGATCGTACGTCTGATTAAGCACCTCGCAGGCTGCCCGGAACGACTTTCGCATCAGGTCTAGATTCTCAACCAGCTCCTGGTTAATTGCGTTCACGTGGCTGTTAAACATGTTTTGCTTGGTCAACTGCAGGTCGAGATCCTTGTACTTAACGTATACGATGAGGATCTGATAGGCCTTCGACTTGTTCACCTCTCGCTTCAGGCTTTCCAGATCCTGATACACTTTCTCCATTTTGCTTAGCCATGATGGCAACTCTTCCTTGTACTTTTCCATCTGGCTGGTCAGAGTGGTCATGTAATTGGCAAAGCGCCGGTAGTCCTAAAAAAATATAAATAATAATTTAATCTTTCTACATTTGTAAATAAAGTATTTACCACCTTTAACATTTTCAACTTTAAATTTAAATAAAAATATTTGATTAAACATAAGATTTTAAATTAGTCCGCCAACGTAAGACTTACGTTACGTAAGCATTCTTTACGTTTGCGTTTTTTACGAGTTTCAAACAACAGCTGATGCTGTGCAATCGAAAATCACTGCCGCATTTAATCCAAACAAAATAGCTTAAATTTAAATAAAATGCTGCGAAACGCGATGCATTTAGCAACTCTTGGGGTGCGCCAGACCCGAGTGATAAACTGCCCACAAAAACATCTTGCATTTCTGCAAAATAATTGTAGTAACGAAATAAACCTGCAAGTGGCGCGCGATTATGCAAAGGGCAAGGACAAAAAGAAGGAAAAAGGCGGCAAGGGAAAACCCGGCAAGGTGGAAATCAACGAGCAGCAGCTGCGCGAGATCCTCAACTTCGATGGACTTAACAGTCAGATGGAGAAATCCGTATTACAGATGAAGGAGGATTTTGTAAAACACCTTTCACTGCGCTCTACCAGCGGTGCGATCGATACACTACGGATTAAAGTCGATGGTCAGGAGCACGAGCTGCAGGAATTGGCCCAGATATCCCGGAAAAATCCCAAGACCATCATAGTAAACATGATAGGTTTCCCTCAAACGATTCCCGATGTGCTTAAGGCCATCGAAAAGAGCGGCATGAATCTGAATCCCCAACAGGATGGTACTACTCTGTTTATACCAATCCCAAAGGTAACCAAGGAGCACAGGGAGAACCTGTCGAAGAATGCCAAAGCCCTGTTTGTCAAATATCGCGATGCCATTCGTGGCGTGCAAAACGAACACATCCGCAAACTAAAGAAGCAACCGGAATTGGGCAAGGACGACGCCTTTGCTGCCCAAGCTCAAGTGACTGCCATTGCTGATCGGTTTATTTCGGAGGCGGACAAGCTGCTGGCCAGCAAACAGAAGGAGCTACTGGGCGACTAAAACCAAGACCAAGACTGATCCTGTTCCAAAAGCCTTTTAAATCTAAATACACACATGTTAAATAAAATGCAACTGTCTAATTATTAATGTATTAACGAAAACCCCTTACTTGTGAAAATATGGAAAAGGCTACTCACCTCCTGGCAAACTCGCTGATCGACGCACATTAGCTTTCTGAACTCTTCCAGCTCTTTTTTTAGGGTATGCCTGTAATTGATGTTCTTGATCTTGCTGCGCATACCAAGGACATGTTCCTGCAGCTGTTTGGCGGCCGAATATACAGCATCTATCTTGCTGTACCACGACTTAAGCTCCTGCGGATCGAAGCCATTGCTGCCCGCTCGCTCCAGCTGGTTAACCTTTGCCTCCAGGGTCTTATTACGCTCCTTGAGCCGCTCGTTTTCGGCCACCACCTCGTCGATCTTCTTCACATAGAACTCGGTAGGCATCTTTGACTTCAGAACATTCTGCTTAAGAGTTGTGCGTATCTTCTTTGCCCGACTGGCGTACTTCAGCGTGTTGTAAGTGTCTTCATAAGTCAGAGAGCTCATGGAGACATTTGCCACCATCAGCGTGCGACAATTGCCGCCCAGCGAGTCCTTCAGGATGCGTGTCAAGTTGGAGTCGCGGTAGGGAATGTGTTTTAGACCATCGGCAAGCTTGTTGATACAATTTCCCAGCGCCAACAGACTTTTATTGATGCTGGCGCCCTCCTTAAATCGCACACCAATTCCCTTAGTGCTCGCCGCTCGTTCACTGCCAGCCAGATCAATCATGGAAAGTTTAACAGTCCTTTTGGTGTCTGTCTTGCGTTCGGTTATCCGGATGTGCACCTGAAAGATGGCATGTGACCGAGAACTCTCAGCGTTCGCATCTGTGGGATGCTGGGTGCGATTGGAGTTGCCCAAGACAAGCATTCTAAGCAGCTCTTCGGCGCTGTAGATGGGCGTGAGGCAAAGACCACTGACAACCACGCCATTGGTGTCTTCACGGAGTTTAAGAGGACCTGATTTGGTCAGCAGATTCATCACATGCTCGTTATAGACCTCCAAATAAGATACACCAACATCGAACTTGCGCACATCACTCTGGGCTTGGATCTTATCGAAGAGATCTTGCATGGTGAGGAAGGTCAATCCCGGATGAGCTTCACTGCCTAACATGGTGAAGGTTTTGCCGGCGCCAGTCGCTCCATAAACAAAAACTGAGCAGTTGTAACTAAGGAAGGGTAATGAATTTAATTAGTTAAATGGGTTATGAAAGAATTGAAATTTTATTTACCCATTTAACACTGCGTCGACCAGCGGCGCCGTGCACTCTTCAAACAAATCCTGGTTGGAATTGTCTATATCGAAGACCCTATCGAATTCCATGGTCAACTTTTTGTTCATCCTTTTGGTAATATCACGGTATGGCTGTTTGGCTCCTTGGAAAAAGAACTCATCGTCCTCTTCGTCCGGATCAAAAAGTATGGCCGATCGATCCATCACTTTGATAATACTCCGCTGTTTTTGCTCCAATTCCCGGACATTATACGGCCGTACGCGAACCGCGACTTTAATATTCGTATGCTGCTCCGAAGGCATTTTCAATGAAATGCTCTTTGCCCGTCACTTTTAATACTTATTTTATCTTTTCCTGGTTTTTGTCCTTTTTTTCCAGCAGTTTCGATATCCTCGCACATATAATTTTCTTGTACAGCCTGAAGTGATCGTTGTTATTTGAATCGTTGCTATCGGCGCATCCGCTTTGTGGGCATCTTTATCTAATTTGCTTTGCGCGCTTGTTCTCGATTTTGAACTGTATTTCCAGGGCTGCTAAGGCTGCGATCGATAGTTATGACAGGGCTGCAAGTTGACAATGCTGGCTGTCAAATGGGTAATTTACACATGAATCTTGTGCAATTTTGGTAATGCTAAGCTCTTTTAGAGCGAAGTTAATTAATTTCAATATTTTCAAGCCGCATACGAAACTTTAGTGGGGCAAATGAATTCTTTTTTAACAACCCTTGGACACTTATTTAATATTTAATATTTAATGCTTTATTCGATCTTTTTTAAGGTGCTAAACCTTATTTATAATCAAAAAGTAATTTATTTAAAAAAAAACAAATTTACAAATATCGATTGAAAACTTCCCTGAACTCATATCGTTTCGTTCATCGCTTTGACTATCGCTCCCCTACCATCGCTAGCAAAAAGAACCATTTTATTTAAAGCAGCAGAAACAACAAGTTTTATAGAATTCAGCACAAAAGCGAACAAACCTCAACAAAAACAAAACCGCCGAACGCCAAACAGGATGAGTGGAAAAGTATTATTCGCCTGCTCCAAGTGTTTTTCGCGCCATCCGTACGAGGAGCTTTCCTCCGGCCAACAACTATGCAAGGTGAAAAGCAAACCAAATGAAAAAGAAAAAAAAAACATTGACCGACACTTGAAATTAAAAAAATCTCGAAGCCGACGCCAAACAAAATGCAGTGTCAGCATTCCGTGTGTGTTTGTTTGCCAGCCGAGAAAAATGACGCGGCGTTGGCAAAAAAAATTTGCTGCGCAAAAAACCAGGGAAAATGCAAAGCAAGAAGAAGCAGCCAGGCGTCGCGTCTAAAAATGAGTTTAACAACAAACAAAACAAACGAAATAAACAAAAGCCATAAAGCAGTCAATAAACTAAAGGATAACCTTGACTTTTTCAGGGCTGCCGTGGTTCTACCTCAGTTGGTAAATGTACTTACTGCCGCTCGGAGTTTCAACCCGCCACGTAAGTACGATAATGTAGCTATATAGCCCATACCTTATAATATATGTATATACTATATGTATATTCCGCAGCAAATCACAGAGTGCCTGCAAGAAGTGCGAACATTATCTGGGGAAGTATGGAAAGCCCAGTGCCTGCGAGTGCTGCAAGATTGTTGCCGCCTTCGGTGGATCTAAATGCATGCGGTGAGTTGCGATTCTTTATAATCTGTAAGCCGATCGAGTAGATAGATCCTATAGTAGTTCATTCCGCCGAACCACAACGGCCGTGTAACTTGAATGCACAATGCAAGAGCTTCCTTATCTGATCACTCTTATAAACAGTTGAACCTTAACCAAGAATTGTGCCTTCAAAGTACATGACTTTGCAGATACTCCTTCCCGATCTCTCTCCTTCGGAACACACCAAGCAATTCAACCGTCTCTTATGAACGCAAAACATTTCTCTTCTTCTCTTTTCCACCCGCCAAACAATCAAAACGAAATAAAACCCCACATCGCATCGAAATATAGATGCGCCAGCTACGAGGCAAAGTACGGACCGCCGGTGCAGTGCGATGAATGCAAGCTGCGATCAGCCTTTGACAGGCGCGACGAGAACAAAAAGGTCAGCTCACACTGCTCGCAGACGAGCGAACCTGGAGGATTGTTCGCTACGGAAGCAGCCCCTAATGTTAAAACCCTAAAATTAAGCCAAACCATTGTAGAAAGAAACTTGAGCACCGTGTACTGTACCCCGAGAGTCATGAACTTGCGTTCATAAGAGACCGTGTTGTTTGTAGCCTAAGATTATCTACCTAAGCCTTCACTGTAACCGCTCGAAAAATATTTAAATCACCTTTTGTCGCCGGCAGGTCAATGGCAAACTGCTTTGCTGGCTGTGTACCTGCGCCTACAAGCGAGCGCTGCTCAAGGCGCAGCAGGAGGGCCGAATACCCATGTCCAAGAAGAGGCCGCACGAGAAGACATCGTCCTCGCACAGAGATAGCTCCGCGGCCAAGAAACCTTCGCGCAACGAGCTCGGGAAGAGCGGCAGCGGTGGCAACAGCTCCGGTGTGAATGCGGTCAGTGGAGCTGGACTAGATCTGCCCGACAAAATATCGCGCGGAAATGGTGGCAACGGGACCATCGCAGCACCAGCTGCCATTACTGTGGACACCAATTCATCTGACCATGTGGTGGCCATCACATACCTAAAAGAGCGCATCGCTAGTTTGGAAAAGCGCCTGAATCAAAAAGACAAAGAGCTGCTCGAAAAGGACAAGCAGGTGGGTGAAGCAAAAGCTGGGTAAAAAGGGGTTTTTTTTCCACCCCAAAAGCTTTATCTGCATCAGCAGCTGATCAAATCTGAAAACTAACATCTGCAATGTTTTACCATTAGAAACCAGTCTGCCAGCTGTGAAGCTATATCCTTTCAATTTATATTAACTACTTTGTCATTTCAGCTAACTGAACTGAAGGGCAAGAACTTCGAGAAGGAAAATGACATGCGCAACCGACTGAAGGAAGTAGAGCGACTGCACGACATGAAGGTGGACAACTTGAATCGCAAGATCGCCAGCGTGCTCAAAGAGTTGGCCGTGCTCAAGAAAAGCAGCAACAAGAAGGGCACTGCCCTCAGCAAGGCCGAGAAGGAGGCCATCAAGCGGGAGAACCTCTCTCCCAAAGAGGAGATCCTTGCGGCGGCGGCGGTGCCGGAAAAACAGATCAAAACCTCGTCGGAGCCGGCCGATCTTGACAAGGATGAGAAAAGTCGCGATCGCGACGAGGAGCGAAGCGAGCAGGAGGATCGGGCCAGTGTGCGTTCGCGTTCTGGTTCCAGCAGCCCCACGCCCTCATCCAACTGAGAGGCAACGACTTCCAGCTCCTGTAGGAGCGGCAGGCCAGGATTCAGGATCCACAGAGTCTTCATGCCCTGCCCTTTTAGTTTTTCGCTATACAAATTTATATTTTTGTACTTCTGCTTTAATTGTAATATAGTTTTACAAGATTGTTTCATATCACTCTTTTTATGTCGCTCATCCCAACCGCCCGAGCTCTGCGTCCTTTCTCCTTTTCCTAAAAATGTAACCCAATCATCAGTTAGAAAATGTAATTTGATAGGCTCAACTTAACGAATTCTTATTTAGTTTAATTCATGATGAAACAACACAACCGAAGCATTGTTTACATCTTAAGAAATATACAAGTTGGGAAAGAACCAAATGTGGTACTTTAACAGTCGTTATATTTTCTAATAAAACAGGATAACAATAATGTTAGTGGGGCTTAGGCTTGTGGCCGTCCACGTAGAAGTTTCTGGTGGCCTTGGGCAACTCCAGTTCCATGCCCTCCATGCTTTTGTCCAGGACTATTTGACAACCAAGTCGGGAATTCTCACGCAGAAACGGGGCCATGTCGAGCAAGTCATCTTCCTTTTCCTCGGCTTCTTTAAGCTTCTCAAGAAAGTCATGCTGAATGTAAACATGACAGGTGGTGCAGGCTAGAGAAGCCTCACATGCGCCCTCCATTTCGATTCCATGCCGATGGGCCAAGTACAAAACATTGTCACCCACTTTGCCTTGAACCTTGGTGCGTTTTCCATCCTTGTCCACGTATGTGATGTTTACTCTGGTTTTGCAGAAGATTTTCTGGTTATGGGGCGTATACTTAATAGGCTTTTAGAAACTCACATTTCATCAGGTGACTTGGGATCCTGCCATTCGAACTCGCCATGCCGCCGAGCTGCAAAGTCATCCGAATTTCATAATCTCAGTGGGTTTTTTATTTTAAAATATCGTTAATTCTATGGATGAAACTGGTCTACTTACGTATTGTAGTGTGCAGAGCATTATTAAATGTGTAGAGCGCGGGCTTTTCTATCTGTTTACAAATTAATTTGCAGGTATTATGAACTGCAGACCGCCGCAAAAGTAAACAAAACATTTTTGAGGTTACAGTGTCAGCTGGAGATGGGGGATTAACGATATGTCACGGGTTTTGATAAGACGGTGTACAGCATATCAGTAAACATAAGTTTTGATTTCAAATTTAGTCACTCCCACCTTAAAAAAATAAATTTGTTACAATTATATCACGAACAGGGCCTTTGTTATTTAATTAACTTAGTGACATTTTAGAATTTTACTTTTAAAAAACTGTTACTATTTTGAAAACTGTGACTGAAATCTATCGATATCTGGACTTTTGGCGCGCTTTCATTTATAATTCAAAAAGTTCATTTCAGTTACTCCTGGGAAAAGGCTTTAGGAAGCTTTCTTAAGTAGGATTGACATTTGGGGACCTAATTTAAATATGCACAGCTTTTAGGATGCGCATAATTGAACAAAGGAAAGTAACAATATTGTACCAAAAATTCAAATTTACAGATAAGGTAAGAACAATTTTTTGGTCTACAATTTGTAGTATAAGTGTTGTCTTTCAATATTGTACCAAAAATTCAAATTTACAGATAAGGTAAGAACAATTTTTTGGTCTACAATTTGTAGTATAAGTGTTGTCTTTAATTATAAAAACACGTATTTATTGTTTCTAGATTTGATAATTAAAAGTTATATCTTTATTTATCAGAAATAAACCCTTAAAAAGAGAGCAATAACTGAGACATTCATATTCCTTTATTATAATACTTGGTTTCGATTAGTCTTAAAATTGGATTGGACTTTTAAAATTTAGACATTAATGAATAAATGAAGTGCGATGCGTGCGTAATTTTCATGACTTTTTAGTGCAACGATAAACGAGAGTCTTGGGAAATCACTTGGCTGCTGAAGCTGCAACATTTGGGGGTTTTTTACTTGGTCTCCTGAGCTGGAGTGGAATCTGGGGCAGCTGGCTCCTTGTGGCCGTTGCCATTCTGGAAGAGATCCGAAGGACCCACATGCTTGATGGGTATTACCCGCTCCTTGGGCTCCTCCTTGGAAACCAATGGAGGAACTGTGATGTTAAGAACTCCATCCTCCGACAAAGTGGATGCAATGGCATCCGAATCGAACTCCTTGGGCAGCGGATAACGACGAACAAAGTGTCGGGAAATGTGTCCATGATCATCCTCCCGTTCCTCGTGTTTTCCCTCGACAACGATGCAATCGTTGACCAATTTAACCGTTAGTTCACCCGGTTGAAAGAGTCCCACATCCAGGTGAACCTCAAAGTTTCCCTGCTTATCGCGGGCTCCAGTTCTACCCAAGGCAGCCAGCTCTCCGCTCCTCTTGTTGGTCACCAGGTGATGGGCATGTGCACCCATCCGGGCAATCAGGCCCAGGGTATGCAGATCCAGCTCGTTATGCTGCCGCGAGTGCAATCGCCTATAGATGCGATTCGGGAACATATCATGTCCGTAGTACATGGAGTCCGGGGAATCCAAATTCAAGACAAAGGGAATGTCTGGCATTTTTCCTTCTTAACTTCTTTACTTCTCTGTGTATCTAGCGGAAGTTCGATGAACCGACGACCTGCTTTCCTTTCAAGAAGATTCCAGGGGTTGATTTGCCAGCGGGGGGGTTGAATTTACAATTTCCGTTGCAATTTTTCGCTTAATTCACCTTGACTTTTCCGACTCGAATGTGGAGTTTTACGGGCCGTTGCTTTCTTTTATAGACCCGGAAAAGCTTTTCCGACGCGTCGAGCTTTTCTGGAGCAGCAACTCGGTGTTTCGATGATTCTGGGGCGACATTTGGGAACCTTCTGGCTGCCAAGCTTTCGGAGATGTGCCGCTGGCTAAACCGCAGACAACATTCGAATTTGATCCGATTACAGTGTACGCATGTACCGTGTAGCCCACTTAAACTGAACCATTATGCGAATCAACAAACTTTAATTTATTAAAAAAGTCTGCCATTTTTAAAATTAAACGATTTATTTTAATAAACAATGAAATATTGATTTATAAAATACTAATCTATAACGGGGTTAATGTTCTTTCCCAATAAAAAATTATTTATTTTTACAATTACCACACAGTTTAATTTGATGTGCAATTTAATTTGACATATGAACGTTCGACTATGTAGCAGATAGCAAGCTCTGTCTGAGAGACTATCCCACTATTTGAAATTTAAAGTGAAATCGGATCGAGGGGCCCAACCGGCGCCGTTTCCAGCGGACAATTAGCGGAATCTCCAGCGCCTGCGTCAAGTAAACTGACTTGGCAAACAAGGCGACACCACAATAATCAGACTGCGATAAGCCGACGTGGACAAGCATACTGGGATCGCGAATCTCGAGCTCCATAAATGGATCTTCTCGGGCCCGCTGGCAAGTCAGTTGTTATTCAGCTGGCGAACCGTTTGAAGTTCGTACTGCGTCCCCTTAGCACAATGGCCACTTACGAACAAGTTAAGGATGTCCCCAACCATCCGGAAGTGTATTTAATTGACGTCCGGCGGAAGGATGAACTTCAGCAGACGGGCTCTATTCCGTGCAGCCTCAACATACCCTGTATTATACTGTTTTCCCTATCATTTCTATAAATATCTTAAATATTTATTATCTTTCCTTCAGTGGATGAACTGGACAAAGCTCTGAATCTGGATAATGCCGATTTCAAGAACAAATATGGACGATCCAAGCCGGAAAAGGAGTCTAGGATCATATTCAGCTGCCGATCGGGAAATCGGGTGTTGGAAGCTGAGAAAATTGCCAAGGGCCAGGGATACTGCAAGTAGGTTTTGAAAACCAAATATAGTTATGCATAATTGTTATTTTTAAAATTATATATTTTCAGCGTGGTAATCTACAAAGGATCCTGGAACGAATGGGCCCAAAAGGAGGGACTTTAAACTTTAAGTCCTTATAGTCTATTTGGATTTGAAATTATTGTTTATTTTTATGATTGGTAAAATTTGGGAATCAGGTATTGAAATAAATTCCAATTTGTACAACTACAAAGAGGGTTTAATTAGCATTCTAAATTAATTTAAACAAATTTAGAATGTTTTAAAAGATTCTGATATATTTTTAATTATTCAATTCCAGGGTATTCTTCTTTATTTAAAACAGAAAATATAATAAACAAATAGAAAAATGCTAAAAAAGCTTTAAGACAACTTTGATTAACTACACAAGCCCAACCACACGGTACAAAATAATATAACTCATACACCCTCAGAAAGCGATAGCTCTCTCTATTTCTCTTCATTATAGTACTCTCTTAATGTTGAAGAACTGACCTGCCCCACTGCGCGAACTAAAGAGATTGTTGTTGAAAGGTTAAATAAAAAGTAAATAAGGTATCTTCAGAGCACCAAAAGTACCGGAAACTTCTACAACTTTCTCTAAAGGCCAGAATTCAACCCCTATTTAAATGCCAATGCCCGATTTCAGGCAAAACTGAAAATTGCATCAGCAAAGAGCGAAGAAAATTCGAGAGAGTGCCGGTGGTTTCTAGATTATATGGTTTTCCTCTTGCCAAGAGTATAAATAGCAACCGGTTGAGCGCCGTTCTCGCAGTTCAAAAAAATCAAATCAACAGTTGACAACTCGCTAAAAATTAAATTAAACTAAAATTTCACCAGCTAAATAGAAAATTACAAGCTCAAAATAAATAACTCAAAAAAAAAGACTATTAAAAAAGATAATTCAAAAGAAAAAGAAAACATTGCATCAGCTAATAACAAAATTATAAAATCTAAAATTTCATTAGAAAAACAACACAACACAAAACTAAATATTTAGTTCAGTTAAATCAAATATTAAATTGAACAGAAATAGGCAAATATAAACCATAATGCGTTCCCTACCGATGTTTTGGCGCATGGCCGAGGAGATGACCCGAATGCCACGCATCTCCTCGCCGTTCCACGCCTTCTTCCATGAGCCTCCAATTTGGAGTGTGGCTCTTCCCAGGAACTGGCAGCAGATCGCCCGTTGGCAGGAGCAGGAGTTCGCCCCACCGGCCACCATTAACAAGGATGGCTACAAACTCACCCTGGACGTCAAGGACTACAGCGAGCTGAAGGTCAAGGTGCTGGACGAAAGCGTTGTCCTGGTGGAGGGTAAATCGGAGCAGGAGGACGGCGACCAAGGAAGCTACAGCTCCAGGCACTTTCTCCGACGGTTCGTCCTTCCAGAAGGATACGAGGCTGACAAGGTCAAATCGAGCCTGAGCAGCGATGGTGTTCTGACCATTAGCGTTCCCAATCCACCGACGGTTCAGGAATCTCTTAAAGAGCGAGTGGTGCCCATCGAGCAAACTGGCGAGCCAGCCAAGAAATCCCAAGAGGAGCCCAAAAACGAGAAAACCGAGCAGTGAAATAACGAGCTCCGACTGAAAAAATCAGATGCTAGTGACCATTAGTTATTCCTCCCAATCTAAATTTAATTAGTTTAGTGACTAAATTTGGAAACCAAACAATTGTTTAAGTAGTAAAAGATAATAAATTTGAAAAGGTTATTAAACAAAATATTGGTTATTATTTTGGGGAAATTTTCTTAAGCACTGATGCATAAAATTTTCTATCATTGTTAGTTTCTAATGGCCCTTGTATTTGTACATTACGAAAATTAATTTTGGGTCAAACACATTTTAAAGTATAAGGAGAACAAAATGCTATAGTAGGGTGCTACTCTTCGAACTTAATGAAAATTCCTACAAATAAAACTGCCATCTAATGATTTCTGTTGGCCTGGTATTTGAAATTTTAGAGTTCCAATTGGTCTTGTCAAAATCGGTCAGGCAAGCCCATTATTTTTGGTCCAAACGCAATTTGAAGTATCAGGCGAAGTGAATGCAATATTAGGTGGCTCTACGAATTTCTTACTTGTTCCCAAAAGTTTGCTACTGTTTTTTATGGAAAATTTATACAATAAAAACTCCCATCTAATGAATTGAACCCTAAGATTTCTTACTCAAAAATATTAAATAATATACTGAAATTATAATTATAATACGCATTGCAAGGGTAAATTAATATCCGTGAGCAAACGATCGCTCGCTAGCCTTTTTATTCCTTTCCTTACATGGAAATACTTTTATTAAGCCCCAAAAATACTTTCAATTCGTCTTATATTTTCCTCACACCTTGGCCCCGTGAAAGTGCAATTCCTCATATCTTTTCCGTTTCCTTCTGTGAATCCGGTGACGTAGCCACTTGACGCGGGTCCAACTGGCCGTAATATTGTCGTGTGCACCTCGTTGGCCTCGTCGCCTTCACCGCTGCACTTGGCCGATCCGATCCGATTCGTTCCGATCCCGTCCGATGCGCCTCGTCCGGATGATTCATCCGTCGTCTCCGCCAGCAGCCAGCAGCCAGCAGCCATCCGCAATCCGCATCCGACGAGGCCAGACGACCATCTATAAAAGAACTGACGGCGGCGGCGACAAATTTTATAAGAATTTCGGACTCGAACGCAAGCGAATCGTTGCCCTAATCCCGGCGAGAAATGTCCCTGGTGCCCACCACATATCGCGATTTGTCGCGCGAATTCGATCGACCACGTCCGCTATACCAACCACCGTATGATTTCCAACTTTATCCGTATTTGTGGGACGATCCGCGGATCTGGTGGCCAGCTAATACCTCAAGCAGGAGTGACTTACTTCGACCTCTGGATGAACTGGTGACGCGACGAGTGAGGAATCAGTTGATTCAATCGACGCCGTACGAGTGGTCACATCCCATGAGATGGGATAACTACTATTCTGGGGAGAGAGTCCATGTGGATGAGAAAGGATTCCGGATCGACATCGATGTACGGCAGTTTCATCCTCACGAGATCGTTGTGAAAACCAACGACGACTATGTCATAGTTCAGGGGAATCACAATCGTCGCAATGAGGGATCCAATGGAATGGTGGAGAGGCACTTCGTAAGGAAGTACCTCCTGCCGCGCGGATATAATGCCAATGAGGTGATTTCGGATATATCCAGCGATGGTATCCTCACCATCAAGGCTCCACCACCGCCGCCAGCCAAGTACTATTCGCCCGGAGAGCGATTGGTCCGGGTCCATGAAACCGGAAAGCTGGCCCTGCCCTGGAAATAAGTAAGCTATCCAAATCGAGGAAGGCAAACAGTAAATGTTTACCAAACCCAACGAAATCCCACCCATCAAAAGCGCCTTACTCAAGGTGAACTATTTTCGGACGGCAAGCAAGTGCAGCCGAACATTTAAATTGGATTCAAACATAAATAAAATACAAATTGTACTCGTAGGTAATATATAAAATGCGCAATAAATATTTGCTAGAATCATTTTGGCTTTCGGAGGGGTCTTGGCCCGGTCGCGCCCAAATGCAGGCGTCAATGTTAAGGTGCAACCAAAATTTCCTCGTGGAAATTTTCTTTCAGAAATGAAAAATTATTTCATTTGGTTGAACAAGTCGGTATCTTTATTTGTAGCATACATAATCTCAGAAGTGTTATGATTTTTGACATTCAATAACAATAAAGTAAAACAATGAAATCATTTTTTACCTTTATTTAAACAAACCTTCGGTATGTCAGAGGAGCAGATCAATAAATATAGTAAACATTTTAGAAAACTTTAAAAAAAAAACAAAAGAAACCAAAAAAGTTTCAATTTTTCACACCAGGTGAATAATGGTTTTATTAAGTTGTTTTTTTTTAAGTCTTTAGCTCATTACAAATGCGATGGAATAAATAAGGAACAGATTTTTGGGGGAATGATGGATGATTTTTGAGGGTTTCTTTGTGAAGCAGATTCTCTTGCAGATTCTCTACTTGGCGGTGGCTTTGTTGCTGGCTCCATTTTCCTTGCCTTTCAGCTCGTTTTCCTTGCCTGGCTCAGTGGAATTCGGTTTAACGTTTAGGTGAGCAGGTCCAACTTGCTGGATCTGGATGATGCGCTCCTTGGACTTGTCCTGGATGGCCTGCGGCTTGGGAATGCTGACGGTGAGCACGCCATCCGAGGAGAGTTGCGACACCACCTGGTCCGCCTTGTAGCCTTCAGGAACTTTGTAGCGGCGCACAAAGTGGCGCATTATATGGCCATGGTCATCCTGGCGCTCCTCGTGCTTGCCTTCGACCAAAATGGAGTCATCCACCACCTTGACGTTAAGTTCACTCGGCTTGAACTGGGCCACATCCATGCACACCTGGAATCCATCCTTGCCCACCTGGCTGGTTGCTGGCCAATGGATGTCGTTTTGGTTGGCTATCTCGCGACGTAAGGCCAAAACTTGGCCGGCGGGCGACGAAGGACAAATGGGCGAGGCGCATGGACATCCGTTAATCGAACGGCGATGTTGGTTGCCATGTGGCTGCAGGTAGCGGGAATATGGGTTTATTCCCAATCCAAACTCGTAAATGGGGGAGCGGGGCTCCTGGAGTTCGTCCACCAGCGATAGAAGAGTAGATAGCGCCATTTTTGCTTTTGCTTTTCAAGTTAGGTTTTCGTAGATGTTAAACAAAATATTTTCTTTGGTTAGGTTGAATGAACTTGTATGACTTGCAAAGGTGTTTTCTCCCTTTTCTTTTATGTAGATGCTTTTTAGTTTTGCTTTTCAAGCTAAGTTGCTTTAACTTCGCTCAGAGCTCTTTTCTGTTCGACTTTTGAATTTGAACTGTGCTCACTTCGAACAGCGGTGCCGCTTTTATAGCCGGCCGCGGCTTTCTAGAAGAGTCCAGAAATAGCAAGCAAGAGTAATAATAAGCAAGAGAGTAAAAAAAAAGAGAATGTGTACACAGAAAAAATATTTTTTGTTTATAAAAAGCATCAAGCTTGCAAATTTGAGTACAAAGCCTAAAATTAATTTTATTTTATTAATTTATTTGGTGTTTGTTTAAAAATGTTTCTAGAAGAGTTTAGAAAGACCGACAATTGTGAATACTCAATTTCTAGAAGAGTCCAGCAGTTGCGAGAAGCCAAAGAGTAAAGTTCTTGCCGGCGCCTGAGAGGAAGAGGGAGAGCGAAAATGAGACCGCCGGTTAACGGCAAACAAAACAAAAGAGCAATTTTTTTTATTTTGTTTATCCTCTTTATTGTTAAGTACATTAATTCGTGTTTCTTTCTTTAAGTTTTACTGGAATACTTGTAGTTGTTGTCACATATGTTTTTAGGAAATCAAACATCGTCCGTTATCTCCCACGCTTACTAATTGAGTGCTTTTCCGCAGCTTTTCGTTAGCTCTTTTGTGAAATGCAAAGGGAAACACAAAAAACATTTATGGAATAAAACGCACGCCTACTCGTGCAGGTTATTATTTGTTCTTAATTATCTGTTTTTGTTTTTTATTTTAGTTCAGTCTTCACTTGGCCAACTCCTCGGTTTTGGCAGCTGTGGCTCCATTTTCTCCTTGGTTTTTGGCCAAAAGTATGGCCGCATCCACGGCGGCCAGTTCCTCGCCGCCCTTCTCCTCCACTTTCTCTACTTTTTCGAGCTTCTCCACCTTCTCCTCTTTGCTCTCTTCTGAAGGAATTTCGGGTTTTTTGGCCAGCGGCATTTCCACATCCTCGGGTGTTATGGCTGCAGCTCCATTACCGTTATTCGAGGCAATGGCCACTTCGTTGGCATTTGCATCCTCTGCTTTTAGCTCCCCTTCGCTGCTCATAACGGGATCGGGTGTTGGTGTGGGTGTGGGTTCCTGTTCCTCCACTTTGGCAGCCTCATCGTTTTTGGCAACCACTTCCATGGACTCCGGCTCTGCAACGCCATTGTTGGCACTGGAAGTGGTTCCTGCAGTGGAAGGGGCTTCCACTGCAGCGGCAGCCTCGTTGGAAAGAGAGGGAGAGAGGGCAGTCACTTCCGACGATTCCATCTCTATCCCTGTCTCTGGCTCCACCTGACCGTTACCGTTGCTCTCGGCGAGAGTGAGCGAGAGCGATGGAGTGGGGGCAATAGGTGGAGTGGGTGTGGGTGCACTGGTAGTGGAAGAGGGAGCATTAGCTACCGCCTGCTGCTCTAACTGCTCAGCCGGCTTCGGCGGCTGCGCGTCCTTCTCCTTCTGCTGTTGCGAAATCTGCTGGATATCCACGATGCGCTCTTGCCGTTCCAAGTTTCCCTTCGCCACTGGAAGGGGTGGCGGCGCCTTGACCGTTAGAATCCCATCGGATGACAATGTGGAATGCACCTCGTTGGGATCGTAGCCCTTGGGAAGGATGTACTTGCGGATGAAGTGGCGTGAGATGACCCCGTGGCCATCCTCCTTCTCGTCGTGTTGGCCTTCCACGACGATGCAATTATCGATGGTCTTCACAGTCAGTTCGTTGGCGGCGAATTGCTTCACATTCATGCTCACCTGGAAGCCATTGCGATTTACCACTGAATAGGCGGATTTGCTGGCCGTCGGCTGGCTGGAACTGCCCCCTCCACCACCGGAAGTGCCCTTATCACCCAGCTCCTTTTCCAGTTCCAGCAGCGACTTATTGCAGCAAACGGTCTTGGCTCCAGCCACTCGGTTATAAGGATGATGGCGATGCTGCTGCACCGGCGATTGCCCCTTAATGGGCACCCACATCATGGCATTTCCACGCCCCAACGAGCGACTCATCTGTGGCGCATGCAACTGTGAGGAGGCCTCCAGAGGATACAGCCCAAATCCCGACGAATCATCGATATCCATGGCCAGGCTGCGATTGAAGTCGTGCAGCTCCTCGGCCAAATCGAGTATGAACGGTATCAGCGACATTTTCACTTTTCCTTCGATGACTTTTAGTTTTCTATTTTTTGCTTTTTTTTAGGTTTTTGGGGGATTAGTTTCTTCTGGGAACCGGCGGCGATCCGTTCTGGTCTCCAACTGGACTGCGTTTGAGCCCTTATGGCTGAATGACGACGCTTTTAAGCGGCGGTGCAGCGCTGAATGGAAAACCTGGTCACTTTCCAGTCCTCCTTCCAGGCTAGCTCCCAGGCGAAAAACCATGAAACCTCCTCCAGAGAACCCGAAAAGTGTGAGGAACACGCATACAACTGGCATCCAAACCATGTACTATGCCATTTTGTGGTATATAAACCGAAATACGAGATACTTTTCCTATATCTGAGATACCCAGAGAACAAAGAAAGTACTCGTATTCCAGGGCGAAACCAGAAAAACTGCAGCGCAGTGCAAAAAAAAGAGGCAAACCGGCTTGAAACCAAAGGAATATATGCACGAAAAACCCCCCAAGAGATGCCATCTCCGTGGCAGTGGATATATAAACATATACACATATATATTTATAGATGGGCTGTATGTAAAGTGGTCGTGTTGCAGCTGAATTTCCACTGCCGGCATTGAGCGAACAGCTGAGAGTCTCGTGCCGGTTGCCGAGTCGCCGGCGATAAACAACTACAACAACAGCTGAGTCGCTGCCGCCGCCTGGAAGCTACAAATCCGCTGGAGCTGGAGGATTGGCAATCGCAAAACCGGCGTCGCGTAAACATGCGCAGTGTCAGCGTCTGGAGGAAAATCGTACATATGGTCTGGGCATATACATATGTACTGTGCCACACAGATGATGATATGCTGGTTCGTACACACACGATATTACATAGCCAAGTGCAAGCGATGGTAACCGGTTGAAAAGCTCCAATAAGCAACAACAACAACAACTTCATCCAGACGAGGGCCAGACAGTGGAGACTTGGTTAAATTTTAGTGGGACCCCGAGCTCCATTCCCGGATACATTTTTACGCGTATATTCCCAGCTGCAGTGGGAAAAGAGCAAAAACCTTTCGAGAGTTCTGCGTTCGAGAGATGCCCCCTATGTGCTGTACCACATACAATCGCAATCGCAATGTACTCGCTTTTATTTACCCCAACAAGGGGGAGAAATCAGCCAGACGGGCACTCTGGTACATTATATGACCACCTTTTTGAATAGACAACTTCCATTGCGTTGGCGTTGGGTTGTGTAAACCTGAGGTACATTCCACATACTATGCATATATGTACATACATATATTCCTGGGGAAGGGAGCACAACAAAAAAAACGGGGCCATAAATAAAACTCAAATGATATAACAACCCAGGATCGAGTTCCAGAGCAGTATATGGTTATCCGAGAACTGAGTTCTCGTTGTAACAATAATTTTATTTAAAGAAGGTTTAAGAGGGCAAAAGTTTCATTTTGTAAAATGGTTAACCTTCAACGTTAACACGTTTCTAAGAAAAAGTAACCTTATTAAAGAAAATACATACATATAACTCAATCTTAAATTTAACTAACCTAGTATTTAATGTGTTACTAATAAAATGGTAAAGCCTTGATAACATCTAAACTGTTTGTCTTTTTTTATTTCATAAATTTACTAACATCAAACAAAATACCCAAACAAATTATATTAATTTATGATTATACATACCTTATAATAAAAATGTACTCCTTAATTTATAAAGTTTAATAAAGCTTTAAACAATTTTTAAAGTATTTATTAATTAAGTGTCAGTGGCTAAATGCAATCCCCTCTTCATTAGGCATTTATTAATTTTATTTACATAACCACTTTTCTGCACGTTAAAAACTCCAACGCTTGAATGCCATGGCATAAAAAAAGAATTGTTTGGCAGCCTCGAAGTTTCGCGAATTTACTCCATCCTCCGAGGTCTCTGTCCGCTATCTTTTCACATCGGGTATATACACACATTGGTCTGTGCTGATGCAGCGAGTTATCAGCCCACCAGGCCTACCCCATATCATCCCTCCCCTCTCCACTTTGCTCATTTTCCATGGCGATACTCTCGCTTTCAATGGCAGATAATGCGTAGTTCCTGCAAATTCGAGAACTTTTTGCTATATTTTCAGCCCGAGAAGTTTCGTGGCCCTTCTAGATGTTTGTGCCCAATTGTACACAGATACGACACACACACAGCGCCGGTACTCGCACAGATACGATAACACACATACAACGGCGGCGCGCGGTTGTATAAATAGCCGGCACTTTCATTCAACCGGCGTCAGTTGAATTCAAACAACCGAAGCGATAACAGCTAAAGCAAATCAGCTCAAGCAAAAAAGCTAAAGCAAATCATCAAAAGCATAACATTACCTACCAACAAGTACTATTTTCAAAATAAATATTCTGCGTATAAAAGCCAAAGCGAAAGAGATACGAAAGAAGAAACGAAGAGATATTTGAAAAGTACATTTTATAAAAACAGAAAAGTATCTTAAAAGCATTTGAAATGGCAAACCTACCGTTATTGTTGAGCTTGGCCGACGATTTGGGCCGTATGTCGGTGGTGCCCTTTTATGAGCCATATTACGTCCAACGCCAAAGGAGTCCTTATTTTGCCATCGCAGGACCTTTGGAACAGCAGTTGCGTCAGTTGGAGAAACAGGTGGGAGCCTCGGGAGCCTCTGGAGTAGCTTCGAAGATTGGGAAGGATGGCTTCCAAGTCTGCATGGATGTGTCGCACTTCAAGCCGAGCGAACTCACCGTTAAAGTCCAGGATAACTCGGTCCTTGTAGAAGGCACTCATGAGGAACGCGAAGATGACCATGGCTTCATTACCCGGCACTTCATCAGGCGCTATGCCCTTCCCGAGGGCTATGAAGCCGATAAGGTGGAGTCCACCTTGTCCTCGGATGGAGTTCTCACTGTGAAGGTCCCCAAGCCGCCGGCACTCGAGGAAAAGGGCAATGAGCGCATTGTCCAGATCCAGCAGGTGGGCCCTGCCCATCTCAATGTCAAGGAGAATCCCAAGGAGACAGTGGAGCAGAAGCAGGATAACGGCAGCGAGAAGTGAAGGATCTCCTTTTAAGCAAAAACTATATTAACCATTATCAAAGTCATGTATCTGTTTTATAAGCTATAGTTGAACGGGATACTCTACCACATACAAGCCATAAATGAGTGTCCTAATTTAATCTTAATTTGGAATATGTATTACTTTAGTTGGCTGAATTAATATTAATAATACAAATAAAAAAAACAAATTTAAATCAAAGAAAACATTACATTTCTGCTGTGTTTTTGGCTGGTCGGTAAAGAGAATTTTCAAAACTTCTTGTTTTTGCTTTTCTGAATAGAGAAGTATAGAGAATTGAGAATTTGGCTTCCACACTTGCAAATCGTAAAATGGTTCGGTTTCCGTTACTTCTTAATTTTACCCAAACCTTGCAGATCTGATATTGGATTTTTTTCATTAATCTAGAATGCTGTTGGGGATTTATTCCCTGCTTAATCGTGCACATTAAGTGAAGCTAAGGTCACGGGAAAAGATACAAAGGGAAAAGACTCTCTTAAAATGGATATATTTGGTAATAAAAAGACTCCCTTTTAATAGATGGAATAAGCTAAGTAATAAAATGCAAAAGCCCCAACAAATGTATGAAAATGTGTTTTTGTATGTACGTAAATATGTAGCATACATACATATGTATGTACATACATACAAAATGTAGAAATGGAAAGCCTTTTTTTAGGTTTATTCTTATTTCTCAAAGGACTTTGTTTGATGGGTGAAAAGAGAAGAAGGAAAGTAACATCAATTAAACATAATTAGAATACTTGTTGGATAACAAAATGGGTTTATGCAACTGTAAATGTGTATATATGTATGTATGTACATGTGAAGCAGCACGAAGCAGAAAATGCGAAAGGAAAGTTCAATGCACCTTCTCCAATAAAAATATCATCTCCGTTGCACTCCGAACAGACAGCGTTTAAAGGTCCGATAAGAGAAGAAAATGTTTTAAATAAATATTGAACTTATGTACATACATAAATATGTATGTACTGATATTCAACTGCTTTTTATGTTTATTTTTTTGCAAAAAGAAACTCCCAGAAATGTCAAGAACTTTCTAGCTCTCTTCCATCTTCATATACAAAAGCCGGCTGTGATAGAAAGAGCGAGAAAATGCGAGAGAGAACTGAATTCAGGGGCGGAACAGAAGTTAGTACCCCTATTTTAAGCATACGATTACTAACATTTTTTTACTTTGTTCTGTGATAATTCGCTTTCCAGTTATATTTTAAGGTCAATTTTAACTTCCAAAACATTTTGGTTAAGTTTTTGATTTACTTACGTGGTAAGCAAAGGTTGTTGATGTACAATCCCCTAAATGTTTCCCTAGCTCCACCCCTGACTGCAATGCGTTAGTATGTGTGAGCCCAGCGTCGGTATAAAAAGCCGGCGTTGACGCCGACAGAGCTCATTCGAAATTCGAAAATTGAAGGAAAAAGTTAAAGGAAGCTTCACACAAAACTAAAAAAAAGTATTTTCTTTGTCTAGACAGAATCGTGAATAAAAGAAAAGGAAACAAAAATGTCGATTGTACCACTTTTGCACTTGGCCCGTGAGTTGGACCACGATTACCGCAGCGACTGGGAGCATTTGTTGGAGGATGATTTCGGTTTCGGGGTCCATGCCCACGATCTGTTCCATCCACGCCGTCTGATTTTGCCCCACGGATCCCTGGGTCGTCGTCGCATTGCGCCCTACGACCGCCATCATGGCGGCCATCATCATCATCAGTTAGTGCCACGTCGTTCGTCGGGCGGCCCCAATTCTTTGCTACCGGCCGTGGGCAAAGATGGCTTCCAGGTTTGCATGGATGTGTCGCAGTTTAAGCCCAATGAACTTTCGGTCAAGGTAGTGGACAAAACCGTCGTGGTGGAGGGCAAACACGAGGAGCGAGAGGATGGACACGGAATGATCCAGCGCCACTTTGTGCGCAAGTATACCCTGCCCAAGGACTTTGATCCCAACGACGTGGTGTCCACCGTGTCCTCCGATGGAGTGCTGACCTTAAAGGCTCCCCCTCCCCCCAACAAGGAGCAGGCGAAGTCGGAGCGCATTGTCCAGATCCAGCAAACTGGTCCTGCCCACCTAAGCGTTAAGGCTCCCGAATCCGCAGAGGGAAAAACCGAAAATGGCGGCGGCGAGAAAATGGAGACTGGCAAATAAAGAAGTGGAAAAGCAGAAACCAATATTCGCTGGCGAAGAAGGAGAAGAAGAATTTAAAGCAGAAACGGGAGTGTTGCAGCGCTGCTCGGAGAGTGCAAGACTAAGAAAAGGACACCACAAAACACACCCAATGTATTACTCTCACACAAACACACACATCATCACACCTTAGACCTAAGCGATTTTAAATCTCCATTCATCATAAAGAAAAAAAAACCATTTTAGTCTGTACGATTAGGATAAAAACTGGAGAATCCAATGCTCCCTCTTTTTTGAGTTGATTCATTTTGTAACATGAACAGCCGCAACACTCGAGAGAATTTCGCATTTAATTTGTCCATAAATAAAATAAAATATACGAAAAAGAAATCAGCTGGGTTTTTTCTTCTCCCCTTTTTTGTTCCCTAATTTGCAGTCTGCACATTTGCGATTCAGAATAACTGGTTTTTAATGGGCGTTGTTTACTTCGCTGAGTCTTTATTTACGTTTCCCGACAATGTCCTTGATTTGCAATTATTTTTCATTTCAAGGATACGTTGGAATGATGATAAACGTGAAATAGGAATTGGAACATTGAAAATCAACCTTCAGATGTTAAGTTATTAAGTGTTAATTTGGAAAACTTGTTCTATATTCAATCCACTTCTGGAAGATTTTTAAATCAAATCCCAATAAGAATAACAGTTAACTAATTTAATCAAATGTTTGCACATATTTATTTAAATATTTAATACATAATAAAAAATTTAGTTGCCCGTTTTTGTTTCTTATTGGTTTTTATGTTCGTAACTTGTAGCGATCATAAGTATTTACTGTTAATGCTATGTCTATATCTAAAACGGATTCTAATCATATTTCTCAGCAGGGTTTCGAGATACGGATGTATCTCTAATTCTCGGCTCCGTGGAGCTTTCGCTGTTAACCGCGAAAAAGCTTTTAGTGGTTGTCATGTTCTTGTGGTTGTTGGTTTTATCTTAGTTGATGTTAAGTAAAAATGATTTTTATCGGCATTTTCTACTGCTGCGGCTGCTGTCAATATGTTTTTGCTTGCATTTATGCATGTTATGTATGTATATTCAATGACGCTTAATCACAGATCAATTTTTTTTTAAATTTCATTTGACTTAGAAGTTAAGAAACAAAACACACTTTCTACACATGGACTAAATAATTACTGTCTCTGGTTGGTTTCTGGGCTTTTTGGCTTGGACAACTTGGTGGACATACATCAGAGTGGACATGATCAGATGTTGGATAATAGCAGTAAACGAATACAGGATAAATTATACATCGATTCAGCGACTAAATCTAGATACGCAGACGATCTGGTTCTAAACTTTACAATATTCTCTTTCCTTAAGTTTTTGCTTTTGTGTTTTGTTTTAATCATTGCAGTCTCAAATTGTTAATGGGCTTTGCTATATAGAGAGGAGAACATTGGGATTGCTGGGCCGCTGGCCACGATCTGGCTTTTGAAGCCCCTTGGTGTGCGGTATAAAAAATAGTATTTCGTTTGTTTTACATTCTATGTGGATCTCGGGGTCTCCTTCGACCAGCGGTGAATACTTGAGAGCAGAGGGTTTCATTTTGGGGGATAGAGAGCGCGCAGATAATGGGGGATCACATCAGATCAGTTGAGCGGGGTATGTCCCTCACTTTTGGAGCAAACTTTCGCAGCTACTGCTGAGATTTGGCAACGACTTGAAACTGAGCCGCGTACGATCCATCTGGACGTCTCTGCTGCTCCTGCTGCTGCTCACTCCATCCACACCCCGATCAAAAGATGAGGAGATGACCAGCGGATGCGGATGCTGGCGCGATTCCCTCTGCTTCTGCTGGCTGGCATAAGCGGCAGGTGGCGATAGTGGCGATGTGGGCAGATCGATATCCAGTACGGTGTCCGCCTCGCCGGGCTTTAACTTGGGATCAGAGTAGCGCCGAAGCTCCTCCTTCGCCTGCTGACCAACCAAACAATCGGTGGTGCAACAACCAATGGGCAAGTCCACACTCATCATGCCCGAATGACGATAGTCGATCTTTGGCGGCGTGCTGTAGTCATAAGGATGAACGGCAGTATCCGGACCCACGCTGGTCTGATCGCTCAGCACATCGCGGTTCTCCAGAAAGATGGACGAATTGGAGTAGCGCTTTGTCTGGTGCGGCTTGTAAACGAAGCCACCAAGGCCATTGGCCACCGCATGCGACACTCCGGAGCTGATCGAGGGCGCCTTGTGCTCGCCACTGCCTAAAATCATCATAGTTGAGTTAGTAAAGGGTATGAATAAAATTATAAATGAATTATCCACTCACCACTGAAGCTGCTGAGCTGGAGGGCATGTTCGCGGCCAGTGTCCGTGGAGATGCCGCTGGCACTGAGATCTTGACGTGAACCGGCACACAGATCCGTGGCCGAGCCGCGACTTGAGCCCTCCGAGTGCTCCAGCACATTGTGTATGGAGTCGTGGAAGGGCGTCATGCTGCCCGATCCCTGGGGACAGGGCCGGAATGAGGAGATCTGTGAGACGACGTCATCGAGCGCCCAGTCGCGATCGTAATTGTGCTGCGACTGCGAGCACTCAATGTTGGCGGCCACCGCCACTTGGCCCAACTGCTGACCGCCCGGCTGCATCTGTTGGTGCCGCTGGTGGCCATGGCCGTCCTCCGTTTGCGTGCAGGCACTGCTACTGCTGTGGGGCACCTCCAGTTCCGCGGCCAGTTGAAGCATATGGTGTGGTGAGGCATTAAGAAGGCGCTGCATTTGCTGGTGCAGACCCAGGCCAGGACCACCGCCTCCGTTCTCCATTGACGCACAGCTCGCTTCGTGGGCACAATGACCGCCGGCCGCTCCGCTGGCATTGATCTCCACCGCTCCGCTGGCCGGTCCGGCATGAGCCAGCGGCTCACTGAAGTGCTGATGATGGGCGGCTACTGGGGATGGAGGCGCCAACGGGTGGATCTTCTCCGGGGCATTCTGAATAAGCAGAATTCTGTAAAACAATAGATAGACGATAAACCAATTATTTTAACGTTCAAAGAATTGTTTAAAAAAGCCAAAGGAGATGTAGTAATCTCCTTTAATAAAAGGCTTAATAATAATTCAAAACCAAAACTAGTGTATGCAAATTTTAGCAACATTTGTTTAAATCACACTACCCGCACAAACAATATTTTAAACAATGGAGAACTTAGATTTTTCAATACAGAGTTATTATGATCTTCGCTTAATAAAATTTGTATTTCTCTTTGTCTTTGCCAAACAAAGAGAAAACAATAATTTCGTTTGAATGGAATAAGTGAGGAATAAATTATGAATTATTTCAGACTATGCAATTGAAAATGGCTCATATTCCTTTAAATTCACAAAGATTCCAACCTATTCTAATTGTATTTACTCACTGATTGCGTATAACAACATTTCTCACATATTTAAGATTTCTAAGATTAAACTTTGAGTGAAATATTTTATAATTATATGGTATCATTCTAGCGGCATGTTACATAAATTATATTTAATTTCCGGCTCTAATTTCTATTTAACATTTCTTATGTAATTCTCTGTAATGCAATTCTCTAATGAGATCGTTTAGCAAACTATTCGAGTTCTTACATGCACCGAGTAGCTTTAATAATAGCATTTTCTAATTGGAATTTTGTTAAGCAATACCAATGATCTAAGGTATTACAAATTTCAGAATTCCCGATCTGGTAACCAATTTGATATTGACCTGTTGCGTGCCTTCCAGCGGTGGCAGAGATGCAGATACGCCTTGCACTGGATGTACATGAAGACAATTCCGCCGGTCAAGCCCACGGTGACAACGGCCAGCTTCGTCCAGAAGGGCCAATCTGAAATGGCAAAAGGGAACAGGTAATTCGAAATCCGCAAATAGTAAACAGTCGGTGTAATAATAGCTCAAGTTCAAAGGCAGGTCGAGCGCAATTATACAATTACGGTTTTCGCTGAGCGGTTATTTGACCTTTCCGAACTCGAGGCTCGAAGTACTAACAACCCGCACCTATTAGGCCACGTTGGACATCGTCGGCGGCCCGCTCGATGAGCACACACAGCGACCAGATGACGCACAGGGCGGCGGCACAATGGAACAGGACGGAGCAGCACAGCCGCCGCCTTTCAATGCCGGAGATGTCAAGGCTGCGCCACTGCAATTGCCATTGCAATTACACCCATCCAGTCCAATCCAATCCAATCCAATCGAATCGAATCCCGGCCGCAATCCAATCGATTCCGAAGCCAAACAATGCAAAGACAAAATAAAGTAAATTAGCTTGACTTTCGGTGCTGAAATGTGACAACCCACCTCGTTGAAGGGCTTAATCTTGGTGTGCATGATGAAGGGGAACTTGCAGAGCTCGCAGGAATTCGTCTCGGAGGCGGTGAGCCATTGCTGCAGGCAGGCCTGGTGCACGTACTTCAGGCTTCCGGAGCAGTAGCACGGCGTCAGCAGCGGGTTCTGCGGATCACTCTCGCAGTGGCAGATGCGGCAAATATCACCGCTGTTCTGCGAGGCCTGGCTGCTCCCGGAACCGAATCTATAAAGGATAAGAAAAGGATTAGACTTTTCTGAATTCATTTATGTTTAAATATAGTATCTACGGTCATGATTTTATTTATCCTGCCTCTAATAATAATGGATGTTAAATTCTTTAAAGTACACTACTCAGAATACATTAAAAATTACCATTTTGATATTTATTTTGAAGCGTTTGATGAAATGCCTAATAAAAATATAGGTCATAGTGCTTGTGATGCTTTCTTTTAAAAAATATTCAATAAATTATATGAGGCTAATTCGTGCTCGCTTATATGTAATTTTTAGTTCATTACGATGCATCACGATGTCACTAAATCAAATCAAATCAATTAACAGGAATCAAATAGTTTCAGCCTGGCTTTTCAACCGAATTTTGTGTTTATTAAAAGCGTAGGTACTCATGCATACTATAAGCTATTATTCAATTTCTATCTAAGTAAATAATGATGTGTTATTAAATTTTTACATCATTATTTATGAGAAAATTGATTGAATTTGATAAATTTCCAAAACAATTCAAGCGGACGGGTTCAATGAATATTCATTGTTTCTGGTACAAACAATGCAAGCATTCGTACTATTCTCCATTTAATCAAAACTTTACTTAAATATTTAATCAAATTAAGCAAGTCATTAAACATTTGTTAATCGGGTAAAAATATGATAATTGCACTTTTGTTTACATTATTAATTTTCTTTCTTGAATTGTATAGCTGTGTAGTTTTCCGTACATATTTATTGAATTTTATCGCATGATGCCATATCTCACATATCATCATTCATTATAAAGTATGCATTTTAATAAATGATGAGTATGATTCATCATCATTAAATGATGAAAGTTAAATTGTAAACAAGTCATTGACACTTGCTTATTCAAGTTAATGTTAATCGTGGGTGAAAATGTGCACATATATTAAATAAATAGGCGGATATCTGATTTGATTATAAGTTGTTAATGTGATATTGTGAACTGTTAATATTTTTATTTAAATTTCGTATGAGTAGTGTTTAACAGAAAGTTCAAAGCCTTTGGGCTTAAAAATAGTAAACAAAATTTGTTTTTTTTTTTTTCAAAAATTTTTATCATAGTTATAACCGCGTTCTATGAATTTATTTGGGTTTTTTTCATGTGGAAACTTCCAGGAATAGTCTGGGTTTTTTATTGTGACTTCTAAGCAAACTAATGCCGATACACTTTGGGCGGAAACAGCAATTGAATGTAAATATTTTTCTAAGAAAATAACAATAATAATAATTTAACTGCATATATGTATGTACATGCACAGTTTTAGAGACTAATTCGAATATGAACAAACACATATTATGAATAATGGGGAACGACGAGTGAATTCTGTGGGAGCCTTCTTCATTACTAATAAAAAGTAAGCATTCTCATTCACAGCCCTTCCACAGAAGGTACACATATCAATTAAGTTCTGATGCGGTTCCCTTTGGACTGCGGCAATCTGGTGCTGGTTTATGGCCAAGGCAATTAGCTCCGTTGGCCGCCCTATCATTATGGCTGGCAAACGCCCACTCAGCACCTGCGAGGGGTTTTTTGAGGGACGGAGAGGAGTATCTAATCTAACTAACGGCCAGTGGATGGCGTAAAACTTTTACTTTCTCCGCATGAATGCACGGAGAAAAACAAACAAAACATTTGCGATTGAGCTCCTTCGAAGAGGTAAATACATATGTGTGATACTCGGGGAAACCCATTTTCTTCGAAACTTTTGGCTCTGCAGTTGCCACATTGCTTTAACATAAGACTTACAAAAAATAACGAATACTAATGTAATGCAATTTTCAGGGTTTTTTTTGTTTAGATGGGATTCTTCTTTTAATTTTTAATAAAGTCCTAACATATGTATATCTATGGAAAGGTAATATTACAAACTTTAATATACCATTTTTCAAATTTCGAGTTTTCTTAGTATTATACATGTTATTCGCGTTTAAAGTTGCAAAAAAACAAAAACCGAATATTAATGTGATACACTGTAGGTTGTTATAGTTCTGTAGTTGATCTTGTTTTTAAAAATATATTTTTTTATCAGAGAAATTATCCTTGGAATACCCTGCCATCATGTTGAATTTATTTAGCTTTTTCCTCAGTGCACTATAACTTTCCCCTGCCAATCTGCACTATCTGGAGTACCTCTGTCCGTGTGTCTGTCCGTTTGTCTGTGTATCCTTTTTAGAGTTCAGGCAGCCAGTGCGTGATTGAGGCGAAGGACAGGCCAGTCAAAGGCTCTGCCAGCACATTTGTTGTGGCTGTCGACATGGTCATGGACATGGAACTGGACACGTCCTCCCCACTCCTGCCATGTTTTTTTGGGCCAATCGACTGGCCTTGGATCGATGGAACGCGCTTGTGGCCTACACCGCAGAAAGCGGTTCGAAAAGTACACAGCCGCAAGTACACATGTTTGTCTATCCGCAGGATGGAGCAACATTATCCTTTCTTGGCACTTCTTGTATGGCAAGGATATGCGTAAGTAGCAAGTTTTACGACTTCATTAGACGACAGACAGTCGCCGGTTAGACATTTCCACACCTCCTGGAGCCACTCAACCGAAACAGCCTCATGACTTGGCATTTATGGGTCTTTTGGGAAGGCAAATTGCCTGTTTGACATTGAACGCAACAAATTTCGACTCAATTAGAACGGAAATGTCGATTCAAACCCATAAATACACACTGTAGTACATATGTAAATTCTTGTCGATCATAAACACAAAAAAAAAAATAAATAAAAACTAAGGGAGAACACTTCTCGGAAAGATTTCTCACATTATTGATCGGCCTTTTTCTTTTGTTTTGTTTGTTTTTGCGCTCCACAATTTGATTAAGCGATATCAAAGGGTAAATACTATATACACACATACGAATCGCTATCGCATTACCAGGTAAAAGAGAGAACGCGAGACAGGTGCTTTATTTCAGCGAAACTAAAAATACGAAAAACCTTTTCGCTCTCGGGTTTAGGGTTTCAAGTGCAAGCTGCAGTTAAGCATTTATTGCTATTTTGCCCCTGACAAAGTGCTTCCGTTTGAAATTTCGGAATTCTACGAACAGTCATTATTTGGCAACAAAACATTTATGTTCGCCAATCTAATAGAGCTCAATCCTTATCATTTTAGTAAACTTTAATTGTGACTTAATCAGTAAAGCGTATTCAAAGCAAAAAAAAACAATTTGGTCTTTTTTAGTTCCGTACTTTGGTTTTGATAATTAAATACTTTTGTGTAGATAACTAAGAACAACTAAATCTATAATACTGTACTCTCGAGAGTAAGTTTTGACCCAAAAAGGGAGCTTAATGGCATAATTATCCAAGGGTCAGTTGGCAATTCCAGCTTAAGCGGTTTTATCTCAGTGCTTTTTATGTTATTTGCGTAAGAATTTAGTCTTTTGAGGACCTGATACCCGAGTCGTGCCCACTTTTAATTACAACTAAATTAGCGCATTTTATTAAATTCCACACCAGAGCAACGAAACAGGGCACGCCCTCTCTTATTCCGCCGGACCAGATGAAACAAGTAATCTTCACATGATTCCGGGGGAATTTCGAGGGGAACGGACGGGAGGGGGACTGGGGGAACCGGAGTCCAATTCAACTGCTTTGCGCTTTGTTTTCGCTGCTCCGCTTTGTTCCAACGCTTTTTGATATTTTGCGCATTATTTTTTTTTTGTGCGCTGTGTAAAACTTATTTTTAAGTCCCAACTGGTTTAAGTTCGAGGCAATTAATGCAAAAGTTATACCCGAATGGGGGAGCCAAACATGCTTGGCCTTTGTTTGAAAAACCTATTCGAACTGCGGGTTGCGAATATACTTGGGGGAAAACCCGAGTCTTATCAGCGGTATATTTTCCGCTCCGGTTCCATTTTACATTTTCATTATACTCCGCAAATATTTGATCGTAATTGCCCAAGCCGCCAACACATAAACAGCAACAATTGCCAATGTTGATTTAACAACGACACCTGAAATAACAAAAGCACCAGCTAAGGAGACACATTTACACACTCCGGCGACAGATTAGATTTGCGATGGACGGGTGATAAGCTTCATCCGTCCGACATCGAGGGTGTTGACTGGTCTATATATATTTCACAAATGTACTGATATAAATTAAAGCGTCACAGGAGCTACAGATATTTATGAAATTAAAATATATATTTCGCTTGTCTATCAAATAAAATTATATTAATTGGTCTTCTATTCACACATGACAGGTATAAATCTAATTTAAAATATGTTTTTGAAGTCGAATTTTATGTGAGCTTGATCCGTCTCTTTCGTGTTAATTAAAATATGTACTAAAAAAGACATTGCCCGCTGACACTGCTGATTAAGTTATAAATAAATCACAAATAAATTATAAATTTATAATCGCTCATAAGATAACAGCCGGCGCCTCGTGTCAAGTACTTGTCACCTTTTGCACATAGTAAACTCATATTTGCATTTCAAATGATTCAAGTGCCGATCCGCTTAATACAAGTATGGTAAGTAGAAGTAAGTGCAATTAAACGATGTTTAATGGTTGTCATTAGCAGGTTTTCAGTACGAATTAGACAGATTAAGATCTCAGCTGTTAACAGTGGCATAAATTTAAAAAAAATATGAATAAGTGGGGCAGGTGAAAGTGATATCATCTTAAGATGAATCACTATCTACTTAAAACTGGGGTATTTTTGTTTTCATTTAAAGCCGTATCTTATCTGGTTTTGGCTCTTCGAGGGGGTGTCTTGATCAATGTATGGACAGCTGGATTTGAGTATTGAGACCGAAACACAGCATTCTCTCTAGCAATTAGATACGCGTAAAAAGCTTAAGAACTCTGCGTTGAGAACTTATTTATTTCGATTCCCCGAGCAATCAAACATTTAAATCATGTCCGTTTCCTGGCTATAAATAAACAATGGACAATGCCAAGAAGAATGTCAACCATCCCACAATTTTTCAATTGCGTGCCTGCACTTGGTTTGTTTTTATTTTTATTTTATGTGGTGTACTTGAATAATTTATAGGGTTCTCTTTATTTTTTTTTTTTTATTGGCCATGTCAAGGGCAAGCCAAAAAATTATACAAACTCACCTGACATTTGCATAGTGCTGGCCGGAATTCCAATCCACATGCTCGATATCCGAAGAGGTTTTGGCGTTGTCGCAAGGCATTTTGTTCGTAAGTCTTCTCTGTAAACTAGACTGCACGGTATCTCATAGTCGTGGCGATCCTGGTCGGCTTTCTAAAGAGGGGTTTCAACCCCAAAAAGGGGGGTCCCTTTGTCTTTTTTTGCTGGTTAGTCTTGCGCTTTTGTTATGATTCTCCGCTGGTTATTTGTTTATTTCCAACGATAAACAGAGGCTGTCGCCCGTCTTTATTTTTAGCGACCCTGTTGGCAGGGGCTACTTCGATTTTTTGCACAATGTAAACCGAATCTATTGCACTTTTATTTTCCTTTCTTTTCGTTATTTTTTCCTTTCGACGACAACGAACTTCTCTGCGTGAGTTTGTTTGTGTGTTGGTAGGTCTATTATTATATATTTTTCTGCTTATGCGCGCAGAACGGTTTCACGAACGTTGTACAATTTTATTATTTTACCTAGCACTCGACTGATTAACTACTCTACGCTGCTATTCTAAACTTTTAAGAATTGCACATATTTTTTTATGTATTTTTATTAACTAAACACGGAGACATATCCTTTCACGATTTCTCCAACGACGCGACCAGTGTGACTGTGGGTTGGCAGTTGAAACATGTCATAACAGTGTGGCCGGTTTCCCCTGTGTCTTTATATACTAGAGCTTATCGCACTTTTATAAATACAATATCTTTTCATTAGTTTATTATTTTTTATTACTATTATTATTGTTTATATATTATATACGTATATTATTGTTACTTGAAAAATCTTATAAGTGCCTAAAAACACATTAATGTGTGGAGCTATCGATAAGTCGATACCGATTATGGTCACCCTAAAATTTTGCAACGTTTTTTGCTAAATATTCAATTTCAAATTTGGAATTAAAATATTTGTTACCATAATACGCTGGGCAACGCCACAATCGTTCAGATTTTAGGGCTTCTAAATGTAAAAAAATTTTACGTCAAAAGAGTTCTCTAAAACCTAGTTCCTATTAAAGTCACATAACATAATTTATGAAACCATGTTCAAAAGTTCAAGAAGTAATGGGGTTTTTAGTTTAGATTTTTATTATAATAATTTTCCGTTAAATCCATTATTGACAAAGACTACAAAAAGCGGATCGATTTAATAATATTAGCCGATTTTTGATAACAAAGGTGCCTTTTTCGGTTTCGTTACGCGGGTCTTGGACAAGAGTTACGATCTGCCATTTATAAGCATAAATAAAGGCAACACAAACAATCTACAAAGTGTAGATCGATTTGACGTTCGAGCCTTGCTTGACCATCGTGTCCTTGTGCAACTGGTACTGCAGCGAGTTGTTACGTCCCAGACGCAGGGCATCGCGCAGCTTGTGGCCAATTTCTAAAGCGGCTTCCTCGTTGTTGCCGTTGGCAGTCCAGATCGCTAAAGAAAAAAGAAGGAGGTAATAAACAATGGAATTCATAGGAAGTTGGGGGATGTGAAAACTTACAAATCTTGTTGCTCTTGCCACGAATGTTTACAACAGCCCCGCAAATCTGATCGGAGTGGTCGAAGGCCTCGCCAATCAGGCAAAGCAGCTGCCATGAAAAACATATGATTAGTCATAAAGAACATAGGTGATCTCATTGTTGTTATTGTTAAATGTGTTTTAGAAGAAGATATATTATCGGCTCTATTGATATTATTGGATTTAATTATCTTTGATTTATAAAAACTAATCTGATTAAATTAGGATTTGCTTACCACATCAAGCCATAGGTTATCCAGATCGCTCTTGGAGCTTTTGTTTAGGGTGATGACCCATCGGCCGCCCTGCTTGTTGGCGGCATCCTCCCACATGGGACTGCGTTCAAGGAGAGGAAGAATATTAATGAGATAAAGTCTATTGACCTAAGATCCAACCCACCGAATGTTCTTTTTGAAGAGCGAGTAATCACTGCCCAGTTTGATTTCTGATGGCGGCTTGATGTGGTTATATAGGCTCCAGAAGTCCTCGACGGTGTCAAAGCTGGTGATTTCGTTTTGCATGTCCTCCCATGACTTAGATCGATCATTTTCGAGATACCACAAGGTCCAGACGTTCATGAGCGGGTGCTTAAACAGGTGCTCGGTGCGAACAGCATCATCGCCGGCGGGGGTAGTGGATGCGGTGTTTGCTGCTGGCTCAGCAGCCTCCTGGGGATCCTCCTTGGGCTTGACATCCTTCGCCTCTGCCTTGGCGGGTGCAGCCGGAGTGGGTGGTTCCGGACGACCCTGCTCGCTGCTGGGGGCGCTGGTCTACGAAGAAATAGGTATAAGATCGGACGAGGGGATTCAAAAGATTAGATTAGCTTGGCTTAGCGACTAGGCGCGCTAGAGAGTATTACTTTGAACATTGATTTGGGATTGGCAAAGTTCTTCATTCTGTGAAAGTCGCTCTGCATGTTGGCGGCCGTGTTTTTGGATGCGTTTTTGATGGTAGAAGGATCGTAGGATCAGTTCTGTTTCAGTTCCGAAGAGGATTCGCCGTGATTCACTTGCCGCTCTCTCTTTCTCTCAGTCGTGGTGTGTGATAGTGGTGGTGGTGCGAGTGTGTGTGCAAGAGAGCGAAGCTTTTGATTTCTGTTCGAGTGTGTGTGGATTTTGGATTGTTACTTGGTATCTGACTGCAATCCACTGCTTTTCACTTGTGTATTATTAACCAAAAAACTAAGTAATGATAATACAAAAAAATCTCGTTAAACTTGTATTATTGAGTGGGTGGGAAAGTATGTTGTGAGTATGTAGAGTATCCTGTTTCACTTTGGGTGCTACTAGTAGCTAAAAAAAGCGAACAACTGTTCCTAGCAAACTCCGAATCGAGAGTGGCGATGGAATTACAGCACACACACACACGCGCACGTATTTGACATAAAAACACAGATTGCCTGTTGAAAGAATTGGAATTGATGTTTTATATTTGAGTTTGAATTTATTTTTCGTTATTTTTTCTTTGTTGCGGCTAAAATTCGAGACTGCGTGTGCGACAGTTCAAAGCAGCGGCGCGTTTAACTGAAAAAAGTCGAAAGGAAGGAGGTGGAAAGTGGAGAAGAGAAAAACCAACGGTTCTGGCGATGCCCGAACTGCAATGGCCGACAAAAAATTATGATTTAACTGTTGTTCGCGACTGCTTAATTGCAGTAATTCACTCTTTTTATTTTTTGTTCTTTTAGTCTCTCTGCCTATTTATGTAGCAAAAAGAAACAGAAACCCACACACACACGCGCGCGACGTCTTGACAAATTCCAGCCACAGAGAGAAAGAGCGAGAGAGAGAGCAGTGAAAACGTGTGGTATGCAAATGCGAGGAGAGGAAAGAGAGCGAGTGACCGCGAAAGCGAGATAGCCAGATAGAGACAGAGAGAGGAAGAGCTATGACGTAGACAACAGCGTGCAAGTAGAAATAATTAGCAATTATAGTGCGCGAAATTACGGGGCTGCTAATTAAGGTGAACAATGAGAGGGTGATGCCACGCCAACTGCACACTTCTTATTTTTACTCGACTGTCGCCTCCCCCTCTTGTGCAACAACCCTGTTTTTTGTTGTTCCTGCCACGGCTCAGCCGAAATCGGAATGGAAACCATGCGGCTCTTGCCTTTGCCCGTCTTACCTTCTCCGTCTCCAACACTACCATGATTTCACTATCGCTTTATGGGATCCTATTTGTCGGTTACGCACTCGCACTGCGTAGGATTTGGGCTTAATTATTATTAGAATTATTAAATTCTTTAATTAAGTTTTGGTTTTTGGTGGCCAGACACAGTGTGACCGGATCCAAAAAGGTGGAATAAACCAAAATATACCGAAATTTGGTGATGGCAGACTTTCAGCAGTTATCGGATTATCGATAAGACAGTTCTTCGCATGGCTGTCACAAACAGGTTGCTATAAAACATTTACACCCGTTAAATTTAAATTTATTTGGGAAAGAAAAAAATTTTGTGCGAAAGCTGAGCCAGAAACGTCTAAGAAAACAATGTATTTATTATCTATTTTCTCTTGACATATATATTAAGACACGTAAGTCATTGGTAAACTTTACTTCAAGAGGCTCTATTTACGTATGAATTTATATGCAAGAGTGAATCATTAAACTCATTAATATTTAATCTTCAAATACAGTATAAGTTTAACTGAACCGTTAAAGCAATTTAAATAATATATATATAAAACAATTTTCAAAACTGTGAAAATTCGTATTTCATATAGGCTGAGAATATTATCAAATTTTAAATTTAAAATTTAACAACAAGCTTGTACAGGTTTCATGGCAATAAAAACCTTTTATTGGACATTTTTTTACTAACACCTTCCCTCTCATTGTTCCGGTTTTACTTTTAAAAAATGATTATATTGCTTACATGTTGAATAACTTACTTCAAATTCATAAGGAAGTCAGATAAAACGCCAAAGCCAATCCTAGATCTTTAATCACAAATATAAATGCAAATTTAATTGACATTTCATCTGTTTCCCACAGCACGATCGCCATCAACAACAAAGTTTGCGTCATTTATCATACGCAATTATTTGATATTTTAAAGGCAGCAAAAAATAACAATATATTATAAATAATTACTAACCAAAATTTGAGACGGAGAGGCCCAGAAAACCTGATTTTTGGTCGAAAATTAGGTCTTCGTTTTTATTTAGACACTGGCATCATCAATTGGCATTCAATAACAAAATAACAAACTTAAGAATGAATCAATGAGTTTTCCAAATAATAGGATGCTAGTTTGTTTATTTGTTTTCAATGCGGATTCCAGAAACTGCCAGAAGAAATAAAAATTAATGAATGAAGTGACAAAGTAACAAAATTACTTTAACTAGAAATTGGACGTCAGAGTTTATGATTTTGCCACATAACTTAGTCCAACCAGTTGGTGAATCATAAACAATCCAGAATTTTAGTGGTTTCTAAAGCTGTTTAGTTTTAGGAACCAATAAAGTTCTTTTTCAAGATTGGCTCGCCTTTGTCTGCTTTAAAAATAGCAAAAAGACCCCGAAAAAACAGTGGGAAACACTCGGCAACAGATTGTGATGATGCTACTTATGAAGATGATGTGGCGCTTTGGATATGCTTGACTTTTAAAATAGACTGTTGCAGTAGTCGCAAGCTGAAAGATTGAAGATGTTTACGGGCCCAGCCTGAAACGTGAAGCGTGTTTATTATTTAAATAGTTAAGTCATTTTGTAAACGAACAACTGCGCAGTTGCCCTTGTAATCGCCTAATAAGCGGGCTTTCAAGAGTTTTTCACGATCGCTGCGCCGAAAACCCTTCCCGAAACCCAACATCCGTGGTCTCTAATTACACTTGAGCCGGGCTTATTGAACTGACATTTGATCGGACACTCGAGTGATGCGATTACCCATCGAATCCTCTATTATACTCGCCTCGCATCTAATTATGCAGCAATCAATCGGAGCTCGAGTGCTTGGCGCATGTCTAAACAAAAACTTCCGCCGATCTACAGGAAACCCGGAGCCAAAGTAAAACCTATAGCAGTAAACTTTGCATTCATTAAAAGTAAAAAGTGATTGAGGCGCTCAAAGATGCTTAATTGTAAATAAATCATAGCCAAGTGGTTAGAGGAAAAAACCCTTGGGGTCAAGGGGTTCGACTTGGGGGTACCTCTTAATTTTGTATATATATTTCAAAATATTATTTCAATTATTTCAAATAATACAATAACGTGTGGAAATTCACTGAAAATCAATGAAAAATCACTAAAAAAAATGTCATTAAAATGTTGGAATTTCTAAAAACAAATTCTTTGTACAAAAATATCTAGTTGAACCGTCATAGAAAATTCTTTTCAAAGACCTCTAAACCAAACCGCTTTTAGCCATCAAGATAAGATAATACAAACCAGACTTGAGACATTCAACCACCGAATATGCCTGCCACACCAGCGAATTCCAATTGGCAAAAAAAGTATCTTTAAGATACTCGAAACTGACAGCCAGTGAGCGCTGAAACTGCCACTTGAAACGAGTCGAAAAGGGTTCTCGAGAACGGCAACCAAAGATGGGTAGACCACAAAACTATTAGATAACTAATTGACCAAGCGGCATACATACAATTAATGATGTTTTCATAGCTGTCTCCGCATCCCCCCAGATATAACCCCCACCTTGGATATATCCGTAGTATCTGAGTGTGAGAAGTGCGAATTTGAGCGACGTTGATAATGAACTTCAAACTGCCGCCACTGGCTGTGGGATCCGAATCGAGATTCTAAAGCTGAGTAAGAAACCGGACAGGAGAAGCTCCGTCCGCTGGTCAGTGAAGCACACCAGCACATCTTCATTCAGATTTATGCAAAACGCAAAAAACAACAATACACCGCCGACTTGAAAGTTAGTATAAAAGCAGTCACTTTGGATATTCAGTTATTAGTAGCGCGCCAACTGCAGAACAGCGAAAACGTATTGATATCTGGATATATAACTCACATTTCGATCGGAATCCATAATGAAGTGCTTCATCTTGGCTGCCCTCTTGCTGGTAAATGCAGATAATTTGCATAATTAAGCCGATATTTACGATCATCATCGCTGAATAGATTCGATTCCATTCAATTAAAATCCGGGTTGAGCTCGCTATAAAATGTCAACTGTGTGCGCGATTGGCAGAGTGCAAATACAAAAGTTATACAATGTGCAAAAATTAAGCAAACCTCGGGTTACATGCGAATTGAGACTTTAATCAATGACATGACATCATCTTTGTTTTTGTGATCTTCTCGCCAGAATTTGTGTAGCGTGTTAAATTGGCCATAAAGCCAGCCCACCTTTAAGCCATAACTTTATGCTTGTCTAAGTTTTTTTTGCTAATTATATGCACACGTCTTTCGTTTTATTTTAGGCCACCCTTGCCAGCGGAGAGAACATCTTCAAGATCAACATATCGCCCGAGGAGGCGCAGCAGTTTCTGAACAGCGCCCAACTGCGTGGCATCGGCGACATCGAGTACGCCCCGAAAACCGGCGAGAATCCTCTGCCCGAGGCTCGCAACGAGAAGGGCGAGTTCGTGTACATGGGCCGCGTGATCGAGCATCCCGAGGACTATGTGGAGGAGCACTACGATGCCCACCAGTACCATGGTCAGGATGGCTTGGGTCAGTTTGCCTACGGCTACAGGGACTGGAACCAGGGCAAGAACGAGAAGCGGGATGAGACGGGCAAGGTGACCGGATCGTACAAGTATGTGCAGCCGCATGGCCGTGACTTTGTGGCCAACTACTATGCCGACAAGACCGGCTTCCACGTGGAGGACAATCGCCCTGCCCATCTCAAGCTGCCAGCCACCAAAACCCCGGCTGTCCTGAAGGCCGAGGAGGAGCACTTCAAGCTGTGGGGCGAACTGGCCGCCGCCGCCGGTCACAATCCCGATCCCTATGCCGCCGAGTACCAGCAGGAGGGTCGCTACCAGCCCGCCGAGCCGGAGTACCAGCCCTACGTCCACGAGGAGCAGCCATACGTGCCCGGTCCCGAGGAGACCGGTGAACCGAAGGGCTTCTTCTACGCCTTCGACTACAATGTGCCTTTGTTGCGCAACAAGGAGGAGCGCACCGAACTGGAACGCCTGAGGGCCATCAACAACAAGGATGAATAAGGTTGGATCCTTTTCCAGAGCCTTCTGGTTAGAGAAGATCCAGCGCATCCATGTATAGGTCGTCCTGTAGAAAGTAGCAAACATTTCACATATTTATTGAATCCTTCGCAAAAATAAATCGCAGCTCCAACTACACTTTTGTCAAATACGATCTTTTATTATTACATACATATACATATAAAAATGTGTGTGTTCTGTTTGTGTTTGTTGTAGAAGTTTTTCCGGGGTGTTTTCTTTTGGAAAACTCTAGATGTTTCAGAGGCTGGGAGTGAACCAAAATTCGAATTTTTCTCTGGGAAACGTAGGTAACTTAATAAAATTAAAATTTTTTAAGGTTTCTTTTTTTGTTATCCAAATATCTAGAGTTTTCCAGTTGAACCCCTATTGCTATCAACTTGCCACACGCATTTTCATTATAATTTCCTTGCCCGGCTTCTCTTTTCAAGTAAAATTATTGCTTTTTGCTCTTCGCTTAGAAGACTTGAATCTTAAACTAGTTGAATTCTTTAATTATAGTGTTATGTTTGTTGTTGTTTGTGTGGTTGGGTTCGTGCTATAATTAAATACTAATTTTACACGAGCATTTCTCATTTACAACCAGTTAAAAACTAGCATATACTTTAGGGTTCTCGGTACTCATTCCAACTCACAATTAAGGAAACTCTGGATTTAAGTATAATACCAATTGGATGCAATCAATTTTGATTAATTCTCATACACTCTTCCTGTATGGCACCTTAAAAAAAAATAAACAAACGAAACACAAAAAGAGAATTTGGATCCTTCGCTAATGTGAGGATTTTTTCCTAGCAAACAAAATTATATTTTATTCGGTATACTTTGTGTATGTGTTTCTAGTTTCTCAATAAAATGCTTCGATGTGGAAACAAAATTAGATTTTCGATTGAATCACAATTGAAATTTCGTTCGTTTTGTGGAAATATGTAGCTAACTTTATATACAAAGTCGTTACACGTATATACTTTTTTATATGGCAGCATTGTTCAGTCCGATATTGCAGTTGAAACATTTAGTTTTCTCTTCTTTTTTTCCTTAGTGGTGTTTTCCCGAATGTCTATTCGAATTGTAGAGGTTTACTCCCTATAATATATGATTGAGTGGATGGTTTCGTTTGAAGTTGAGGGATCGGGTGTTAGCACGAAACAATAAACACAGAAAAAGGTTAAACATTCCAACAGTTTCAATTACAACACAACAAGCACGCACAGAAAATAAAATAGAAGGGGAAATAGTGGATCCCCTAGAGAGGAACTAAAGTTAAACTTTTTAAAATAAAACATAATAGCGACATTGCGGATCTGTATACTGTCCTCGCATTCGGGTATACTAAGGTACATAAGTTAGTTGTGGCACTCCAGAGCCGTCTTCAAAAACTCCCCCGTCGTACTGCCCCTCAACTTCAAAGCGTGGAGATCAATCGATCCAGGGTTTGGGTCTTGCTTGGATCAGCGAAGTTGCGTAATACTTTTGCACGGATATGAACTGGGAAATGTCTGGTGGGTTTTTGTTTGGTTTGCCGATGAAGTGACGATACAATTTGGGAATGGATCTAGTTAATTAGTGTTGGATGTTTAGATGAGTGCTATGATGTTCGATTTGGCGCATGAGTTTCATTCGACGATTACGTGTTTTAAATACATTAAATCTCGTGTTTATCAACTGGTTCTTGCTAGGTTCTTGTCGCTCTCTTGGGCTTTGTTGTATATAAGGCAAACTGTATGCGAATCATACATATATTGAACTATGTAAATACGTTTTTTTTTTTGTTTTATCATTTCATTTTGTTTGTTAAATGCCGGGGAAGATCCTGGGAGAAGCGCTGTCGTCTATAAATGTCTATGAGCTGGAGCATGGCACAACTGTTTGTTCATCTAGTCCTGTTTTTGAGTGGCTATCCGATAAATTGACCAACGGTGTAAACGGGTGTGTGAGTGTATACATTTTCTGTATATATATATATATATATGTATATATAAATCTTGTATATGCTACACGACTCTCTATCCACGACTCTAAGCCCTAAGTGCTGGCGAGTGCCGCCTCTCCTACTCCTTTCGTCCTAACTCCCACTTACCTACGAGATTTTGTGTGTGTGTGTAAATTCAGGATTATCTCTACTTGGCCGCCGCGGCCGTTGCCGCATTTGCATTTGCCGGCGATACTTTCAGCTTGATGAACATACTGTTGTCGCCATTGCTGCCGCTGTTCAGATCCAGCTTCTGCACCTCGCACTCCAGATTGTTGATGCAGTTCTTCTCGTACTGCGTGGTTCCATTGTCCGAAGCGGCGGCGGACTTCTCCGACGGCTGCTCGCTGGGCGCCACCTTCTTCTCCTTGCTCTTCTTCAGCGCATTCAGCAGGGTCTTCTCTTTGCTCTTGCCCTCCTTGTGACTGCTGTCCTTGTCCTTGTGCTTGTTGTTCTTGAAGCGCGGGAAGATGCAGCCGTTGGGCAAGAAGCCACCGAGTTTGTCCTTCTTTGCGGGGGCAGCCGGTGGCGGAGTTGGTGTGGCGACTGGTGCAGAAGCGGGAGCTGGAGCTGGACTGGGATTGGATGTGGTTGTGGCTGTTGCTGGCGGCGGTGTAGAGTTGCTGGCTGTAGGCGTGCTGGCTCCATTGGTGGTTGCCGTTGGAGCAAACTTTATCTCGGGTTCGATCTCCACCGCCCCCTTCTGATTGTCCAGCACAGCTGCTGATCCGTTTGTCGCTACATTAGCAGCTCCATTCGCCGAGCTGCCGGCGTCCGTTTGATCCACGCAAGCCTCTTCCAACAATGCCGATGGTTCCTGCTGTTCCGCCTGCTCGCTGGCCACCTTGTTGTCCAGTTGCTGGGCGAAGACAGCCAGGGTGATGCCATTGCCATTGCCGTTGCCGTTTCCATTGCTGTTTCCGTGCTCCGCCAGCAGCGGCTCAACCAGATGAGCCGGTGGCGAGCCGGCCTCGTTCACTGAAGCACCAGCACTAGCTGCCCGCGCGGCATCCGGTGACTTCGGAAACATCTGCTGTGTGGTGATGTTCTGGTAGTGCTGCTGCTGGCGCTGCTGCATCATCTGCTCCTCTCGCTCGCGATCGCGCTGTGCCTGCACGGCGTTCCACACGTCCTTTAGCTCGCCGGAGATGTCGCGATCCTTGAGTATTACGGCGTTTCTGAGGGGTATCCAGGTTAGTTTAATAAAATCTTGAGAATATATATAATATTTGTATATTACCTGACTAGTTTCACGCCTGGGTTCATAGCCTCCACAAAGTCGCACATCAGCTCCACCATGGCTCGCCGCTCCTCAGGATCTTTGCTGTGGCGTCCTGAGTCCTTAAGCACCTCAGGATTGGCCATGACGGCAAAGACAATCGGAGGACTCCGAGGACTGCCAGGTGGAACCTGAACAAATAAAAAAGTGTTTTTAATTTTAATACAGTATAAAATAAAGAAGTGTAATACTTTTTCTTATTGGTTATTTGTTACAGATAGAAAATGTTATACTCCATAAACTTACCCGCATGCCTCCGTAGAGGGGAATGGGATCACTGGGCTCCTGCGGTATCACAATACGCGTCCAGCTAAGGACGTTGATGAAGAGCTCCTCGCCGGACTCTGTGGTGGTGCGGATGCACATGTGCGGTTGCGGCGGATTCTTGAAGTGGCGATAGGCCCGCGAATGCCGGTAGCTGTGTGGCGGTGGTGAGGAGTTCATCAGGCTGATTCCGAGTCCTGCCATTCCGTTGTTGCTGTTCCCCTCGATTTCAGACTGCTGGGCATCCTGATGCAGCTGCAGCTGGGTTTCCGGATCCAAATTGTTGTTGTAGCTGTTTGTTGTGGTTGCATTTTCATCGATGGCAGTGTTTGTATTTGATTCCTCGCCTTGCTGACTTTGTTGTTGTGGTTGTTGCTCCTGGGCAGCAGATTCGGCTTCAAGCTCCGCAGCAGACATGGTTTCGGTTTTTTTTTTTTAAGTATATAGCTTAGCAGTCTTTAGTTTAATTATTTTAATAGGATTTCCTTTTGTTTTCCTTGTGATTATCTGGGCTAAGCTTCAATGCGCCTTGCGGCGAATTTGTCATGCGGCGAATCCGCTTAGCCGTGTTTTTCGTCCTCTTTGTTCTACCACGCACTCACACCAAAACATAAGCTCTCTCGCTCGCTCTTGCAGGCTCGCCGCCTTCTTACAACATTATCATTGCTTTCTTTGGGTCCTGGCTGCGTGCCTAACTTTTGACCTTTGGCGTAATTAATGGACTTGTCTGCATATTAGTGGCTATTATTTATGTCCCACGATTGACACCAATATCCTCCAGAAAAGTCAAAGTCTTTTATCTGGGAAAGCACACACACACGAATGCAAAACACCCTTCTGCCGTTACATACGTACAAGTGGGAGTTGGTTGGCTGCGGGGCAGGTGGGGGAAGAGAAAAGACGAGGTGAAAACATGAAAATGGAAAAGTTCAAAGCGTTTTGCGGTGCCACACTTACACATTTCCCTGCTTTTCATTTATAATAATCACTTTTCCATTGCACCGTGCACACAAAAACACTCAAACACACACTCGCTTGGGCGCAGTTACATACTTATATGTACACACACAAGATGCGTTTTTTCTGACTTGCACTCACATATTTTCCAACGATTTGGGAAAAAACAATGCAGCCACCGAACGTGTGCGCTGCGCTGATTTTTATATTTAGCTTTTTAGCAGCTTTTCATGGCGCAGACGGACACTCGGGAAAACAGCCGATTTTTCCGACAACGTTCCAACATAAACAAAAAACTAATGGGCCAATATGGCCAGATGGTCGTTTGGAGCCACGGTACAATATTGCCAGATGGGTGAAACAACCAGGAGTGTCACAGCTAGAAAAATAACTTATATTTTTAAAACATACTTTAAACTTTAAATAACCTCTTGACATAAAATATAATAAAACCATTTTCAACAAATCCAATAAATAAATATTTTTCTTTCCTTATATGTAACTCACAAATCGATATATTTCTTGAACCGGTTCCGCTCATAAGAACATAATCAATACTTTTGCAGCCCTGGTCCAGCCGGTTAATTTTTTGCACAAGCGCTGGACAAAAACTAAGAGAAAACGGCCCAAAGCGTGGTTTAATTGACAGCCACAATTGTAAATAAACAGTTTAATATTCGACTATTGTGGGAAAATAAGTTTTCATCGCGCAATATATTGATTTCTTAGTTTGTCGTCCAGTTCGAGCCGCAATTTTCACTTAGCGGTGTGTGTATAACAAAATGGCGTCCTCGCAAGTCTCAAACAAATCGGGCTCCGGATGGCCGCGCCGCGGAAGTCAAGGACAAGCGGATGCAGTAGCCAGCAATAACAACGGCACCCAGAAGTACACCAACCAAGCGCTGACCATTAATCGCACCATAAATCTGTGAGAACTACATCACCCACAATCTGAAGGGTTCTTGTTCTGATAAAGATTCATACATTTTAGATACCCCCTGACTAACTACACATTCGGTACCAAAGAGCCACTCTTCGAAAAGGATCCATCTGTACCGTCACGATTCCAGCGAATGCGCGAGGAGTTCGATCGCATTGGAATGCGACGATCCGTCGAGGGAGTACTCCTTGTCCATGAGCATGGATTGCCACATGTCTTGCTCCTCCAGCTTGGCACCACATTCTTTAAACTGCCCGGCGGCGAACTAAACGCTGGCGAGGATGAGGTTGAGGGCCTGAAGCGACTGCTCTCCGAGGTAAGCACTGAATAAATAAACACCAAATAGAGCCCGAAATGGAAATAGGTCATGCAGTTACCCAAGCCATATATCTGTCTGAGTTGGGCTTTAAACTAAATTAATTAATTAAAAATTTGAGAAAATGTTCCTCAAATTTTTTTGTTTGTTTTTCTTAAATAAAATATCATTTAATCATTTGCACTAGGTAATTAACATAAATATAAATTTTTTTAGACGCTGGGTCGTCAGGACGGCGTGAAGCAGGAGTGGATTGTTGAGGACACCATTGGAAACTGGTGGCGGCCGAACTTCGAGCCACCGCAATACCCGTACATTCCACCGCACATCACCAAACCCAAGGAACACAAGCGTCTTTTCCTTGTCCAGCTGCATGAAAAGGGTAAATATCCGCAAGTAGTTTTAGGGTTCTACGCGTGGGTATATCGAGCAAACCAGTGTATCCAGAATATCCATCTCTCCATGTAATTTAATATAACCTATAGATTTTGATGTTTTTTTGCCAAAAACCGAATACGCTAACAAACCTCATGTCATATCTTTTTAATGCTGTTTAGATACGGACGGGAACGCCAGTTACGATGTACCCTGAGCTGTTCCATTAGCGCCGTGTGTGTCGTATCTACCCAACTCTACTCTCAAGAGTGCAATGCCATAGAACAACAATCGAGCAAACAGATCATATCAAACAGAAAAGAAACAAACAGATCGCAAAGCAAGCAGGCGCACGCGACGTCTTAGTTAGTTTTGATTCTAGTCCAATTGTAAATTGTATTCTTGCTCAGGACTGCGTGTTGGCATATTTTGCTGTTTCCGACTCTTGTCATTCAAAACCCAAATATTGTTCTTGTACATTAATTTTGTAAATATGTCGACATACTTGTTAGACTGAGCGCGACCATGTTATCGTTCTATTTACATATTTATTTATCTCCTAGCTTCTACTCTTACTTTTGTCAAGTGTCATGTGTTGTTCATCTTATCCAATTGTGTATTATCGAAATGAATCCACCGGGCAGGCAGCAGAGAGCATTGTAACGTTGCTGGCTATCGCATTAATGCGCCCAAATCTCGCGTGTCTTGCAGATTTGCGTGCATGCCGGTCAGCCAGGTCGCCAGTCGCTCCTTAAATTAAGCACTCGTTTATGTAAACACAAGCAAAATACTTTTTAAACTTTCCGTTTCATGCTAATGGTAATGCCTTCGATGTGCGCTGAACTGAATTGCAGTCCCACCGGCTGAGGCAATTCAGGGCACAAATCGAACCTCACATATCATGTATAATGTTGTTCTTAATGGAAATTATGTTCATGTCTGAAAATTAGGAAACGTCACTGAGCCAGCAAAGTGCGAGTTGCTTTGCGAGTCGGAGCGAATCCTAGTTATTAGTCTAACGAATCTAACTATGAATGTAAAACGACTCTATATCATATGGCAGCAAAAGAAATCCTAATATGTAAATTGTACAACCGATTGTAATACCCCTAGATAATACATATATTCTGTGAATTTGAATACTCGTTGCTATTTCTACATACATGAATTCTGTCTCTATCGTTTTCCGTAATCTAGCACTATTTGCTGTGCCCAAAAATTATAAGCTTGTTGCTGCGCCATTGTTCGAGCTATACGACAACTCGCAAGGCTATGGACCGATCATCTCATCCCTTCCGCAGGCCCTCTGCAGGTAAGCTCCTCTGTTATACCTTACTTTCCAGACGTACCACTAATATATTCATATGTTTCTAGGTTCAACTTCATCTACATGTAAGGGAAGACGGAGGAATCAACGTCCAGCAATATTTAAGCAGCAGTGAAGCACCAACGAAAGGTCTACCTTAGAAAGTTCAGCACCCCAGATCAGCCCGTAGATTTCCATTTCATGTGTGTGTGTGTAAAACGTACATAATTGTATTGCAGATAAAATGGAAAGCCAGTCCCTTTCACTTGGCAAATAGAGTCGACAAAATTTGTGCTTTATTTGTATATCTTCGTCTTTAATCTATTTGCATTTGGGGGTTGTGTGTTCTATAAACTAAATGTTAGACCGTTTTTGAGAAAATTTTGAGTATCGTTATGAAGATGGGCTCTGGCCAACTGGCGCTCTCCCTATAGCATGTACTCGTCATAGATTTGTTCGAAATATTCGCGTTTTCTGTAATTGGAAGATACACACGGGTTGAATAACATTAAGAGGTTTTGCGATTACACGGTACAAAGCAAAGTCGTTGATAAAGCAAGACAAATTATGTTTGAAAATTATCTAGCTCAATACCGACAGTTTTAGATCTACATTTCAATTTGCTATTGTTAACATTAAATCGTGAGGATCTAGGTTTACAGATGCTCTTTGGAGTGCGTGGCTTGTAACAAATGAACGAATCAACAAAAGTCTGAGAAGAAGCTCACAACAAAATCAACGAACTGAAGTACAGGAACCGTTTGGTGTATTATTTCGATTAGGTAATAGATTCTTACTGTCTAGATTAATTTTGTTAATTATGCTTATGCCACACGTACAAAAAGATGCTAGCAAATATTGCGTGGTTTTTTCTTCGCCTTGTGGCTTTTACCACAACTTATTGTGATAGAACTTTAGATCGTAGTAGCCCTGATCGGTGAGGCCGCCACCACCGCCGCCGGAGGAAACGGTGGACATGGCATCCGTGTTGTCCTGGCCCGGTGAGGTTACTTCGTGGCCGGGTGGACGGTTGATCTTGACCACGCCGAAGTCCTCTCGCTCCATCTGATCGAACTCCATCTTGCTGCTGGGCATCACGGCCATTCCGACGCCGAACGAGCGATTCTTCATGCCCGTGTGCTGCTTGCTCAGCTGGAAAGCCGGTGGTCTCCGGTTGTCGCCAACGATGCTCTCGGCCACCTCGGGCGATCGCACGGTCGGAGGAGTCGGAGTGTGACTCTTTGGCGGCGGTGATGGTGGGGTAATCACCTCCGGCTCAGGTTCCGGTTCCGGTTCAGGCTCTGGTTCAACTTCCGGTTCCGGCTCAAAGTGGTTCACTTCCAAGTCGGCCAAACTCTGCCGCTGCAGTTGCTCTGCAATTTCGACAAGATCTGGATTGCCATTGCCGCTGTTGGAAGAGTTTTCAAATTGATTAAAACTAATCTTTATTTTATTTCCTAATAAACAAAAAAAAAAAAAAAAAACAAAAACAAACGCTTATAAACATTCAATTAATTAATATCATTGATTTTATTGCTCGAGAAAAAAAAACGAAAATAAGTTACGACCAACAATTATGTAGTTAAATGTTAAATGATAAGTTATATGTTGTAATCACAATTTGTCAGGTATTTTTGTATGTCTTGTGTAAACGGTTCCGATTTAGTGGTTTGCTATCTTTTTTTGCTTGAGTGTTTTGTTTGCTTGTTTGCTTCGGTTGTTTTCATGTTGTGTTGTGGGTGGTGGTGGTTTTGTTTTTGGTGGTGGGTGGTGGCATGCGGCAAGTGCAGCTTCATCTGCTTTAGCTCGTACATTAAGTAAATTCATCGTTTTTAAAATTAACTAGGCGAAATAATATAAATAATTGGCTAAAATCAAAGCTTTGTACAATTGGTTATTATGTTGACATTTCAGTTTATCTAGTTCTGATTTCTATTTCTTTTGTATGTGAAGCAGCCGTGTGCAATTTTTGTGGGGTTGGCTTTATCTATTTGATTCTGAAAGACAAACGAAAAGAGTAAAATGAAACCCAAATGAAGACCATACACAAAATGATAATGCAAAAGAAGATATTAGGGAAAATAAGTGCGGTTTTACCTGTTCGATTCCGCACTGCCGTTGCCTTTTCCACCCTTCGAGGTGCCAGCATGAATTATCTGAAAATGAATCAATTATTAGGTCAAACTCGGCGGTGAAAACAATTGGAGATAAGATCTGTCTATTAACTTAAATTAATTGCCATTTTGTGGGCCACACATTTCGACGAATTTCTTTATTAATTCCCAGGCCTACAACTTAGTATAAATATTAGGTACAAAACGCAAACTAGTTTCCCCGAAAAACAACCATTTGGCACGCAGCCAAAATATCACCCCCTGATTTTTTGGGGTGACTTCACCCCAAAAGTGGTTGACCCACTCTTGGTAAAAGTTAAAGCAAATGTTTTACTCCTGAATTTCTTTATTTACAAGTGTTTACCAATTAGACCAAAATGTTTTTATGTTGCCCATTGTCAACTATTGGTTTCTAAAAGGTAGATTTGTGTTAACCAGGTCGTTACATACTTTTTAAATCGTCTTCACTAATAAAACAAAACAGCTTCCAAAATAAAACGTAGAGTCAAGCACTTAAAATTTGGTGCAATTCACTCTGGATCGATTTTCTTTTTTTTTTTTACTGAACAGGTAGACTGGCGTCTCCATGTCCAAGCTCCGGGGTTCGCACTAAATAAATGGTGGTCTGACAGTTGGGACAAGTGGTGCACATCTCGGCATCGGGTGGTGCTGCAGCTCCCCCTCCGTTTTCCCTGGGCGCATTATTGCCGCCTCCTTGTTGAGTCATTGCTCCTCCAGTTGCTGTTGGCTGAGTTGCCTGCGGAGCTCCGGTTGCCGACGGCTGGGAAGGCTGTGGGGGTCAGATGGATTTTATATCCCTTCCAAGGCTCTCCAAAAAGGTTATTATATTTACATATCCATGCTGAGGCAACTGGTGTTGCGGCTGCAATTGATGTTGCTGCTGCATCTGTTGCTGCTGCTGCTGCTGAATTGGTTGAGTCGCTTGCTGCTGTTGCTCGTAGCCACCATGCTGTTGCATGTGCTGCTGCTGCTGATGTTGCATATGCTGCTGGTGGACATGAGCCCTTCCCGACGGTGGGGGCTCCATACGCGTTGGCTGTCCGGCAGCCGGTTGTTGCATGTATTGCTGTTGCAATTGTTGCTGCGAGGGCACAACCGCCGCTTGAGGAGGCATCTGTTGTTGTTGCTGCTGCTGTTGCATGGCATCCGCTGGAGGCATCTGCTGATACTGCTGCTGCTGTATTTGTTGCTGCTGCTGCTGCTGATTGGGATCCTGACCCCCGGAAACGCGGATGGGAGCCATTGCTGCTGTGCCCTGTTGACCAGGAGGAGCTCCTCCACCTGCAGCTGCCTGCGGCAGGTTGTCCCTATCCAATCCAGAATGACGAACCCTGGGCGGTCGGGCAAAGGCATTTGAGGCAAGGAAGGCATCGTCCACATCCTGCAAGCCGGATCGTCGCTGGAAAGGATTCTGATTGCGCACGGGACCGCTGCGGCTTAAGGCATCCAATGGACTCTTGAGGGGCTGTGATTGGGTTTGTCATTCGTGTAACTCCTAATCAGTCGGGCAAGTCTTACATTTTCCGAATTCCTGGCCTGACTGGGCGTCAGACTGACCTGGCTGACCTGCTTGCGTCCCATGGCTACTCCACCTCCTTCGCCACCGCCATTATTGGCGCCATGGCGTGACTGTAAACCAAGTTATTCAGTCATCATCTGGAGGAGAGTTTTATTCGACCAACTTACAGCCACGCTCGTCTTGGAGGCATGATAGCCACCACCACCACCGCCGCCGCCTCCGCCTCCGCTTTGGCGTGCCCCAGAGGCATTACCACGTTTGGCATCCATAAATTAAATCACTGGAAATTAGCAAGGCACACGAAGAACTTGGCACAAATCGCGTCGAAACGAGTTATATGTTAAAAAACATATAAAATACAAATATTTTTGTATATAGAAAGTCGAAAGAGCTGTCCGACTGATGTGGAGTATAAATTTGAACTGAAGTAAAGCCGAAGCTAGGTGGGAATATTGCAATTGACAGATTGGGAGCCCGAATCCTGGCAAGCTAAGGTTTTGATTTTTTTTTTATAGTTAGTTATACATAAAGTGGTTTCACATATGAATTAGAAACAATGAAATTGTCTCTTTTTCTAGATGGATTGTCTTGGATTTAAGCAAGAAATCCCATAAGAAAAAGTTTAGTTTAAAAAAATTAAATAAAATTCTTATACTTAGCTCATTTATTATATGAGTCCACAACTCATGAAATAAATAAACAACTAAATTAAAACAACTTATCGTTATGTTTTCTAGGAAATTAAGACCATTCTACAAACCATAACCAATATCTCAAAATTCCCAGAAACAAGGTTTGTAATTACTAGATTTAAATAAAGTATTATAGTACCTCGGCCATGCTGCAGGTGGGACGAGGTGCCCCATATCGTCCGGACGGAGAGATCTGTGTTATCTGCTGGAGCAGCACATTTGGTGTTGTCTGCTGCTGGGAGCCACGCCGCCGATTAGAATCCTCGCCCAGGTAAGTAGCACCAAAGAGCTGTGTGTTAGGACTGTTCTCGATGTGGTTGGTTATCATTTTGGTTATGGGTTAGCGCAATATGTGGAGAAAGAGTTAGGCACATTGATTATATAGGGTAAGAATGGAATAGATTGTTTACAATTTTATTTATGGCTATCACCTTAATGTGAACCATTAAAGTTTTGAGGTTTTCTTTTAGTAAGCTAACTTATGAGTTGGTCTTGAATGATGATTACTGGGGATAAAGAGGCAATGCAAGCAACAGGCCACCATTAAAGCGATGTCATTAATCAACTCGGACCGAGCTTTATCGATCGGCGGGCTTCCTACCGGCGAGCAAACAAACGAATCTAGAGTCCGATTTGCATACGATATGCAAATGGGGCCAAAAGAAATGGCCAACTGAGGCCGAAAGTGAAATGTTTCCTGCAGCGGCGAAAGCAACGCCTTAATTGCCACGGACTGCGCCAGGTGGGAAAAATCAAAGGAAGGCGACGCCTCCTCACCTGTTTGTGATGTGCAGGCCGTTCTGGTTGCGCTGCGGCGACTGGGCGTGGCCGTGGGCGTTACCATGTCCGTTCGCCGAAGCCGCATCGTCAAAGAATCCCTCGTAGAGTACGAAATTGTTCGCCTGCGGAATGATTCGCTTCAATCCGTAATGCTTGCTTAGGAAGGCCAGCAGCTTTTCCGACGGCCTGTCCACGGAGCACTTGAGTGGCGTCCACTGCTCCTCGCTTAGCATCGTCTGGAAGAGACGCTTTCCCAGGCCGGCACGTTGACGGGACTCGTGGACGTAAAAGTCCAAAATAGACGGAGCCTGCTCCACCTTGCGCGTCTGTCCGGTTTCGTCGAACAAATAGAGATCCTTTGTGCCCACCTTAAGAAGTCCCGTGACGGCACCGCTGGAAAAGATACATAATATATTATAAGATACATACAAGCTATAGAAGACTTACTTGTGTCCCGCCTCACTATCCGCCAGCAGATAGATGGTCTGGTTATCGGACATCCTCAGGCGCTGGGCCGTGGTCACCGGCTTGTTGAGTCCTTGCGAGATCGCCGACAGTTGGCCCAGCCGGTCGATGATCTCCGACATCTTGGAGGTGGCATCCCTGCATGCGTGCGTGGGCGAGTGAGTGTGGAAAGGGTATCGGTTAGTCGGATCAAGCCAACGGGATCCCACACCGCGTACAATTTCAATACTCACAAACACTGACGCCGATCGCCGCGGAAGGTGTGCGGCAGGAGGTTCGATGTCACCTTGATAATTGGCTGCGGAAACAGCGGCTTGATATCGAAGCGGAACTCCACCATTATGCTGGCCCTCGATTGTTCTCTTAGTTAGTTTCTCTTTGCTTTTTTTTTGGTCTACTTAGTGTGTGCGAGTGTGTGTACACAGTCCCTGCAATTGAGAAATGAGAATCGCGAATTTAATGGAGCGTTGCGAAAGCGGTGCGCAAACAATTTGATTATCTGATGCCGACTTTGGCTTTCGGCTTTGTCTATTTCGCTGTGGGAATCGCTGCACATGCAATCAAGCCAATCGTTGTTGCCTTCGCCCGGCGACCGCCTTTGTCAATGATTCAGCAGATGCAAGCCCACACGTGTACACTCGGAAAAATTGGAAGCTTGAGAGCCTAAACTTTTTATCACACGTATAAATCTCTATGTAAAGATAGACTGTATGAGAATACCTTTAGAAATAAATGCGCATTCCCAAAAGAAAATGCAAGAAAAAAGGTAAAACCTATTTCACCAAAAGTTTTATAAAAATAAGGAGAATAAATAGCTTTTAAAATCCGTAACAAAGCGGATAATTAACCAGTCATCCAAAACGAATTATATGGTTTAGATTTTATTTATAAAAAACTAAAACGTTTATAAACAAAACACCAGTCCTAGGGAAAGGTTCAACCATGAGGCTTTGTGCTGTTCTGTTCTATGGTATGTTAGTTTGATTTATGGGACCACTTAAGCTGACACCTTTACTTCCATTGCCAAAAAAAGGTCTTTCGGAAGGGACGCTTCTTCTAACTGTTATGGGTTTTCTAACGGTCCAACAAACGAGGCTAAAGTTCCGATTCTTTCACGAAGTGGCTGTTAATTCCCACAACTTAACCGTGGATCCGGTATCGGTTTCCCAGTTGGCGGAGGCAAAGAATAGGATGATTGCGTTGGAGAAAAGTGCCTCTAAGATGACCGAAGATCAAGTTCAGAACCATCTTTTGGAGATTTGCGACTCTATCAAAAGAGATCCCTGTAAGATCTGGCAGCCAGACGTTTGTCCGTCGTGGCGACCAGGTTGTTACGGCCGGCCACGGCAAGACACGTGTCCACCTTGGATCTCCTCGTGCCTGATTCCTACTCCGCCAGTGCAGTGCTGGCTCCATCCTGGCGAGTATTGTCCTCAGCCCCTGGGGGCCTATTGCCGTTTAGGTGGTTGGTGTAAACCTGGTGAAAAATGCCCCGGGGTATTGACAACTCCAACTACAACTATACCAACAACAACTACAACTACAAAAACAAAAACTACTCCAACTACAACAACAACTACTACTCCAACTACAACAACAACTACTCCAACACCAACTACAACAAAAACATTGCCTTCAGAGTTTACTACTTCAGAACCAGGCGAATGTGGAAGGCCTGGAGGTCCAGGTGGTCCCAATGGTCCAGGTGGCCCGAATGGCCCTGGAGGCCCTATGGGACCAGGAGGTCCTGGAGGTCCCGGGGGTCCTATGGGACCAGGAGGACCTGGTGGACCGGGAGGACCTAATGGACCGGGAGGACCAGGAATGCCTTGGGGTCCTGGAGGACCGGGGGGACCTGGTGGCCCAAACGGGCCTGGAGGACCGGGCGGACCCGGAGGACCTGGCGGCCCAGGAGGCCCCGGAGGACCTTGTGGACCGGGATGTGAGAAGGCAAAAAAGAAACCTAAGCTCAAATGTTGTCCGCCGGGTCATAAAAAAAAGGAAATCACCATATAGAGATACATCCGAATACCCCTCACTTACCAATTGGTCCGCCTGGACTTAATCATCGAACTAAGTTGACGGGAGGTCCTACTCAACACGAGGAATCCTTAACTACTAAGCAAATACTTCCCTGCAAGCCTTTTCTATCGCGGAAGACACTTCTGAGTGACTTCTGGAAGATAAAACTATCTTCCGCGACTATCGCTTTCGGATCGCGGAAGTGACGTCCGTCGGGAAGAACTGTGACACTTCTGCGTCACCCCCCAGAAGAGACTTCCGCGAAACTTCCAGAAGTGACTTCTGCGTCACCCCCCAGAAGAGACTTCTGCGACACTTCCAGAAGTGTCTTCCGCGACACTTCTAGAAGTGACTTCCGCGACACTTCTAGAAGTGACTTCCGCGACACTTCCAGAAGTTACCCAGAAGAATATTCCCAATTGGAAAAAAATAATAGAAAATATTTTTACTATATTTATTAAAAATTTAATTTTTTTTTTAAATATAATAACTTATACATATGTTAATATATTTTTTTTAATATAATTTTGTATATTTTCGACGCTTGTACACCCGATGAACTGTTGATGGAAGATTTTTTGATTTTTCAGCTCTGAATCATCCAGAAATTTAACAAATGTAAACTCTAAAAGAAAACAAACAAATAATATTATTAAAATGAAAAGCATATTTAGAAACTGATGTGCATTACCTTTATATAAAAAATAGTTGATCTTAACATGTGCTGCATTTTTTCCGGCATTGTACGCGTTGTTAGACGCAATAATATCTTTAAACACTTAACAATTTTCAGACTAGAACTGGCAAGTCAGCAATCTAGAAACTAACTGACGCTTTGCAGCAAAATCAGTACGCGGGTCAAAGGAAAATACAAAAAAATGTTCAGTAAAACCAGAATATCGGTAAATTTTTGGGACCTTTGCTTTACTATCTTCCTATCAACTTCCAGAAGTGAATTGGAAGATAGTTTTTTTTTGTATATTTGTTGTTGTAAAATGTGTGCTATCGTCTTTCTATCTTCCAGAAGTGACTCAGAAGTGTCTTCTTCGGGATAGATGTGTATTTTGTTTTTGTAAAATGTGTTCTATCGTCTTTCTATCTTCCAGAAGTGACTTATAAGTGACTTCTAGGCGATAAAAAACTCTTCTTTTTTTCCAAAAATTTCTATCGTCTTTCTATCTTCCAGAAGTGTCTAAGAAGTGACTTCTAGGCGATAGATGTGTATTTTGTTTTTGTAAAATGTGCTCTATCGTCTTTCTATCTTCCAGAAGTGACTAAGAAGTGTCTTCTAGACGATAGGGGATAAATTTATCTTCCAAAGGCTTGCAGGGACCAATCAATTGAACTCCATTTTAAGATCTGCACGTATGGATCACCCTTTTCAATATCTGAAAAGTTTGGACTGGGATTCTTCACGAAATAATACAAGGACACTAAATATGTTCAGAAGCGCAAACCGAGTTAATTGCATTGTGGCACATATACTAAAATCATTCAATGAGGACGAAAAAAAAATGTATGGGTAGTACTGTTTACGAAAATCTATTTTAACTTTTATTTGGTTCGGATATTTGATCATGATTATTGTTTTTTACATTTAAACAAAAAAGACAATTTTTTATATATACAATTTTTTAAACTTTATTGGGCAAGTGTATTTTTGGGGGCATAGCCCCGTCATCTGCATATTTTTGCTTCTGTTAGCGACTCCGCCTGTTGACCTAAATCATCGTATTAGGCTCGGATTACAATCGAAACTGTTGCGTTTTGCGGAGAATCCTTTTTGACAGAACTGGGAATATAACTTTTGTTCCGGGGGCGTGTCTGTCAGGACAAACGTTAGTCGGTTGCATGCCACTACCGCCTTTGTTAATTTGCGAAGTGCAATGAACTCTGAGAACTCAGAGAATAAACGATAACGCAGAGCAGAGCTTTCAATTGTAATTACCTTTGATGGAGGCGGGCAGCTAAACTTTTTCCCTTTGTTACGGTTTTGTCAGGGGAAAAGTTAAACAACTCTCTGCTGGCGTCGCAGTTAGCAGCGCTGCTCGAGTTTCCAGTGCGATAGCAACAGAAAAGACGTTGTCGGCAAATGACGTGTTTCCATTACGTTTTTACATATCAACAACACCTACAGCTGTGCTCAAGGCAATGGCACTAGAAAAGTCATAAAAAAAATACCTTAACTATTGCTACTTTTTTAAGCTTCTAGATAATAAAAACTTTAAAAAAGATCAGGGAATTTTTAATCTTGAACTACCGTAATTATACCCTTGCAGAGCAAAGGGTATTATAATTTTGGCCAGAAGTTTGCAACGCAGTGAAGGAGACACCTCAGACCCCATAAAGTATATATATTCTTGATCAGCATCACGAGTAGAATCGGAATACGTCTGTACGTCTGTCCGTCTGTCCGTCTGTCCGTCTGTCCGTCTGTCCGTCTGTCCGTTTCTGCCTAAACTAGTCTCTCAGTTTTAAAGCTATCTCGCTGAAACTTTCCCAAAATGTGTGTAGTTATTGCACGCAGTATATAAGTCGGAACGGGCCGGATCGGCCGACTATATCGGATAGCTCCCATACGAGAGAATGAAATTAAAAATTCTTACTCCGTTGTTTTTGATCAGATCGACTTGAATTCTTCAAGATGGCGTTTTCTAACTGTTATTGAATTTCGGATTAAATTTGATCAAAATCGGATAACTCTATCATATAGCTGCCATAGGAGAGATCGAAAATTATATATAGAATTAATGGAAATAAATTGATAACATCGTTGTTTTTTATCCCACGAGCATGATTTTTTGAATATAAAGTTTTTAACAACGTCTATATTGAGAAAAAAGTTTCATAAAAATCGGTCATCTATATCTTATAGCTGCCATAGGAAAGATCGAAAAATCTATATAGAAATAATGGAAATAAAATTATAACATCGTTGTTTTTCATCAGACAAGTATGATTTTTGGAATATAGAGTTTTCTTACGACTCTTGAATTACGAATTAAATTTGATCAAAATCGGACAACTATATCGTATAGCTCCCATATGATCTATAGTCAAAAATATGGAAAATGAATAGAAAAATCGTCTTAGCTTCGATGTTGTCTAGCCTTTATGAGTTTTGTTCGACATATTTGATGACTGCAAGGGTATATAAGCTTCGGCTTGCCGAAGCTAGCTTCCTTTCTTGTTTTTAATAATATTAAGTCACAACGTTCGTTTTGCATTAAAGAAGATCTCAAATTCTTGGTGCTAACTTTGCATCCTCAACTGTAAGTCGCACATGTCTAAGGCCCCCCAGCAAGGGGACTACCTTGTTGTTGTTATTGTGATTGCGATGGTTGTTTATTTTTTCAGTGCATGAAACCGTTGACGTTGCCATACACAATCAGCCCACTTTGTAACTGTTTATGAACCAACAGCAAGCGATGCAAAACAAAAATACAAGACGACAAAACAATAAAAAAAAAACCAAAGTAACAACGAGAGCGACAAAGAAAACCACGCACCTTAAAAGGAGTCAGAGGGAGAGGACAAGTGCAGTTCTTGGGCTCCCTCTTTTGCTCCACTTGTAAATGTGTCAAGTGAGCTTGTCTCTCTTGCACACGTAAACTTGATATGTAAAGGTGTGTAATTCCATACGAGAGCGTGAGAGAGTTAATCAGCGGAATTAAAATCGCGTGCTGCCCCGTAAACAAGTCGAGTGTTAGAAATTAAAAATGGAGGGATCGTCACAAACAATCGAACGGTTAATCAGTAGACAGCCCCACAAAAATAACAACAACTCGGCATGGAAACAACTGTGGAAAAACAAATCAATCGAGAGGTGCAGACAATTGGCAAAGCGAAATATAAATAGTCATTTCCCCATTAATCTGCCTGGTGATGAAAATTAATACAGCAATTTCACGCAGCCTTCAGTCTAGAACTGTATAGCTATTAAGCCCAGCCTATCAGCTTACGGCTGGAAAAACAATCCCACAAACTGTCGTGTCATTATGCAAGCCTCCGGCTTTTTGATTGAAAGTGGGAGGTAAAATAGTTGGGGGTGTGGTCAGGGGCTCAATTACCAAACAGCTGTTAACTGCCTCACTATATTCGATGTTGCTATTAATGGAAACACAATAAAAAATGTAACTTTTGATATAACTTTTGCAAGGGAATTTTTCAATCAAATAACATATGTATTTATGTATGTAATTTTTAAACAATACATTTAATTCTTTGAGTCAAAAGAGTTAAAGCTCACAATATACTATTTGTATTTTCTAAATGTCCAAAACATTTGTAAGGCTTCGACTTACAGAACTTGAACTGCCCAATACATTTTCGGTAAATTAGAAACCATTATCGCGTCAGGCACTCAATGGGCATAATAAATTAGCCAGCTCAGGTACTTTGCCATGCGTTTCAGATCAGGTGACGAGCCTACCTCTATACTTTGTGAGTCCAAGGAAAATATACCTACATACATAGTGAATAGGACTTGTTGGAAAATTTATGCAGCAACAAGGTCAATCGATAATGCAGACCCGAAAGGAGCACCAAAAACCCAAGACCAGTTGCCTAGGCAAGGAAAAACTTAAACTGGAAAACGAAAAATAGGAAAACGACAGGTGCCGCAGCCGTTGACAGGGTCAGGTAAAGGTACAGGTGTGTTCTCTACTATTATTTCCCCCAGATTTTCATTCCTTCTTGGGTTCTTTTGTCGCTCAAGGCAACGGCAATTAAAAGCAGTCAACGTTTTACGGTTTTGTTTAGTGGAAGTCACTGGCCGAGGTAAGCTTTAAATATGCATGAGAACATGTTCAAACATGCACATGCACGCACAGCACGCAATGAATTCTTTATCGTTATCGATAAAGTGTCATTGTTGGCAATGAAATACTTTTTTGCGGTCTGACCACCGTTTATTATGTTGTTTTGCACTGTTTACCACAAACGAACGATCGCGAACGGCCAAAACAACTTGTTATTCTACAATTGCGAACAAAAAAATTGCCATAGCAACGATAACAAAAACAACAACAAGAAACCGCAGAGGGAATTGCATTTTCATCCGACATTGTTGTTTTTGCCGCTTGCATTGCACACGCCGCGTTTTTTGTTGTTGTTTTGTATCTAATTGCTGTAGACTGAAAACAAATAAAGAGATATCAAAAGAGAAAAAATGATAGAAGATTCTCCAGATTACATTAATACATAATAACTGCAACAGTTGCCTGATATTGCATCAGAATCGGACAGTTAAAATATAATTCCCGCCGTTTTAAAAATACTTAGAGCTTACTCCAGCGATAATCAGCAGGAATTTCGGTTATTTTCCACATCAATGATTAATCATGAAAGCAAAAATGAAAGTATTGAAAACACGGCGATCAACAAGACCCAAAAGGTACACTGAGGTTTAAAATCGATAAGCGGCATTTGAAATACAGTCAACCTTGAAGAGCAATTGTTTTGAATGGATCGATTAAGAAACAATTTTGATAAAAAACAAATTTTCAATTTTAGCAATATCTAAGATTAAGTTAAGTTAACGAGAAGATTTATTATTATTAAGTTTTGTGAGTGCGTGAGATCGAAGTCTGTCCGTTTGTAAATTTTACTAGTCATGCTTTCTAGAACTGGGGTCATAAATGCCATGCTTGCTATTTGTTTGTCGATAATTTTGAGGTAGTCTTTCGATGTCTGGTCAAACCCCGTCTCCTGGAAATCACCCATAGTTAAATGGTGCCACAAAGATAAGGCATGATGGTCTGCTGCTGGCAAATCCAGTTCTAGGCGGTTCTTCTAAGCACTCGAGTGTCGCGGGTTTAATGACAGCTAAACCATAATTTTTCATTGTTTATATTTTTTGTGATAAGCAGACATTGTCGCATTCATGCAGCACATGTTGGGTTCAAAGGTTTATTTTCACCCAAAGCAATTCGCTCTTTCAATTGAAGCTGATTAAATGAATTGAGTGTTATTCTCGGATAAAAAACGAAGAAAGGGTAATCCCAAAGTCGTGGTGGACTTACGGCTGAATGAAAACTGTTGTTAATTTGTAGCAAAAACACACATTTCTCTCTCGTACACTTGTAATACTTATCGCTCGATCGCTACACGAAGAGAAAATTAGCTTAACAAGTAGTTGTTAACTTTGTAATTTGCCAAAACGTGTAATTGTTAGTATTTTAAAGTAAAATGTTCGAAAACGTCGACGTAAAATGTTTAAAAATCTTAATTTAATAAGAATTTATAGTTAAACTGTTTTTTCTCTGTGTGGTCCGTACGAGCAGAGAACTTAATTTCAATCAAATTTTTCTTTCGGTGTGGTCAGACATAAAAAAGAGAACGGAAAGAGAGAAACCGCTTTTGTGTGCGTTGAGCGGGTTTTTTTTTAAAAGGGCGATCGAGTCTTTTTGAGTCACTTGTGAAAAATCAGTCATCGCGAGCAGTTCGACTAAAGAAAACCCGCTGGCACACAAATTAAAACCACTTATCAAACAAAAACAATAAACAGCTGAGCAGCAGCCAACGCGAAGCGCGTGTGCGAAAAGAAACGAGAAAACATATACAAAACACAAAAGCACAAGAGATACACAAAAAAAGAAAAGAGAAGCAACGGAAAATTTTGGGGACCAAACAAAGCCGAAGCTTTTACGTCAAGCGGTTGGATAGAAAAATAATTCCTATCGAAAAAATCACAACGTGTACGCCGGTGAAGATGAGTGGTTCAGTTTTGAGTTTGGCGCGTCCCGCTGCAGCAGCCACAAATGGCCATAATCTGTTGGCCAAACAGCTGAATTGCAATGGCAACGGTACGTCGGGCGGGGCGGCCAAAACCACCGTGGCCTCGGCCATAACACCACCCAAACAGCCTCAATTGGCGGCCAAGGTCATCCAGCAGTCGCAGATCGTTTGCTTCGATGTGGATTCCACCGTTATTTGCGAGGAGGGCATTGATGAGTTGGCCGAGTTCTGTGGCAAAGGAAGCGAAGTGGCCCGCGTCACAAAGGAGGCGATGGGCGGTGCGATGACCTTCCGGGATGCCCTCAAAATCCGGCTAGACATAATTCGGCCCACCCAGCAGCAAGTGCGGGACTTCATTCAAGAAAGGCCCAGCACACTGAGCAAAAACGTCAAGCGTTTCGTGGCCCACTTAAAGGCGGAAGGCAAACAGGTTTATTTGATCTCCGGCGGATTCGATAGCCTTATTGCGCCCGTGGCCAATGAATTGGGTATCCCATTAACCAATGTTTATGCCAACAAAATGCTGTTCGATTATATGGGCGAATACGATAGTTTTGACATCAATCAGCCAACATCGCGTTCCGGTGGAAAAGCCGAGGCTATTGCCCTGATAAAAAATAAGGATAGCAATCAAGATTCCCTCATCACCATGATCGGAGATGGAGCCACCGATTTGGAGGCCGTACCGCCAGCCAACTATTTTATTGGTTTTGGTGGCAATGTCGTTCGACCGGAGGTCTATCGTCGGGCCCAGTATTACGTAACGGACTTTGAGCAGCTGATGGGGCAATGAGATGATATATACGTAAATCTGTATCAACGGCGGGGGAGGGCGAATTTAGTATTTGAAATCAACGTGTTATAGCTCTTAGTAATGCACATGTTATAGTCCATGTATGTGTTTAAATGAATGTATGTACAATAGTTCGTAACTAAATAACAATAAAAAGCGATAGTAAAATAATGAAAAACGAACAAGTGAAACCGCACGAGGTGACTTTGTTAATGTTAACTCCTACAGAGAAAATGTTAACTCCTACAGAGAATGTTAACCGCGCGCTTTAAGTGACGCAGCGCAATTTGTAAAAATACAGGGTGCGCCGCTTTTTAAGGTTTATCAAGTATAAGTGTTAAACAATAAGCAACCAAAAGCTAAATTTAAAATGAAAAGGTAAATAAAAAAAAATCTTATTAAACAAATAACAATTTTTGCTGTAATAAGTTAAATGCAATATTCAGTGGATATCGAATCATGGTAAAAGTCTCGCAATCAAGGCTTCCTATTTTGAAGACTAGGAAGTAGGTTGAGCAATAGGCAATCCAATAAAACCTCTGAATGATTTTAACTCGTAGCCATTTGGAGCAATTAGCAACTTTAATAGTAGTCTATTAAAATACAAAAACAAAAGAAAGGGCCTTTATGCTTTCAGCAAAAGTTCATGCCAAATACGAACCTAGTTTAGATTTCTGACGCTGTTTTATGCCCTTTAACAGAAATAAGATTACCTTATAAAATGTACAAACAAGGTTTCCAAGTATTTGTGACCGAATTCCCAAACAACTAATGCTTCTCATAAGCTTTATATTTTGTTTTCATTCACAATCTTAAGGCCAAGAAAATAACGTAAAAAATTACAAAAAATAATAAAAGGCAAAATCATATAGTAAACCTTATGGTTCATCATAACCAGCTTTTCCATCATTTGCGATTGAAGACCAAGCGTTTAATTGCCCAAGCAGCTTGCATTCCATTTGATTTTAGCACGAAGGTGCCAGAAATTGCCGGCTCCAAAGACCACTAATACCAGAAAACAACGCCTTCTTGAGCAATTATCAATTGCTGTAATCGACTCCGGCGGAGTTAAAAACAGTTGGCAAGCGAAAACAACGGCAAGGCCGAATCGTGGGTGTCAAGCATCGGGCGGTAATCCATGAATGGAACGGGTGGTTTGGCGGTCAACGTCATCGTGTTTAATTGGCTGCGGGAAACGCTTTGAGCCAGCTTAAATGTGGACCATATTAGGCGTGCTTTGACTGCCGTTTAAACGGCATAGGGGCGTGAATTAAGGCCAGGCTGCAGTCAAACTTAGAACGGGAAGAAAGCAGCCGCCGATGAGATCACCTTCTAATGAAAGGCGCCCAAATCGGATCTTTTATGCCCTGCAGCCCTAATGAATAACTTGTCTTGGGCACTACAGTAAAACATCTTTAACTTTTACTCTATCGTTTCGGGACTTCTAAAATATCTAATTATATACCTATCGAAGTTTTTCTGTGCCATGAAAATACTTGGGACTGCAAGATAACTACTTATGTTGTGATACATTAGTTTTAATAATATAAGTATTACTGTTATATGTCATGCAGATGACGCACTTTTTATGGGAACGTAGCAGCCGCTGTTGTCTCATTCTTTTTTCATATGTAACTTGACAGGGCAAGCTCGAAATATTAATGACAGCTATATGAGAAATAGTGAATTGGTAGAAGTTACGCTGAGAATACCATGCAAATGAATTATCTCAGTGGACGCTGCTGTCTCTTGGTAATGACTTCAGAGCTCCGTCGCATGACGTAAAGATGTTTTATTTATGTGCCCACTGAGCCACACGGCAGTGGCACGAATGCGAAAGCGGTGGGCAGCGGAATGGAAATGGATATGAAAATGGCATAAAACGTAAACAGAAAGCTTGACGAAGGTAGACTTACCGCAACAACGAAACAACAACCTCTGACGGATTTAAATTGGGCTTGGAAATATATCTCACGGCTATACGGATTGCACGTTCCAGTTTCCAGTGGTCGCCTATGGATGCACTAATCCGGCTTTTTTGCTGCAATTTTCTCTTACGGATGCTGCGCGTTGAGATGCGGGCGTATCTCTTTCTCTCTCTCACTCACTTAGACACTCGCGGGGGAGGTGGGTGTCTTATATTGATTTTGAAATTTGTTTCAGTCCGACCAAAATGTTTACGAGAATACTGTTCCGTACTTCCTTATTTGTTTTGCTCTAACACATAATTCAACACCTGGTGGTTTCTTGTTTGTGTATGTATGTATACGCGCCGCTTCGCTGTGGGAAATTGGAGCCAATAGGCGGATGGCCGTAACGCGTGGACTTAGCTCGAAAGTCGGTTAAAAACTGATGTTGAGGAACTGAACGGCGTTTGCGGCGAGCTCAGATTTTTTGGGGGTGAATGGCTAACTTCAAAGCCAGTTGCGAAGCTTTGGCTTGCAACACAGTGATGGCAAGCTGCTTATTGACCTATCGATAGCTTAGCGATGGGATTTTTTAATGTTGAAATGATGCACAAATATTAAATCCCACTATTAAGTATATTGTATATTCAATGATCCAATATTATTTAAAAATGATCCAAGATTTTAAATTCATAGGTTAACAATTAGGTTTTAATATTAATTGATAGGTGCTTAAAAGACTCAGGCTCTCTAGCAGAATAAAAATTTTGAAGCTCCACCCCTGACAACTATCGATATGTCTGCAGCTTATGCGGCCACACTTTTCCCAATACGGTCTTACCTTGAGTAATATACGAATTACTAATAACAAAGGCTGCTGCTGGAAAAAGGACCAGCGAGGACGCCCGAACGCTGTCACACGCCCACAGCAACCGCACAAATGCCGAAGAATGGAGACGCCGGCAACCGGAGTGGTTCCGGGACAACCAGCGACGGCTGCGTTTATCCGGACGACGTCATAATGGGCGTTGGTGTTGCATTCAATGTCCGGTACACGGGCTGCGTTGAGGTGAAGACCTCTATGAAGTCTCTTGATTTTGAGACCCGCACTCAGCTCGCGCGGTAATCAACAACTTTGAATGAATCACAACCACTGGTTAATCATGTTTTTCCCTCCGAAATAGGGAGTGTATCAACCGGGTTTGCGAGGCCGCAGGCCTAAAGACCGCTGGCAAGCGAAAGTTAACCAGCTTCATATCGGATCGCCCCAGCATGCAGCACGCCGGCACCAACATCGTCATCAACGTCTCCAGCCGTGCTCTGTCCCTCAGCAATGTGGAAACAGGCGAGGTTATAGCCAATCATAATATGCCCCGCATTTCGTTCGCCTCCGGCGGCGATAACGACACCCTGGACTTTCTGGCCTACATAGCCAAAAACGAGGATGAATGGCGAGCCTGTTATGTTCTGGAATGCGCCGGTGGACAGAGCGAGGATCTTATAGTAACAATTGGCAAAGCGTTTGCCCTGCGCTTCAACGCTCTCAGTCGGCTAAATGATCCATCGGGGGATTGCAACATCAATCAGAGTTGCAAGGAGAATGTTAAGGAGTATTACAACGATTTGCCCAACAAGCTGCCGCCCGAGCTGCCGGATCAACAACAGCAGCAGCAGTTGCCACTGCATCCACATGCGCCGCGTGTGGCACAGCTTAATTTGAAGAAGCCGCGCGATCGCCTGAGCAGCAATCTCATCGACCTCAACTCCCCGCCTCCCGATCAGACGACCAATAAACTGGGCCACTTTGATCCACTCCATGCGTCTACCACGGCTGCCAACTCAGTTTTGGCCACAGTGCGCGATGTGTTCGATGGACCGCAGTGTCCTCTCACCGCGGAGGTGTGGTTCCATGCGGGTATATCTAGACCAATTTCGGAACGGCTGCTGCAGCAGGATGGTGACTTCCTGGTGCGCGAGTCCGGGGGAAAAAGGGGACAGTATGTGCTTACCGGACTGGAGGGCAAGACGCCTAAGCATCTGTTACTCATCGACCCCGAAGGCGTGGTCCGTACCAAAGATCGCATCTTCGACAGCATAAGCCACCTGATCAACTATCACTGGTTGCACGCACTACCTATCATATCGGAGGATTCCGAGCTGGTCTTGCGCAATCCGGTGCGAAGGCCGCAGCAAGATCAGGCTGCGGCTCCAATTGCAACACCTGCTTCCTAAATCGGAGGGCACAATCATACATATACTTACCACCCCTCATATACACAACATATATACATACTGGCATCAGCGTACACGCTTAGATTTAAATATTGTGCACTCGTAGAGAATATCTTTTATATTTCGTCAGTATAGGAACGAACCCATTTATTTATGGATTAAATATTTACATATTTACAGATATGTGCATGTCTACATTTTAAATTCGAGTGCGAATAAAGAAGAGAAACTTAAGCATATATTTTGGGTTTTAAAAATGGAAAAGGGCTTGTAAATATGATTTTTTTGATTTCTTTGCTATTATATATAAAATGATATTTGCAAAAAGTACGATTATTAGTAAACTTCTAATAACGGTTGAGACACTTTTGAATTTGTCGATCTTATCACTACAGATAAGGACTTTGTAATCGAATATAGCTAAGGTACAACAAAGAAGATAAGAGCAAGTAGCTGATTAACAGTTTTGTCCAGTTTATTTATTCTAAAAAACTTTACGCATACAGTAAATAGTAACACCATGTTATGAATAGATATCATTTATTAATCAAGTTCAATTGCTTTATGATTGCTTTTATTATTAGTGTTCAAAATGGCCGAGAATGGTGAATTCGTTCTCAACGCCGACTGTCTTTTGGAGATCATGAAATACATAATTGCCGACCAAAATAAATTCCTAGGGACTCCCCTTCATGATGACATAATCAACTTCGTGCTGTCCCATGAATATTGCTTGCAAGTGTTTGCAGAGCAGTACAAAAGTCTGTACAAGGATATAGAGCGGGATCTAGCTCTCAGGATCACAGTGCTATTAATTGATTTACGGGTCAATAAGATATCAAAGGATGTAAAAGAACTTTTCTGGAATTCCTATCTGCACTCTTTGAGGAACAATATAAAACCCTATGATGTTCATTTGTTCTTCTACAAAGATAAAAACGAAGGAGATAACGGATATGTAAACATATTTATACCAGGTATACCAACATTTTTTATAATTTTAAAAACAGCTTGCTTCATTAAAAATATTTAGCTTTTAAGATTTTTAAAAATCTCTACTTTAAAACTACTTAATTTTAAAGGCACGCCTACAATCACCAAGCTGGTAAAACTAAACGAAAATATTACATCAGAAATATTAACAGACATCTGTACCACTATTCCAAATTTGAGGAAATTGGACTTTGAAGGAATCGAAATATGTGGAAGTTTATCGGATATTGTACCCTGTTGCAAAAATCTTGAAGAACTTGGAATAAAGTTGAATACAGGAATCGAGGGTGCCCAATATGCACCGCTAGTAATACTACCGAATTTAAAAAATATTACAATCACCGGAGTTCAAGAATGCGGTTCAGAATTGCAATTCTTTGGGGATTTACGAAAGTGGCACCGTCCTAAAAATCTTCCACCTTTGACATTGACAATCGTGGATTATCTGAGCGAATTAAATCGGTCGTTTAAGTTTGTGACATTTGCATCGTTGCGGAAGTTGAGCACTTTGGGTAGGTGTTTCGTCTCCTCGGATAAACAAGACTTGATTTACAAAACAGAAATTAAAGCTGAGTACGATGTGTATGAATTATGGAAAGAAAGCAATTTAATAGAGGAACATATCGCATCAATTACTTTATGCCAAGAAGAGCAGATTGAGTTTGATTGGTTTAAAGGAGAACTTAATTTGAATATACATCCAGAGTCGGACATTGGCAATTTTGCATCATTATCAAAACTTCCGAATTTACAAAGATTGGTCGTAAGGAATGCTAATACATCTAGTGAAAACGAAAATAACATGATACCACTCGCCAAGTTTCTTCGATTAATGGCCCCAAAAAGATCATGTTCCTTAAAGTCTTGCAGAATAGAGGACATACCATTAGATCGATTGAGCTGCAAGGAACTTGGAAGAATAGAATCAATACAATTTCTCAAGTGCGACATATATGATTGGGATTCGATCAAGGAATTAACTCAATTAACTAACCTCCAACACCTCATTATTCATGTTATGGAACCCATTAACTTTAACACTTCAAAGCTAATCTTCAATCTGCTAAATATATGCCAAATACAAGCTGACATATTTTGTTCCGCATTTCATATTACCTTTTGGAAGATTAAAAACCGTTTAAGGATCCAAAACACACAGGGCTTTAAAGCTCGCTATCGAGAATCTGAACTTCAACTTCAGATCGAAAAGTGCTCGGAACCTGGATCCCTAAATCAGCTCTTTGACGAATTTTCAGCCAGCAATTTATTGAAGATTGAAGAGTTGGAAATTTCCAATTCAAAGAAATTGCCATTTGAATACATCTCCAAATTGGCAGAGGTTCAAACAATAAAGAAACTAATTTGTGACCCCGATGACTTAACAGGCATTGAGAAATTGGCCAATTTGAGTAACCTTGAGGATATGACCATAAATTCTTCAAGGTATATTATGGACAAAAATGATTGCCTTTCTTTACTTCTAAAAAATATGGAAGCGCAACACTCAATTCAGTGTATAAACTTGCCATTCCAGAAACTTACTTTTGAAGAGGTTTTTATTATTTCACGGATAAGGTCACTGAAAAAATTGAGATGCGGGTTTTCCGAAATGGAAGACTTTCAGTCATTGTCAGAGCTAGCCAACTCAAGTATTGAAGAACTAATTGTTTTAGATACACGCTTCCCTGTTTTAAACTTATTGACTGCTTTTTCTTTAAATCGTACTACTAAGCTACAGAAGCTTGAATTTGTTAGAAATACTCTTGGCGTGAGAGAAGTGTCTGAGATTTCAAAAATTAAAAAACTTACAATGCTAAGTGCAACGTTCCAAAATTCAGAGAGTTTTGAAGAAAATAATTTGTTAGAGCCACCGTTGAAGATTTTGGCAATCAAATCACCGACAACACTCCAAAAATTGGAACTAAATGAATGGATTGGTATTGGTTCCACTGAATGCAATTATTTAACTCAAATCGAAACTTTGGAGTCTTTAAATTGTAAACTGCGTAGAGAACCTGGCATAGAAGTGTTGGCAAATATAAAAAGGCTTACAAAATTATTTATCACAGAATCATATAGTTCGCAAAATGAAGCGCAAAGTACTGCAATGGCCGAACTTTACCGGGCTTTGGCGCTTAAAAGTGATTCAATGTTACAAGAACTTCAAACGCAAGTGAACGATTCTGTTGAGAACTGTGAAATATCAAAAATAAAATCGTTACAAACTTTAAAAATTATCTATAATAGGAAATGTGACAACATATCAGATCTGGGACAACTAAGCGAACTTAGATCATTGCATATAGCTGAAAACTATGGAAGCATTGATTGCCATAATTTATTGTCAATATTTCAGTCTTGCCAAAATCTTGATTTCGCCACTTTTGAATTTAAGAATAATGATTTGGATGCAAGCTTTATAGACAAAGTGATTAGCATTTTAAAATCTTCAAGGGATCCCGTACGTCAAAGACCGTTAAAACTTCTTTTGATTGAAGAATCTACCTTTCCGAATTTCCATGTATGTAATTTTTATTATATTGGTAGGCCGAATCTTATTACAAACGGTTTTTCTTTCAGCTAAAGGACATTGACTCAGCGTATATGAACATCTCCTACGCGTACAAACCAGAGGACATGATGATTTTTCCAGATGACGGCGAAGAAGAATTTTATTTTGATGACCTAGATTCTAATGACTCGGAGTCCCTGTTTTTTTAATTGCTAGATATTTAAGAACAGTTTGTCTTGCAAAAATTAACTATTGTAATATATTTTATATTAATAAACAAAAAACAGTTTTAAAAAAGTTTTATAAAAAATGTATAAATGAATTAATGTTTGCTGGCCAGCCGAGAGCAAGAGTATCATAACGCGATATAAAGGCTAACTTTCTACGGGCCTTAGAAGTAAGCAGAGTTCTGCTTTGATTAATATCGCAAATAAGGCATCGATAGTGGTTCCCATATTAAAGCACTAAAATTATCGATACGATCGTATGTAATAAACGCATCTCTAGCTGTATATTTGACTCTTGGCGCATTAAGATTTTTTTATTTATTGCGTTGTAGAGAGTTTTTTCATTAATTTACAGTGTTTACCCATGAATATCAACAAGTTGTAATCGATCGTTTTATATTATTGTGTGTTTTAACTCAAGGTATGTTTTCCAAGTTTTTGAAGAATGAAATGAGTTGCAGTTATTGAAGGGAGATCTTAGTTTCCGGGGCCTCAAGATTTGAGAACATATTTTGGTTAATTGGGCCAAAATAAACACTTCTTACCAAATAAAATGTTTCGATATCTCGCACCGTTTACGAGATATTGAGACTTAAATGTCGGATAATAGTGCGGGCTGGTAGCGGGCGAAATTACTTATTGCACATATTTTTCGCGGAACTCGCAATATTTGCGGTACTTTTGGCCGAAGACAGACACTTATATTTATTTTTTCAGTTTTTAGCTAAGTGCGCGCGCACTTATGCATTGATACATATGCTACATATATTATTTTTTGAGGTTTGTTGTTTAAAAAAAAAATTCAGCCAATTTTCAGTTTTTAGCTTAAGTTTTTTTTTACAACAATCAATGCTTAAGTGCGCGCGCACCATATGGTATATTATTTTTTTGAGGTAAATTTTATAAAAATAAAATTTCCGCCAATTTTTTTATAAAAAAATTTCCAGTGTAACGACCGCACTATAATCCGACATTTAAGGCTTGATATCTCGTAAACGGTTGGAGATATCGAAAAATTGTTTATTAAAGTGTTTATTTTGGGCCAATCAGCCAAAATATGTCCTCAAATCTTGGCGCCCCGGAAACTAAAATCGTTCCGTAATTGATCATTTCTTATAAGTTTGATTTATCGTTTTTATTATTGAATGAAAATATTTATTGCTTTCACTATTAGCCTTCAAAATGGCAGGGAATGGTGAATTCGTTCTCAACGCCGACTGCCTCTTGGAGATCATGAAATACATAATTGCCGACCGAAATGGAAACCTGGGGACTCCCCTTCATAATGACTTAATCAACTTTGTGCTGGCCCATGAATATTTCTTGCAAGTGTTTGCAGAGCACTACAGAAGTCTGTACAAGGATATAGAGCGGGATCTAGCTCTCAGGATAACAGCGCTATTAATTGATTTACGGGTCAATAAGATTTCAAAGGATGAAAAAGAACTTTTCTGGAATTCCTATCTGCACACTTTGATGGGCAATATAAAACCCTATGATGTTCATTTGTTCTTCTACAAAGATAAAAGCGAAGGAGATAATAAATATGTAGACATATTTATACCAGGTATGCCAAAGTTTAAAAACACCTTGCCCCATTTAAAATCTGTTTCTATTAAAAGGAAAAGGAAATCTCTTTTCAAATTCATTAACCTAATGTTTAGCTTTTAAGATTTTTAAAAATCTATACTTTAATCCTACTTTAATTTAAAGGCATACCACCAATCACCAAGCTGGTAGAACTAAACGAAAATATTACATCAGAAATATTAACAGACATCTGTACCAGTACTCCAAATTTGAGGAAATTGGCCATTAAAGGAATCGAAATATGTGAAAGTTTATCGGATATTGTACCCTGTTGTAAAAATCTTAAAGAGCTTAGTATAATGTTGAATAGAGGAGACGAGGGCGCCCAATATGCACCGCTGGTGGTACTACCCAATTTAAAAAATATTACAATCACTGGAGTTCAAGAATGCGGTTTACAATTGCAATTTTTTAAGGATTTACGAAAGTGGCACCGTCCTAAAAATCTTCCACCTTTGACATTGACAATCGTAGATTATCTGAGCGATTCAAATCGGTCGTTCAAGTTTGTGACATTTGTCTCGTTGCGGAAGTTGAGCACCCGAAGAGGAGATTTCGTCTCTTGGGATAAACAAAACTTTATTTACAAAACAGAATTTAAAGCTGAGTACAATGTCTATGAATTATGGAAAGAAAGCTATTTAACAGAGGAACATATCGCATCAATTACTTTATGCCAAGAAGAGTCGATTGAGTTTGATTGGTTTGAAGGAGAACTTAATTTAAATGTCCATCCAAAGTCGGACATTGGCAATTTTTCATCATTAACAAAACTTCCGAATTTACAAAGATTGGTCGTAAGGAATGCTAATAAATCTAATGAAAACGAAAAGAACATGATACCACTTGCCAATTTCCTTCGATTAATAGCCACAGAAAAATCATGTTCCTTAAAGTCCTGCAGAATAGAGGACATACCATTAGATCGATTGAACTGCAAAGAACTTGGTAGGATAGAATCAATTAAATTTCTCAAGTGCGACATTTATGATTGGGATTCGACTAAGGAATTAACTCAATTAACTAACCTCCAACACCTGATAATTAATGTTAAGGAAACCATTAACTTTTACACTTCAAAGCTAATCTTCAATCTGCTAAATATATGCCAAGTCCAAGCTAACATATTTTGTTCAGCATTTCATATTACCTTTTGGAAGATTGAAAACCGTTTAAGGATCCAAAGAACACAGGGCTTAAAAGATCTTTTTCGAGAATCTGAACTTCAACTTCAGATCGAAAAGTGCTCGGAACCTGGATCCTTAAATCAGCTCTTTGACGAATTTTCAGCCAGCAATTTATTGAAGATCGAAGAGTTGGAAATTTCCAATTCATACAAATTGCCATTTGAATACATCTCCAAGTTGGCAGAGGTTCAAACAATAAAGAAACTAATTTGTGACCCCAAAAACCTAACAGGCATTGAGAAATTGGCCAATTTGAGTAACCTTGAGGATATGACCATAAATTATTCAAGATATTCTATGGACAAAAATGATTGCCTCTCTTTATTTCTAAAAAATATGGAAGCGCAAAACTCAATTCAGTGTATAAACTTGACATTACTGAAACTTACGTCTGAAGAGGTTCTTGGTATTTCACGGATAAGGTCACTGAAAAAATTGAGATGCAGGTTTTCCGACATGAAAGACTTTCAGTCATTGTCAGAGCTAGCCAACTCAAGTATTGAAGAACTAATTGTTTTAGATACACGCTTCCCTGTTTTAAACTTATTGACTGCTTTTTCTTTAAATCGTACTACTAAGCTACAGAAGCTTGAAATATGTGGAAGTATTCTTACCATTAAAGAAATGTCTGAAATTTCAAAAATAAAAAGAATTGCAAAGCTCAGTGCAACGTTCAAAAATTCGGAATCTGTTCAAGTAATAGATCAACTGGCTTGTCTAGAGCACTTAATAATAGATGGATTTAAAGGACAAGAAAGTCCTTTATTGGAACAACCGTTGAAAATGTTGGCAATCAAATCACCGACAACACTCCAAAAATTGGAACTAAATGAATGGATTGGTGCCACTGAATGCAATTATTTGACTCAAATCGAAACTTTGGAGTCTTTAAATTGTAAACTGCACATAGAACCTGGCATAGAAGTGTTGGCAAATATAAAAAGGCTTTCAAAATTATTTATCACAGACACATATATTTTGCAAAATAAAGCGCAAAGTAATGCAATGGTCGAACTTTACCGGGCTTTGGCTATTAAAAGTGATTCAATGTTACAAGAACTGCAAACCCAAGTAAACGATTCTGTTGAGAACTGTGAAATATCAAAGATAAAATCGTTACAAATTTTAAAAATTACCTATAATGAGAAATGCTATGGAAGCATTGATTGTCATAGTTTATTGCCAATATTTCAGTCTTGCCAAAATCTTGATTTCGTCACTTTTGATTTTAAGAATAAAGAATTGGATGCAAGCTTTATTGACAAAGTGAGTAGCATTTTAAAATCTTCAAGGGATCCCGTACGTCAAAGACCGTTAAAACTTCTTTTGATTGAAGAATCTACCTTTCCGAGTTTCCATGTATGTAATTTTTATTATATTGGTAGGCCGAATGGTCTTACAAATGGTTTTTCTTTCAGCTGAAGGACATTGACGCAGCGTATATGAACATCTCCTACGCATACGAACCGGTGGAATTGATGATTTATCCACATTACGGCGAAGAAGATTTTAATTTTAATGACCAAGATTTTGATGACCAAGATTTTGATGACCTAGATTTTTTTTATGACTGAGAGTCCCTGTTTTTATAATTGATAGATATTTAAGAACAGTTGGTCTTGCAAAAATTAACCATTGTAGTATTAATTATCTATTCTGCTTTTTATTAATAAACAAAGAACAGTTTTAAAAGTGGTCAAAAATTAATTAATGAATTAATGTTTGCTGGCCAGCCGATAGCAAGAGTATCATAACGCGATATAAAGGCTAACTTTCTGCGGGCTTAAGAAGTAAGCAGAGTTCTGCTTTGATTAATATCGCAAATAAGGCATAGATAGTGGTTCCCATATTAAAACACTAAAATTATCGATACGATCGTATGTAATAAACGCATCTCTAGCTGTATATTTGACTCTTGGCGCATTAAGATTTTTTTATTTATTGCGTTGTAGAGAGTTTTTTCATTAATTTACAGTGTTTACCCATGAATATCAACAAGTTGTAATCGATCGTTTTATATTATTGTGTGTTTTGACTCAAGGTATGTTTTCCAAGTTTTTGAAGAATGAAACGAGTTGCAGTTATTGAAGGGAGATTTTAGTTTCCGGGGCCCCAAGATTTGAGAACATATTTTGGTTAATTGGACCAAAATAAACACTTCTTAACAAATAAAATTTTTCAATATCTCGTACCGTTTACGAGATATTGGGATTTAAATGTCGGATTATAGTGCGGGCTGGTAGCGGGCGAAATTACTTATTGCACATATTTTTCGCGGAACTCGCAATATTTGCGGTACTTTTGGCCGAAAACAGACACTTAAATTTATTTTTTCAGTTTTTAGCTAAGTGCGCGCGCACTTATGCATTGATACATATGCTATATTATTTTTTGAGGTTTGTTGTTTAAAAAAAAAATTCCGCCAATTTTCAGTTTTTAGCTTAGTTTTTTTTTACAACAATTACCTCTAAAAATAATATAGCATATGTATCAATGCATAAGTGCGCGCACTATATGCTTTATTATTTTTTTGAGGTAAATTTTATAAAAATAAAATTTCCGCCAATTTTTCTTTAAAAAAAATTTCCAGTGTAACTATAAGCCAACATTTTAGGCTTGATATCTCGTAAACGGTTGGAGATATCGAAAAATTGTTTATTAAAAAGTGTTTATTTTGGGCCAATTAGCCAAAATATGTCCTCAAATCTTGGCGCCCCGCCAAGGCCGTAATTGATCATTTCTTATAAGTTTGATTTATCGTTTTTATTATTGAATGAAAATATTTATTGTTTTCACTATTAGCCTTCAAAATGGCAGGGAATGGTGAATTCGTTCTCAACGCCGACTGCCTCTTGGAGATCATGAAATACATAATTGCCGACCGAAATAGAAAACTGGGGACTCCCCTTCATAATGACTTAATAAACTTTGTGCTGGCCCATGAATATTTCTTGCAAGTGTTTGCAGAGCAGTACAGAAATCTGTACAAGGATATAGAGCGGGCACTAGCTCTCAGGATAACAGCGCTATTAATTGATTTACGGGTCAATAAGATTTCAAAGGATGAAAAAGAACTTTTCTGGAATTCCTATCTGCACACTTTGAGGGACAATATAAAACCCTATGATGTTCATTTGTTCTTCTACAAAGATAAAAACGAAGGAGATAATAAATATGTAGACATATTTATACCAGGTATGCCAAAGTTTAAAAACACCTTGCCCCATTTAAAATCTGTTTCTATTAAAAGAAAAGGAAATCTCTTTTCGAATTCATTAACCTAATTTTTAGTTTGTAAGAATTTTAAAAATCTATACTTTAAACCTACTTTAATTTAAAGGCATGACATCAATCGCCAAGGTGGTAAAACTAAACGAAAATATTTCATCAGAAATATTAACAGACATCTGTACCACTATTCCAAATTTGAGGAAATTGGAGTTTAGAGGAATCGATATATGTGGAAGTTTATCGGATATTGTACCCTGTTGCAAAAATCTTGAAGAGCTTAGTATAAAGTTGAATACAGGAATCGAGGGTGCCCAATATGCACCGCTGGCAATAATACCGACTTTAAAAAATATTACAATCACCGGAGTTCAAGAATGCGGTTCAGAATTGCAATTTTTTAAGGATTTACGAAAGTGGCACCGTCCTAAAAATCTTCCACCTTTGACATTGACAATCGTGGATTATCTGAGCGATTCAAATCGGTCGTTTATGTTTGTGACATTTGCTTCATTGCGGAAGTTATTGTTGCACTGTTCTTTCTTGGGCAGCACAACATTTAAAGCTGAGTACGATGTGTATGAATTATGGAAAGAAAGCAATTTAATAGAAGAAGATATCGCATCAATTACTTTATGCCAAGAAGAGAAGATTGAGTTTGATTGGTTTAAAGGAGAACTTAATTTGAATATCGATCCAGAGTTGGACATTGCCAATTTTGCAAAACTTCCGAATTTACAAAGATTGGTGTTAAGAAATGCTAATTTATCTAGTGAAAACGAAAAGAACATGGTACCACTTGCCAATTTCCTTCGAATAATGGCACCAAAAAGATCATGCTCCTTAAAGTCTTGCAGAATAGAGGACATACCATTGGATCGATTGAACTGCAAGGAACTTGGAAGAATAGAATCAATTCAATTTCTCAAGTGCGACATATGTGATTGGGATTCGATCAAGGAATTAACTCAATTAACTAACCTCCAACACCTGATGATTAATGTTATGGAACCCATTAACTTTAACACTTCAAAGCTAATCTTCAATCTGCTAAATATATGCCAAGTACAAGCTGACATATTTTGTTCGGCATTTCATATTATTTTTTGGAAGATTAAAAACCGTTTAAGGATCCAAACAGCAACGGGCTATCAAGAATCTGAACTTCAAATTCAGATCGAAAAGTGCTCGGAACCTGGATCCCTAAATCAGCTCTTTGACGAATTTTCAGCCAGCAATTTACTGAAGATCGAAGAATTGGAAATTACCAATTCAAATAAATTGCCATTTGAATACATCTCCAAATTGGCAGAGGTTCAAACAATAAAGAAACTAATTTGTGACCCCAATAACTTAACAGGCATTGAGAAATTGGCCAATTTGAGTAACCTTGAGGATATGACCATAAATTCTTCAACGTATTCTATGGACAAAAATGATTGCCTTTCTTTACTTCTAAAAAATATGGAAGCGCAAAACTCAATTCAGTGTATAAACTTGACATTCCTGGAGCTTACGTCTAAAGAGGTTTTTAGTATTTCAAAGATAAGGTCACTGAAAAAATTGAGATGCAAGTTTTCCGACATGAAAGACTTTCAGTCATTGTCAGAGCTAGCCAACTCGAGTATTGAAGAACTAATTGTTTTAGATACAGTCTTTCCTATTTTGAACTTATTGACTGCTTTTTCTTTAAATCGTACTACTAAGCTACAGAAGCTTGAATTTGTTAGGAGTATTCTTGGCATAGAAGAAGTGTCTGAAATTTCAAAAATTAAAAGACTTGCAAAGCTACGTGCAACGTTCGAAAATTCGGAATGTGTTCAAGTAATGGACCAATTGGCTTGTCTAGAGCACTTAATAATAGATGGATTTGAAGAACAAGAAAGTCCTTTATTGGAACAACCGTTGAAGATTTTGGCAATTAAATCACCGATAACACTCCAAAAATTGGAACTAAGTGAATGGATTGGTGCCACTGAATGCAAATATTTGACTCAAATCGAAACTTTGGAGTCTTTAAATTGTAATCTACGTAGACAACCAGGCATAGAAGTGTTGGCAAATATAAAAAGGCTTACAAAATTATTTATCAAAGAATCACCTTGTTTGCAATTTGAAGCGCAAAGTAATGCGATGGTCAAACTTTACCAGTCTTTGGCTTTTAAAAGTGATTCAATGTTAGAAGAACTGCAAACCCAAGTAAACGATTCTGTTGAGAACTGTGAAATATCAAAGATAAAATCGTTACAAATTTTAAAAATTACCTATAATGAGAAATGCAATAACATATCAGATCTGGGACAACTAAGCGAACTTAAATCATTGCATATACTTGAAAACTATGGAAGCATTGATTGCCATAGTTTATTGTCAATATTTCAGTCTTGCCAAAATCTTGATTTCGCCACTTTTGAATTTAAGAATAAAGAATTGGATGCAAGCTTTATAGACAAAGTGAGTAGCATTTTAAAATCTTCAAGGGATCCCGTACGTCAAAGACCGTTGAAACTTCATTTGATTGAAGAATCTACCTTTCCGAGTTTCCATGTATGTAATTTGTATTATATTGGTAGGCCGAATGATCTTACAAATGGTTTTTCTTTCAGCTGAAGGACATTGACGCAGCGTATATGAACATCTCCTACGCGTACAAGCCAGAGGACATGAGGATTTTTCCAGATGACGGCGAAGAAGGTTATTATGATTACCTAGATTCTGATGACCTAGATTTTGATGACTGGGAGTCCCTGTTTTTTTATTTGCTAGATATTTAAGAACAGTTGGTCTTGTAAAAATGAACTATTGTAATATTAATTATCTATTCGGCGTTATATTAATAAACAAAGAACAGTTTTAAATATGTAATAACAAAAATTAATAAATAAATTAATGTTTGCTGGACAGCCGAGAGCAAGAATATCATAACGTTGTACATAGGCTAACTTTCTTACAGGCTTAAGAAGTAAGCAGAGTTCTGCTTTGATTAATATCGCAAATAAGGAATCGATAGTGGTTCCCATATTAAAGCACTAAACTTATCGATACAATCGTATGTAATAAACGCATCTCTAGCTGTATGTTTGACTCTTGGCGCATTAAAATTTTGTTTATTTATTGCGTTGTAGAGAGTTTTTCACTAATTTCCAGTGTTTACCCATGAATATCAATGATGGGGACTTTAAGGACCTCCGCTGCAAACTGGACATCATGGGTTTCACCCAGACACTTCCCGTTTTGGCCATTCCACTTGTCCAGGTAATATGCATATTTATATAGAATATAAATTTATTTTTTGGGTTAACATGTTAACTCTTATTGTAGGCGATTTTTGGTGACTTGATCAAGACCACTGAATGTCTAAGAGATACGAAAAAGAAGGTTGCCGAATTACTCGAGGTGGGTGAGCCATTAGACGTTTGACTTTGGCCTTTTTCTATACCCTTGTTTAAATTATCAAAAGTAGCGCTTTGCCTTTAACTCTCATATAAGCTATCTGTCCATATCTGTATGTATGTTCGTATATAAACTTTAAAAAGCCCACGTTTTTCTGTTTTTATGTTGTGCCTTAATTGGTTGCTAAGCACACCTATTTGTTGTGGCTTTCCCTTTTGGCAGGAGAAAACCTGTTGGGAGCTGGGCGTCGAACCGTACAAGTGCGATAATTCTCGCCTGCTGGCCGAGTGTAATGAACTCCATTTGCAGTTTTTAAGGGACCGAGAGGACTATGAGCTGCGCCTGTGCGGTAAGTGCGATTGGGTTCTCCCTCTTACCTATTGCTAATATCCTCAATACCGTTTTGCAGAATCTGAACGCAAAATTCGAAACCTGGAGACGGACAAGCAGCACTTACAGAGCCACAATGATGGACTTCAAAGCCAACTGGATGCTTTGCTTTCCAAGCAAATGGTTTTATCAACAACGGCCAAAAAAGTTCCAACTGGGATAAGCCGTCAAAGTAGGTCGACAAACCTGTCCATTATTGGACTGAATATGTATTACTTTATAAGGGGACTACCTATTATTTTTGAACTTTTGTATTCTTAGCACTCTGACATCTATATCCTTAATTTCAGACAAGAAACCCTTCATAAGTACAGTGCGTTCCGGTAATGTTCTACCCACTGTACTGGGCACCGGCATTTCCGCCCTTAAGTGCACAAAATGCAATGCAGGGGTGTTCCAAAAGACGACAACAACCACCAAGGATGGTGTGACAGTCACCCAAACCAGTGGACAGGAGGAGCTGGACAAGCTGCAGAACGATCTCACTTCAGCTGGAGAACAACTGGAATTCTACAAACGCAAAGTGGAGGCCAGAAATCGAGAGATCATTCGGTTAAATGATATGCTAGCAGGAGGACGACCGCCGGCAGCTTTGGCCAAGGATTGCTGCTACAAGGAAGTGGGCGCCCTCTCCCAGGACATTGATTTGCTGCAGCACGAAAAGAGCGATCTGATGTTGCAGGTGCGCGATTTCCAGGACAAGATGCACGATGCCATGCAACGAGCTCTGGCTTCCGAGGACGAGAAAAGGAAGCTCCAAACGCAGCTGGAGGAACTGAAGGAGGCTGCACTGCAGGTCGAACAGCAGGCCAATGCGGAGATTGATGCCAAGGAGTTGGAAGTTAGACAGCTACAATTGGAACTGAAGCATCTGCAAAAAGGCAAGGATCAACGATTGACTGGTGGATATGCATGCATTCCAAGTGACAAACGCAATTTAAATGAGCGCTTGAATCAACTCACTCGCCGCGAAGAGGAACTGGAGGCCACTAACGAGAAGCACAAGAAGAAGCTGCATAAAATGCAGGCCAAGATTTTGGAGCTGCAAAAGGAGCTCAAGGATAAGAACCAACATAGCACTGTGAACCTGGACGAGGAGAAGATACGCCTGACATCCGAAAGGGACTTCTTCCAAAAGGAGTACCTGCGACTAATGAGCAAGTCTGGTTCGGAGTCGGAGATTGCCTTCCTGCACTCACAAATTAAATCGAAAGATGACGAATTGCGGGCCCTTCGAACTGAGTTGTTCCCTGGGGGAAAACTGCAGTTTTCGCCGCAAAAGTGTGTGCAGTATGAAACTCTTCCGCCGGCTACAGCTTCGTCCAGTGCATCAACTGCCAATAGCAACCGTAGTGACTGCGTCCAGGCCGCCATTGCCAGGGTGGAGCGGGAACGGGATTGTGCTAGGTCAGAGCTCGAACGAGTTCGCTGCGAGCGAGACACTCTAAGGGAGAAGCAACTCTGCACTGTTCAACTTCACGCCGAGGAGCTGCAAGCTCTACGCCTGCGCAACGAAGAGCTCAACGATCGATTGCGGCAGATGGAAAGAGATAATCGGGAACTCAATTCGGCTCGATTGCCAGCCGAGACAAATCTAGCGCTGCTCAAGGAGGATCTGGTTCAAATGAGACAGCGCGTGGCCACCATGCAGACCGAAATCGATCAGCTAAAGACGGAGAATAGTCAGATAACGTAAATTAATATAAATAACTATTAAATTCACTTAAACTTCATACATATTTTTGTCATTTCAGCATGCTCAACGATCAAAATGAACGCATCATAGCGGATTATCAAAGTAAACTTTTGGTTGCCGAGCGTCAACGGCAATCTGCGGATGTAAGGGCCAGCACCTTGGACTCAAGCCGGGAATCCAATCGTAACGAGGTGACTCAGCTGCGCACGGATATTGGAGCTCTGCGACAGACCTACATTTCGTTGGAACATGAAAAGGATACGCTACTGGTATATTTAATTTTTACGAGTTTATAAAAGATATTAACTGTAGCGTTTCTTGTTCATTAGCACCAGCTGGACAGCAAAACTGAGCGAGCTTATAAACTGGAGTATGAACTTAAGGATTGCAAAGAGAAACGAAATGCTTTGGAGCAAAACGTCAAGGAATTGGAGGAACAAGTGCGGTAAGTGTTGCATTATTTTAAACTTGGCCTGCCTTAAACCGAAGACATATTTTTCGACTACCAGCAAATTGATACTTTTTAATGCTTGGAAATTTATAAAAAGTTTTATAATGCTGCTAGTCAAATCCTTTTTTAAGCTCAAGGACATCAATAAGCATTAATATTTAATATCCTGAAAAAGTTTAATTAAGGTACAAGTTTGAGTTTTAATTATTGGATTAGTCTTTTACAATTTTTTATTTTGCCTTATTGGGAGTTTCCTTAAATAAGACTCGTACATAAGTCGATGTAATACATTCATGGCACAATCTCTTCCTATCGAACACGTTAACCGAATATTTCTAAAAACCACCTAAAAATAAAACAAAATGGTTAATTGAATAACAAGTGATCGGATCGAAAGAATAACACGCAGCATGCAACACACAGAAATCACAGGGGGAAAACGTGTAGAAACAGAGGGAAACAGGTAGGCATGCGAAGGAGGATAGCTTGAAGATGGGGGTAACCACTCAGGTGGCCCCAACAAGATGCAGATCATTGAGGAACTTCGAGTTGAGACGCTCGTTGGTTAAATACCTCGCCAGGCTGACGCTCGGTGCGCTGCAGTTGCTCAGGCCGCGCTGATCGGCCTCGGCGGGCGTGTAGCCCGGTCGGCAGACGCACTTGGCCCGGCTGGCATGGGCCAAGATCATCGAAGTGCCGTTCGATGATTGCGTTTTCAGCGGCTCCAGCCACTGGCCCGCCCCGCAGGGTCCTCGGCTGTACAGCTTGTGGCACTGGCCATTGATCTCCACCATGCCGGGCGTGGACTCGCATATGTTCTGCTCCCTATCGGCACCCTCGCCCGAGCACTGCTGGTCCAGATTGGTTAGCACGCCGGAACAGCCGCACATGCCGTTGTACGAGATGCCATCGATGGACGGCCGGGCCGTGAAGTCGAAGATCACGACCTGATGCAGGGCGCAGGGGCCTTGAGATCCGATCCTGTAGCAGGAGTCCTCCGCCGGGAAGTACAGGCGGTTCTTGCCGCAAAAGTTGCGCACACAGCTGGTCCCGTTGACCAGGAACTCGTTGGCGCCGCAAGGACCCCGGGTGTACAAGCGATAGCAGATGCCGTCGCTCCAGGGAACATAGCCCTCCTTGCACTGGCACTTTGCGCGCGGCAGCAGCTGCAGGGTACTGCCAGTCGTCTCCTGGACATCGTCGGGTATGCGGAAGATGTGCCCAGGTGGACAGGGACCAGGAGTATCTGTAAAAAATAAAAACATTGTATATGATAAGGAAAAATTGAGAGTTGCTATATAATAGGACTTTTCTAAGGCAGATAATTATAATATTATATTATATTATTAGAATACTGCCTTAGATGCGTTGTATTCCCTCAGTGATTCCCTTAACCGTAACCCAATCCTACCCAGCTCGTAGCACATTTGCTGCGGAGCATGATAGTGCGGCAGGTGCCGCTGGCAGTCGCATCGGCCGCCTGGCAAGAAGATGTGACCCGGCGTCGAGCAGGGTCCTTTGGTGTAGTGCTCGTAGCAGGACTCCTCGGCCGGATAAAAGAACGAGGACAGCTCGCCCTCGTTCTCGCAGCGGCATTCGGCCAGTCCGTCCTCGTTTCGGACGAGCAGTTTTCCCCGACTGCAAGGTCCTTTGGCATGCCTCGCATAGCATTTGTTGTCCCTCGGCCAGAAGATCTTGTCCTCCGGACAATGGAGTGGTCGCTTGCAAGTGCCCCATCGATTACCGGATCTGAAAAGGATCAAAATACACTAAATTTTAGGCAGGTCTTAAAAGAATATTTATCCTTGTTTCAGTAACTTCTACTCAAGAGGAAAGCTTTTAAGATTAAGATTAAACAGAATGGGTTCTTGTTTAATAAACTTTGGTTCCAACTAACTTATAGAGTTTGTGGGGACACGTAGGCCATGCCAAAATTGCCTGGACGCGTCACACATCAGAAACAATGTCAGAGGATTTAGTTGAGAAGGGAACGCTAGTTTTATTGAATTCAGCAGGAGACACACGCAACACCTTTGATTTCTTGATGGGCGATGACAGGAACACTTCGGATTTGATACCGGGATCAGAACCCATACGTAGCACCGGTGACAAGGGAATGGAGCCCAAGGACATCACGCTGTACGACTGCAACATTTGCCTGGACACGGCACAGGATGCGGTGGTCACCATGTGCGGTCACCTGTTCTGCTGGCCGTGTTTGCACCAGTGGCTTTTGACGCAACCGCAACGCAAATTGTGCCCCGTTTGCAAGTCGGCCGTGGATGAGTATAAGGTAATACCGCTGTACGGGCGAAACAGTAAGCGGCAGGAGGATCCTCGAGACGAAATTCCGCCACGTCCCACCGGACACTGGACGGAACCAGAACCGGAAGAAGACTTAGAGACCCTATATGCATTTGCTCGGGGTTTTCACGTGACCTTCGGCCTTGGGTTTCCGTTCGGCTTCTTAGCATCAACATTGAATTTAGTCGCTGCACAACTTGGTGGCAATGATATCGATGGAGAACAGAACCCGAACAATCCACAACTACCCAACTTTTTTCTCTACATGGCCTTTGTGCTCATTGGTTGGCTAATTTTCGTCTAGGAAGCTTAGGTAATCCACATAATCTGTACAAAAATTGGTAAAATTGAACAAAAGTCGGGGGTTTTATAAATTATGTTCAGTGCAATTTTTACATTTCATTAAAAGTTTATAAATAAATAATTATAAACTGTATTTCATTTTGTTGACAAGCCAAGAAAGAGTTAAATTAGATCTGGTTAAAGTTAAGGCAGCGTTTATAACAAGTATGAGTAGGTGCACAACCATATTTATTTATATATTATATATATTTAAACAAATTTCTTGTTTTACCGATCAAGTGCATTAGAACTTTCTCTATTTCTCAATTTGGAAAATGAAAGTTGTATTTAAAAGTAGTAATCATAACCTTTAGGAAGTGAAAATAAGAACATGTCACTGCCATTTTAATAGGGTCTTAGGTCTTATTTTAGGGGTCAAGAACTGATCTCACCTCTTGGTCTGATCCGGCATGGGTTGGAAGTACTCCTCGGGTTGGCAGGGTCCCCTCTCGTACAACTTATAGCAAACGTTGTTGGCCAGCGGACTGAGTGCTGTTCCCGGAGGACAGCGGCACTCGGCCGCCGGGAGATCCTTTCGCTTGGCACTGACAGCTGTGGGACTGAGCTCCATGGTTTCCGGACACGGATAGCCAAGGGTGAAGATCTTGAAGCACTTCTTTAGTGGCGCCCAGTAGAGTAACTGCCAGCCACCAGACATACTGGCGCAGGGATTCTTTGAGGGATCACTCCATGGGGGTGGCACAATTCCGGCCGCCACCTGGCGCGGATTGTGACCGGTGGTCAGCAGGAGGAGCAGGCAGGTGAGGATGGAGCTGCCCGCCTGCAGAGCAGCCCAGCAGATGAGCACTTTGCGTCGTCTCATTATGAACCTGAAAAAATAAAGATATTGGGTTTATAATGTTAAAATTAACAAATACTGTTCTCAATTAATTTTGTTACAAGAAAAAAATCTTGTTTTTAATTATAAAAAAAAAGTTTAATCTGCAAAATTTTTGAAAAAAAGGAAAGGAAAAATGTATTGATCTTTAACTAAAATTTCTTGGAATCTGATCACTGACTCCTTTTTGGAAATAGGTGTTTGTATCTTAAAAATGATCGACATAAAACAGCTTTAAGTTGTATGTTGTCAAAACCCATACTTTTATTATTATTATAGCCTTATTATTAATCTGCATATTATGTTGAACCATAATCAATAGGTTATGCCTTTTTTGAGGGTCATTTATTTTGAGTTGTTTGCCCAAAATTAGCCATTGACGTTTCGTGCAAGGGAAACCAAATAATGCGAAATTTAGTCATTAAGTTTTATTAAGTTTAAGTTAAAGATTTTCGTTTTTGATTATTATACCCTTGCAGAGCAAAGGGTATTATAATTTCAGTCAGAAGTTTGCAACGCAGTGAAGGAGACACCTCAGACCCCATAAAGTATATATATTCTTGATCAGCATCACCATCTGAATCGAAATATGTATGTACGTCTGTCCGTCTGTCCGTCTGTCCGTCTGTCTGTCTGTCCGTCTGTCCGTCTGTCCGTCTGTCCTCCTGTCGGTTTCTATGTAAACTAGTCTCTCAGTTTTAAAGCTATCGCGTTGAAACTTTTCCAAAAGTTGTGTAGTTATTGCACGCAGTATATAAGTCGGAACGAGCCGGATCGGCCGACTATATCGGATAGCTCCCATACAAGAGGTCAAAAAAATAAAGGATAAAAAATTATTACGCCGTTGTTTTTGATCAGATCGACTTGAATTCTTTAAGATGGCGTTTTCTAGCGGTTATTAAATTTCGGATTAAATTTTATCAAAATCGGATAACCCTATCATATAGCTGTCATAGGAAAGATCAAAAAATATATATAGAAATAATGGCAAAATAATCATAACGTTGTTGTTTTTTATTCCACGAGCATGATTTTTACAATATCGACTTTATGAACTACCCTTGAACCGAGAAAAAAATTTCATGAAAATCGAACAACTATATCATATAGCTGCCATATGAACAACAGTCGAAAATATGGAAAATTAATAGAAAAGTCGACATAGCTTCGAGGTTGTTAGCCTTTATGTATTTTGTTCGATTTGTTTGATGACTGCAAGGGTATATAAGCTTCGGCTTGCCGAAGCTAGCTTCCTTTCTTGTTTTTCCCTTTGCTTTTGCAAAGATTTCGGGGGAGGAAGCTCTCATTAAACCGGATGATAGATGACTTTTCCATTGTCGCCGTTGCTGTTTAAAAATCAATTCACCGCCGAAGCGGAGGGCTTTAAAGCGGGTCCAATTCGAATTAGCCAACCCTTTGGGGCAGCTGATTATCATGTTGACCGGACACCACCGAACGGACCACCAACAAAAAAAGAAAAACGGCCAAAAACCCCAAAAACCAAAAACCAAAACACTGAAAACGAGTAAACGGTTCGCGCGCGGTTAACCATGACCCAAATACCCATTTATCTTGACTTCTTTTGCGTCTCAGCCGCCGCCGATCGTTGGTCAGAAATCTTCTGCTCTTTTTTCAGCTGGTGGTCATAATCGAGAGGCCTTCTTATGTAACCGGCGCAACCGGCGGCAGCAGCAGATGATGAAACATGTGGCAGCAGCAGCAGCAACAGCCAGCGAAGCGATCACGCCGCCGGACACGAAAGGTGCCACACTTTTTGGGCGCTGCAAGTTGCGTGATTTGTGGCCCGTTTGAGCCGCTCAGTTAGCTAGTATCTGCATTGTAGCATTGGCAACTGGTTTTCTTTTAACGTTTTTTTTCTTAACTGCTGAGGATTACAGCCAGCCAGCCGGTCTACTTCAACATTTGATTCTGGCTTTCTTGGGATTCTCCGGCCCATTTACTTCACTCGATTTCGCACCTTTCGTAAGCCCATTGTGTTAACACACAAAACTGGATTTAATTTGATCGCTTTATATAAATCATTTTGGCGGGTTGAGCTCTTTCTTGCTCCAGGTTATTTCTTTAAATTATTTATTAGATTTTTTTATGACGATTTATACTCCTTTTTTTGGGACTACTCAACCTTAATTTATTTTTTTTAAGCACAAGAACTGCATTTCAACTTTTTAAGTATTTCAACAGGGGTTTTTATTTAAAGGTCAACATGTAGGTTTATTTGTATAGTGTTTTGTACAATCTGTCTTAGTTTTAGTTCTTGTTTTTTGTGCAACTTTTTGGCCCAATTTCATTAAGATCACGTAAGCGGTTGCTTGATTTAAACATAAACTTGATTTATTTGGTTGGCTTTGTAAACCTTATTAAAGCGAAAATGAGTTCATAATTTAATGTAAAAACGCTTACAAATTATGACCCAAACCAAATTCATTTCCTTTTTACACTTTTATTTCACTCTCACTTATTTGATTTATTTTTATTCCGGTTTTCTTCTTTTGCTGGGCCTATTGATCCGATTTTGAGATTGTAGCCCCTTATTTTATTGGTGTCTCCACCTTTTATAACATTTGCTATTATTAATCAACATCATTTCGTTTATAGAGTTTATGAGCTTAAGACGTAAGAAATAATTGCTATTGAAAAGAGTCTATTAAACCGTGGAGTCATAATAACCTTATTTATGAAGTCATGTTTTACCCATATAAGATCACTAAACTTATTTATAATCCGATTCTCCTGACTGTTGTGCATTAAAACTGATTTGATTCGATATTAGATATTCCAAAAAATTTTATTTTATGAAATTTTCATATGTAATTTTAAATTACAAAGATTTTATTAACTTCTCTTCTCTCCTTTGATTTTTTAGGGTTTTATATTTAATTTATAAATTCATTTCTTTCATAAAACAGAGGACTGGACTACTAAGAATTAACTCGAGCAAATGTTCTCGGTTTCCTCTTCAACGTTGAGTTTATTCTGGCTTTCTTGGGATTATCCCGCCCCTCATTTGCGATCGCACCTTTTGCAACTTCGTTGTTATAATAACCAAACTGGTTGCTTGCTGAGGTCTCAATTTGTTTTGATTTGGTTTCGTCAATCACGCACAATAACAAAAACACAAATATTCGCTACACTTTGCCTTAAATTGAGACGGTTCCCTAGGGCAGAATCGACTATTGACCACCGACCACCGACAACCGACCGACTGCACAGATCAAACGAATCAGAAACCAAGCGATCGCGGCGTCCGTTCGCTTGGGCAGGTAAGAAACGTCTGAGCCAGGTTTTTTTTGTTTGAGCCAGCTCTTAACGCTCTTGGCATATCCGCTCTTCCACACGGAGCCGCAAAGGTGAGGCACAACAGAGCCCAGTTTTGTGTAAATGTGTTAACCACTTTGGCCAAAAAGGTAACAACGAAATGTCAGTGGTTGTCTCGGCCACTCTCTTAGCCATCTTAGCCATCTGAGCCGAACTGAGCCGAGCTGAACTGAGTTCTGCGTCAGCGACAGTGACGGGTATTTGAACTTTGTTTAGCCTTAATGACTGACTGACGGACGACGGTGGATACGGCGATGGCTATGGCTATGGCGATGGCGACTTTGACTGCCTCTGTTGACTGCCGTGTGTTCTTGAGCTTCTGGCCAAGTGCGGATGTGTGTGGCTACGTGCCTGGCATCTGTAGTTATGCTAGACACTCTTGGCCACCATTCCGTGCACCGCGATTCAAGATCTTTATTTATAATTTATTTAATCTTCACCTGAAGGAAGGTACTTATTACCTACACATTTTAATGGCATATTATTTTATTTAAATACTTGAAAACAACTTTCGCAATTTAGAAAATAATACATTTAATGGTCTTACCATTTTTTGTACAATCAAATACATCAGTTTTTTGCATGTTTATATGTTATATGATATAAGATTTAAAGAATAATATACAAAATATTTTTTTTATCAGCAATAAATATTTTGTTCAAATTCAAAAAATTTTAGAGCTCTTGTATTTGCAATACATATTTTTGTTTATTTGCGTGTGAACGAACTTTTCTATCAAAAATTCGAGGTTATCTGCTGAAGCATTATACAAATTATTAAGGGGATTTCCGTTTAAAGGTTAAACCTTTTTTCTCTCAGTGCCTTTGTGAGCCGACTGACCCCCTCTTTATGGCCATCGGAAGAGGGTCAGGTTCTGACGGCGGGCAGTGGCATTGATTGCGCTACGCCTGAAACATTGATTCCAATTGATTTGGCCCGCTCTTTCTTTTTTCCAGCAAACTGACCAACAGGAACCGGCAGCGCGATTCAGAACTGACGGAGACCTCCACTGAAAGTAAAACGCTGCGGCAGCAGATTGTGGCACTCAAAGCCAGTCGCGATGAGGCAATATCAGAGAATCGGTGAGCAAAAAAGCCATTAGCGAGGTGAAGCTATCATAGAACTGCTTCCGCGCTGGGGCAAATCTTTTTCTTCCCCGATCATTAGGGCGGTTTTTTTTATGGTTTTCCAACAAACATATTGTAACCACATAATTTGTTGCCTCACAGCCATCTGATGGACAAATTGAGCGATGCCCAAGTGGAAGCCAGGACATTGCAAAATAAGCTGACGGATTCGGAGAAGCAGGTGGCCAATATGAAGCAGCAGCTGCACAAATACGTCCAGGAGGTGAAGAAGGCCGAGGATCTGCTCACCCAGAAGGTAACTAAATTCCTAAGATTAGTGCCTAAGTCCAAGTACTCGAGTTGGCATACAGATGCTCTCTAAATTAAAGGAAAAGGAGCGCGATGAGATGCTGGATCATTATCACTGCCTGACCCAAGATCAGGCGACGCTGGAGGGAAATAACCAGAGTCTGGAGTGCGAAGCAGCTGAGTTCAGGTGAGGTTTTACCTAAGTTAAGCATTGGGAAGGGACTCTAAAAATATCTATTAATAATTCTTAAGTTTTAAGCAACAATTGGATTTCATATTATTATTTCAATAACCTAACTCCTTACAAAATGAAGAGTACTACATTTATATGTTAACTATTTTAAACACAGACGACAGATCTGCGAGCTGGAGTGCGAGGTGCGCAGCCTGAAGGATCAGTTGCATTGCCGCCAAGGCGCCCTGGACGATATGGAGGTGCAACTGACCGCCGCTCGCGCCTCGTTGAGATGCCTGGAGCGGGAACTGGAGAACGCCCGCGATGATCTGCGTGTCCAGAAGGTGGATCTCGAGGCTCGCAAGGAGCTGTGCGACAAACTCGACGTGGAAAAGAGCAAGCTCAATGCGGAGCTCAACGAAGTTAATGAAATCCGTAAAAAGGTGAGCTTTAGCTCAGGTCCTGATCAGTATCAGTATCTCTATCCTAGCTAGAAATCTTCGCTGTAGTCCACTTCGCTATCTAACTCTACTCTTACTAACTATCCGCTTAAAATATGTGATTGTGAGTAGCTTCTATCCATTTACTATATTTATTACAATATTATTTGTAATGCAGCTGGAAAAACAATGTGAAAAATTGCGCGATGAACTCCAGCAGAGCTCGGCCCTCAATCAGATTACCACAGAAACCACTGATCAGATGCTGGGCCGCTTGCATAATGATCAACAGCGTCAGGATGACGATGACATCAGGGCCAAAAACGAAATGGATCGACTGCAACGTCAACTTCAACAAACTTTGGTGAGTATTGATCATAAAGGGCAACCACTTTATTTTTGCATTCATGGGGAATCCCATTTGCAATTGGTTAAAAATAGGCCGACAAGTCGATAACAATATTACTCAAGAAAGTTTAATAATGTTGAAGTTTGAACTTAAACAAAGTATAAGTAAATTAACTGGTTTATTATTAATGAAACAATGAAAATATATACATTTTTAACTGCAATAATTTATTAAAAAATTTTCTTATCCAAAACAAATGTTCTATTCTTTCCCCCAAACAGGATCAACTGCAGGAAGAGCGAGCTCGCTGTAGACACCAGGAGAACTTGGCCACCGAATTCGAGCAGCAAGTCCGCGATCTGCGGCGGAATCTCACCGAGGATCGTTACAACCAAGCCAGGACGCGCGCAGTTAGTCCTCGAGTGCCATCAACGACTTTGTAATGCTTTATTTGACAAATCTTGTAACTTGTTTGTATGTTAACTCAAATTTAATGTTTTGCTGGGATATCGAAATTGTAAAAATATAAGAAATGTTGTCAGAACTGAATATAAAAAATGGTTGCAACGCTGGCAGCGATAATCTCGGAAAAGGACTCTCACTGAATGAAGCGACCTTCCTGTTGGCACATGGCTGCCAGGTTGACATACGTCTGGTACATACAGGGACAGGCATTGAAAGAGGGCACCCTACCGAAATTTCTCTGGGAGTGCCCCTCATCGCAACTGGCAAAGTCCTCGTCATCGCAGTTGGATTCGATGCAGGTGTGATCCGCCGAACTGCTGGATCCTGCAAACATATATATTTAATGTGATTTATATTGTTTATGAGTATTTAAACCATTTAACTTTTTATAGATGTTATAATTAATAGATTATAAATAAAACTAGTTTTACCCTCTTTATAGATAAATAAGTTAGTAACTCACTGCAGGTATGATTATCATCTGTATTATCCGGCCCATCGCTTTGATCGATCAGGTGATATTTGGCGGCCCGTTCCCAATCGATCTGACTATGACAGGTTTCCTGCACGTGTTCCTCCTTGGTCAGATCCCCACAATCGTTTTCGAAGGTGACTCTTCGTGTGCGCTTCTCGCAAATAGTCTCCAAAACAGGATCATCCCGGTTTTCGATGCGTGTGTAATTTCTGGGGGAATGTAAACACGACCTTGGGCATCGATGATTACAAACCTGATTACTTTTGTTTGACTGGTGATATTCAGGTCGAGTCGTAATATATCTCGGCTCGATTTGATGATGACAATTTTGGTATGGGATATGAGGTTCCCCGAAGGACTCACTATCACTCTGAGTTTGGAAATGCTCCCGATTTCCACTCGTGTAAGGAATTTGTTTCTGATTGGACTTGGCTGGGCTTGGACTTCGATTGGAGTGCAAACTCGAAGGCGGATGGTTGAGTGGATAGTTTCCATTGGGACTTTGACCTCGGGCATTTAAAGAGTGGCTTGGACTTTGATTGGAGTGCAAACCCGAAGGCGGATGATTTAGCGGATAGATTCCATTGGGACTTTGACCTCGATCATCTAAAGATATGTTACTATAATACTCTTCATGAGGGCTTTGGCTGGCTAGTATGATCGAATCCTTTATCCTTCTAGGACTATACTGTCCGGATTCAGGACTTTGATTGGAGTGCAAACCCGAAGGCGGATGATTTAGCGGATAGATTCCATTGGGACTTTGACCTCGATCATCTAAAGATATGTTACTATAATACTCTTCATGAGGGCTTTGGCTGGCTAGTATGATCGAATCTTTTATCCTTCTAGGACTAAACTGTCCGGATACAGGACTTTGTTTGGAGTGCAAACCCGAAGGCGGAGGATTTAGCGGATAGATTCCATTGGGACTTTGACCTCGGGCTTCTAAAGATGAAATGTTACTATAATATTCTTTATGAGGGCTTTGGCCGGCTTGTCTATACGAATCTTCCATCATTTTAGGACTCGGTGAATCATATGATGACTTCTTTAATATTCTTGGTGCGCTTGGAGAAGTATCTCTAAGATTTTCTTGCATGTTTCCGTCTTTTTCATTCTGTGTGTAGTGTACGTTTTTAAATAAAGTTTCAGCACTTTCATTGTGCGACGAGACTTCATGAGGTGAAAATTTTGCTCCTGGTGGGGTTGGTTGCCCTCGAAAACTTCTCTGTTGTTCCAGGCAAACTTGGGCAGCCTTCTCGAACGAGGGTTGCGTCTCAGTTTGCGTGGGAGTTTCCTGCCGACTTGGAGTCTCTGTTTGGGCCTCTTTTTGAACCTGCCTCACTGCAGCAGCTTTCATTAGTTGCGATGGCAATGAGGCATAACTGGTGCTTTTCGTACTATAAGCAGAAATCGAGCGCGGATAAGGGTGAGCCTCTAATTTACTTACGTCATTCGATGCTTGTTGCAAAAAGATTTGCTGTTTTGATACCTCCCGACACTCCTTTTTTACCGTCTTTAACTTTGTATCTTTAGATCTGATTGATTTGGATTGATGAGGATTCATATCTGTTATGGTTGTATCCTTTTTATAATGATTTGTATACCTATTTATTTTAATTGGTTTGGTATAATTCCATGGAGCCACAGGAGTAGAATCGTAGAAGTACCTATCTTTAGCCGACTGTTCTTTCTGCCTCGAATAATCGCAATTAGTTGGGAGACTTCCAGGGGATCTGTACATTTCTTCTTTATAGAAATCTTCCGTATTAAATAAACCTGGTCTTTTGCCTTGATAATAACCATCGGGACCTGATCCTGGAGAGGTGCTAGGTGATAAGGAACCACCATTGAACTCATCACAGCAACAATTTTCTTTAAGTTGTTTGTCTTCATCAGGACTATTTTGGTCGCTATTTTGATCAACTTGGCAAAAACACTTGTCTTCTTCGAATATTTCACCTTTTTGATCTTCCTTAAAATCCTGGCATTCCTTCCTATCTGAATCCGTAAAATTATTTCTATTTGGACTATAAGATGGTTTTTGTTCGAGTTGCGTCGTGCATTCTGTATCATCAAGTGGTATCCTTGAGTACGTGGGAATTGCATCCACGTCCGTTTGGCCTAGATTTTCGCTTTTGCAGTGCACCTTTTGATACATATTGAAATATTCCTCATACATTTGAGCCTTCTTTTCATCCGTGTGGTCTTCATCGGCAAATTTAGTTGGTGAAGCTTTACTACTCACCTCTTTTGGGGAAACTAATTCGTCGCTCACTAATTCTTCCGATTTCACTTTAGTGCTTTCTGGCTGACAATCTTCTAAAGATTGATTTTCTTTTTTCATGTTATATTGCTTCATTGAGGCGGAGTCAATATTCTTAGCATCCCGGTTTGTCATCCTTTCCAATTTCCTTAAAGTTGTAGTTTTTCTATTCCTGTCTAAACACTTTTTATCCCGTGTTCGAGTTGGTGATGATGACTCTTTTTGATTATTTGGTGATGCAGTACGTTCTTTTATCGAGTTGGAACCCCGAGCGCGGCAAATCTCCTCGGTGTTCAGATCAGTGGCCTTTCTTCCAACAGTTTGACGAGGCATGACAAACTGCATATTCTGTTGAGGTGACATATCACCACTATAATAATTAAAACCGCAGCAATCTTGGTTTCCTCTTGTGTGGCAGATGCAGTTGCAGGGGCTCCTGGAATGATAGAGGCAGTTTCGATGGCAACATTGGTAGTTTCCGTAACAGCAGCCACCACATGCTCTTTGGCTAAGATCTCGAGAATCCGTGGTTGGAGAAGACTTTACGGCAATAGTGCGACATTTCGGTGACTTTCCCTCCGATTTGGGGGATCCTAAAAAGTCCTTTGCGAAACCAGATACCGGACTTCTATTTAAAGCCAGGGGACTGACTTTGGCTTGATTGGCCTCCAAACTATGGCTCCATGTCATGTTCCTAGTATCCGCCATCTGCGAGCTCCTCGATGTGGTCCTAATCTCTTTGCCTTTGAGGATATAGTCGTGGAAGTGCTTTAACTTGTCTATCTCATGTTCGATCTTCCGGTTCAGGCTGTTCACCTGCTGGAGGGTTCGCTGAATTTTCTCATTGCCCTCCGAGGAGGACGATTCCTTGGCTTTCGGTTGCTTCGTGGCGGGACCGGAAGGTCGCACCGATGGATGGCGGTAAAGTTCCCTAACCGGTTTAGGTTTGCTCTTGATGTAGATCCTTTGCCGTCCCTCGAAGGAAACGCGTTCCTTCCGTTCCAAAATAATGCTATGACCTGTGGAAATGTTTATTTTACAGCCTTTCAGTAAACATTTTGTTGTTTTGCCTACCTTTGTCGTGTTTGTCTTTATTCTCCATATGAGGCTTTCAAGCGGGCTTATTATCAACAAATTCATACAAAATATATTAGATGAGCTGTCATAGACAGCTTTCTATGATCACCTTGTATGCTTTTCCCATTGATACTAAACATTTTTTTAAGCAAGGCTCCCAAATTCTTTTCTTTAATGATTGGAAAAAGCTTAATTCTATTCTAATACTACCAATACCACATTAAAACACTTTTTGCTTTCGATTTTTTACGCACAATATACACTAGTAATTTCATTTTATTTTTTAAATTGACATAAATAATGCCGGGGATTTGGTACGCGTTGACTTTAGAGGGAATTGTGTATTGCAAATAATGATGTTAAAATTAAAATAGTAACTTTCAACAATTTCTAATTAACTACAATAAACCTAAGTATTTCAAGTGCATCAACAGTTTTACAGGCGTCTCCTCTTCAAAAAAAAAGAAAAATTATAAATACTATTACACGCCAAGATCGTTGTGATGGGATCGGCAACTGGAACTCCAACTGGGTTTTGGTGGTGGGCTTTCTACTCTAATCTAATCCTTCGATGTGGCATATGGCTCCGATCCGCTGCCACTGAACGAGCTGGTGGACAGCGGCGTGCTGACATCGCGGCTCTCGCCGTTGAGCAAGTACACCGGCACATGACTGGTCACCAGTTCGAGGTTGTGGGATGGCGAGAGCATCGAATTGCTGTCCTCGTTCTCCGGCGAACGTATGGGGGCAGCTATCTCCAGTTCATTGCCCACCTCGGGCACCATGTCCTGGTCGAACTCGAAGGCAGGTTCTGGATCGGCAGCTGAAACTGGCTTGGTTGGTTTTCCAACTGGAGTTGATTCCTCAATTGCAGTTGATTCCTCAACTGCAGTTGGTTCATCAACTGAAGTTTGTTCTTCAACTGGAGCAGGCTCAATAACTGAAGATGACTCTTCACTTGCTGCTGGATCTTCATCTGGAGCTGGCTCGGGTTGTATAGATGCGGTTTCCAGTCCAGAATCTGCTTCGAATTCCATGGAGTCAGCCAGAAGTCTCTGCTTCTTCAGCTTGTTCTTTGTGTGCGTCCAAGGGGTGCGCTTAACACGCCGCCTTCGCTTAGGTTTTTGGCGTGATAGTGCTGGCTCGATTTCATTTTCAATCTGCGGGTGAATTTCTGATTGCCGTCTCTCTTCATTCTTTTGGAGTTGCTCCTCCTCCAGCTCACGGTCATCGTCATGAGGTGGTTCTTCCTCTTCCGATAGCGTATCCTCTGGATGATTTGTTTCTCTCTCAGCCAGCATTTGACTCTCAACTTCTTGTGGATTCTCTACCTCAGGTGGCTGATCCTTTGACTGGCTTTCATCTTCAACATTTGCCTTCGGTTCATCCTCCAGTAGTTGCGCCTCCTCCTCTACCTGCTGCACTTCCCCCTGCTTTTGCTGGTCCATCTCCAGTTGATATTGTTCCTGGAGAAGCTGCTCTTCCAGAAATTGTTGATGCTCTATATCGTGCTCTTGCTCGTGCTTACTTTGCTCTTGAAGCCTATGGCTTTCTTTAACTGGCTCTGTTTCATCGTTTACAATTCGCGAAGAAACTAAAGTCTTCACTTCCTCCATTTGAACAATGTTCTCAGGCTGCTTTTGTCGCTCTTTTCGAGGCTTCTTCTTTCTCGTTTTCTTTTTCTTTTTCTCTGGGGTAGGTTTTTCCTGTAACTTCTGTTTGATATCCGCCCTTTCGATATTCTCTTTGCTCTTGCTCTTGGGCGTTTCATCCGTTTTCTTGAGATTAAACCGTTTCAGTCTTATTATTGGCAAATTTCGCGGCGCAGATTTCCGAATGGTGGACAGATTCTGTTCCAAATTCTCGATCTCGTTTCTTTTCTGGGCGTTAAGGTAGCGTAGCTCACGGCGTCGCTTCGTGGCCTGCTTGATCAGATTCTGGTGATCCAGCTCCTTCTGCACCGGTTTCTTTGCTTTTACAGTCTTTTTCTTTTTGTTGTTTAACCTGCGACGGCGGATATTCTCACGCTGCTGGGTTAGCAGCTGGTTGTAGTAGCTCACTTCATCGCCAGCAGCCTTGGCGAAAAAGCGACGACTGAAGCCCCAATCGCTGTGATTGTCGGTGGTTGCACTTTGATTCTGGCAGGGACTGCTTGAGCTGTGCGTTGAAGCTGGCGGCGTGGGCAAGCCCACTCTTTGCCCGCGCGGCGTTGCCCGATTGCGGTTGGGCGTGGCCGAGATCTTGGTGGGTGTACCACTGGAGGCATTGCTTGTTGTGGGTGTTAGTTGGCTAGCAGCGACATTTATGGCTTCATTTCTGGCCTTGATCTTGGCGTCCAGCTTGGCAAACATTTTCGCACTGGCCTTCTGATGCTCTGCAAACAACGTATTCGATATATTTATTATAATTTCAAACATGTTAACATGTTTTTGCCTTACCTGCTTTCCAGAGTTGAGATCCTAAACCGTTTGCCGGGGACTTTGTTATGTACTGCTTGATGGCTGGCTTCTTGGATAGACTGGCCTTGAAGTTCGAGGCAGTGGCTCCCAGATGCCGTGGACAGAAGGTAACCTGTTTCTTAAGCAGTGACGAATCACTGCAGTTGCTGTTCTGACTAGAAGTTTGCCGGCAGTGGATTATCGGAGTGAGTTGTCCGCTGGCGACGCTGGCACTGCTGCTTCGCGGGAAGAAGCCCTGACTGTGGGCACTGGGATATTGATCCCCTTCAATTAGATCCTGCTCCTCGTCCTCAAACGTTTGAACACACTGATCGACCAAATGCGGCGCTGTGGTCGACACCAAATGAAGGCTATCCCGGCGACAGCTGTAGCTGTTCACAATGCGCGGCACTGTGTAGGTGGCGGGTGGCGGCAAGGCCCTTTCGTAGGTGCGCAGGTTGCTGGGATAGATGCGGGTGACGGGCACGGAATCGTCCTCGCCGAGGATCGTTGTCGTTGTTTGATTCGCCGAATCGTTGGAGTTGGAGTTTGAGATAATACCATCCACATTGGCAGGCACATTAAAGTTCACGGAGAACATTTCCACGTCGTCGTCCGAGTCGCGTAGCTCAACGATTTCAATGGAGTTGTCGATGCCGCTGAAGAGAGCATTGGCCCGCTTGCACGGCTCCAACTGGCGCGCATTTTGGCAGAGATTCTGGAGAAAAACGGGCGGATGATTGTTCAGCACGGATGGCGGCGTACCCGATATGTCCCACATCGGGCAACTGTCTTCATCATCGGAGCTTAGTACCTGCGGGGGCGAAAGTTCAACAAAATATATTACAAACTGGAAAAACAATGTGTATAAGGAGGTTTGTGTTTATAGGCACTCAGCTGAGGTTGAAGTCATTTTGGGACAGTGAAATAAAGCCGGCCACCACCTGTCACGCGACTAACTGCGCCGGCAGTGGCTTCTGCCAAACTCGCTTATCCGAATCAGACCTTTTACTAAGACATCATAGTTAGCCAAGAAGAGCAACACAGTAAGTATAACTATTTTAAATGCTTGCAATGAGTTTTAATACTTGTCAATGCTAAGAATTCATGCAAGCACGATCAAATTAAAGGAAACCAAACTGAACTTTTCCTTACTGTGTTGCTAATTTCTGGTGATAATTAAAAACGCATCAGAAAAAAACTGAAACTTACCACTTCGTTTGACTGTTGCGGTCGATTGTCCACTTTGCTAACCACATGCAAACTGGTGCAGCTGCTTATCCGCAGATGGTTCAATATGGTACGCGTGGCCGTAATCGGATCTGTAAACTTAGGCAAGTAGTGGGCATAGACACTTTTTAAGGCCAGAGATCTAGAGGGTCTCATGAACTTTTCGGCAAACTCCACGATTCGCTCCTTGACCGACTCATCCGATTCCAGACGTTGCCAGTAGTAGAATATGAGTATGTATTCGATGTAAAGTTTGTCAGGCAGTTCTGCTTGGATCATAATATTGGGCATCGACCAATGAGGAAAGAGGCGACTGCGGAGTAAAAATGGGGAAAACATGATTTTATAAGGGTATACAAGCATTTATAGTGTCATTATAAGCCTAATACCTGTGATAAGACTAATTTCTAATTCAGATAAGATATGAAAACAATTCGATCGGAATCAAAAAGGAATTTCGAGTATTCAAACTTAATTTTAATTGCTTTATAGTAATTATTTATTATAGTTATAGGATAATGTTAGAATGTTATTTTGGCATGGTGTACATGGGAATAAAATTCTGAACTTAACTAATGTCTTAGCAAATATTAATGGACTTTAAAAAATAATCAAAAAAGTGGTAAGGCCAAAAACAAGTTTAAAGCTTTTAGATGGCACACTACACATGTGTCATTTGATCCGGAGATAACATGCGAGTTTAAATTAACAAAGCAAATAGAAACCATTTGCTAGCCTTATAATTACCTGTAAAGCATGGACAAAATACTGGCTCTGTTGAAGAGTTTTGGAGCAGCGAGCAGAGAGCGCAGCACATGCTCTCGGTGGACGCCTGCGCCACCTTCTCCGTACTCCACGTAGAGCTTCAGGCAGCTGTTGATCCGATTGATGATGATCTCCTCGCTCTCCACCGGCTCTTGGGCGGAACAGAGTTCGCAAGATATGTAAAAGCCGACGATGTTGCACATGCGTTGTCTATAACCTTCGTCCTGCTGAAGAGTCCGTCCCTGGACCATGGTGTGGATGACATTTGTGAGACCGATTAAGATTCTCGAAAGTTTTCGGCACTTCTCGGGCAAATACTGAGCCCGCTCGAACTCTTCCCGAATGGCACTAAAAATTAATGTTTATTATTTATTGCTGACTATGTACACCATATGTACTAACCACTCGTATTGCATGAGCAACCTGGCCATGCGCTTGTCGAAGCTATCATCGTTCATTGCTGCAATGGCATCATGAATCTTGCGTCGCGTCTCACTTAGATGGCCAAACTCCGGCTCGGGTTCATTAATATCCGGCTCCCTAACTCTTTCCCGATTCCGATCCGGGTCCGGTGACACACACTCCGTTCCATCAGCATTTGCCAGAGTGCTGACCTTGTCGAATTCGTCCAGCGTGCTACCGCTATTCCGCTTTCGGTTCCTGACCAAACAGCTCATGGTGCTGCATAAAAAAATTTGCAAATCGAAATGGATGCAAATTAATGCAATTGAAACCAGAAACGATATAACTCGTTAGCAGTGAAAGTCGGAGCAGCGCCCCTGTCGCGGGTCCCGAAGAAGAAAAGACCAAAAATGAAAGACTTACCATGAAAATGTGTATTTTTGCTAGAAAAACACTCTACGCACGAAATTTCGATGGTCCTCGGCAAGACACTAACGCACTGCACACCTGAGCGGATCCGAACATATTATCTTTGTAATATGCGCACTGTTTATATATCTTTTTTGTATTTTGAGCAGGAGCAATACCGATTAAGAGCTTCGTCGGATGAATTTTGCGTTTATGCGGTGCGCAGATGCGGTTAATCAGATATCGTGAGTTTTCTCTCTTCATATTGAGTTCGAGGACTCAATAATTTTTATATTCAGTACTGTATACGACAAATAATCTCTTCCTTGGTTTCGTGCCTTGCCTAAATCCACTTTTTAAAATTATATCACAGCAATTTGAACAATTATTAAATACAGCTTCTAGCGATTTTGTCTTAATGCGTGATTCAGGACAACGTGGGAACGAAACGAGCAGATGTCGTCTTTTTTTGGCAGTGTTGGATATCGTTGTCCTGTTGCCGATACTGCGTTTATGCATTAGAAAAAATGTCCCGAATTCCACTAAATACGATTGTTGTATTCTATTTATTTTTTCATCAATAATTTATAAGGAGGTATACAAACATATACCAATTACTCATATAAAAAATAAAATTGATGTGTAAGTTTTAGGTAAGCACATAAAAGTGTCTTTCTTTTTTAAAGCGGTACTGATTTTCATAAATATTATTTTAAATTTTTTACCTATTGAAACCTACTGTGTGAACAGGAACTTAGAATTTCACGAACAGTATACGATTTCAGGAGTTACACAACACTACCTAAACTACTGTTAGTCCTATACATCAGTATCGATATTTATAACACTATCGATTAAAGCAGAATTCACATTTTTATTATTTTTAAAATTGCTGGCCTTGTAAAATAAATACAAGGAAATCCCATTTTTATAGCGCAAAAATGTAGTAAAATCAAACTAAGCAAAAGAAGTAAAAATAATTTCAATTTACTTTTTTTTACATTTTCATTTAGTTTTTCTTTTGTAGTAATTATATTTTTCTTGAGACGGTAATGAATGAAAACACAACGGACACATTTTAATAGAAATTCGGCCAACATATGATTTATTTTTCTGAAAATCTAATTGAGTTGTTTTTTATATCAAAATATATAGCATTTACTTTATTCCCAACCCGATATATTCAGTAGACATGGATTTAATGTTGTTACCAACTTTATTTGTTACGTTCTTAATCAGTTCTTTCAATGATTCTAAAAATTCCAAAATAGAAAACTTAAAGAATTAGATATTAAAATTTATCGTTTTCGTTCATTCTTCATTAAAACTGAATTTTAAGTTAACGCAATCTGCGTTGCACGTGTATTATAAATACCGAGCAACGGAAGTATGTATGCGAATGAAAAACCGTGGGCGGGCAAATGCTTCGATGGCAGTGCTGGCGACCAGCTGATCCCATTCAAATCGACTGACAAAAACTCAGCCGCCGGATGGGAAAACTCTGGACGCCAGCAAACGCCGAAACGTTACAAATAAACTACAGAATGTACGTTGCTAGTTGTGGCTTGTTTTTGTTACACGGATGTTGCTGTTCATAGTTGTTGGATTTTCGTGTGTGTATAGATGTGTGTTTTTGTGTGGCTGTGGTAGTTGTTGGATTTACAACTCGTCCTTCTTGGGCGCCTCCTCTTCCTCCTCGGTCTCCTCGACGGGCTCAGAATCGGCGACCTCACCGTTGGCATCGAGGAACTTGACGAAATCGTCCAGGGTCCTGTCCAGATTGAAGTCAATGACCTTGTTGTCCTCCTTGCGGAAGTACTTAATGGTGGGGAAAGACGAGATCTTTATGCTCTCCAGCTCGTTGGCGGTGGAGTCCATCTTGGCAATGACAATCTCCTCGTTGTCCTTGTACTTCTCGGCCAGCTGGTCGTAGATGGGGGCCAGCTGCTTGCAGTGTCCGCACCACGGGGCGTAGAACTCAACCAGAACGCTCTTAGACTTGTCCAGGGCAACGCTCTCAAAGTTGCTGGAAACCAGCACCTTGACGGGGTTCTTGTCCCAGTCCTCAGGCAGTTCCTGGGAAAGCAGGTGCTGCTTTAGCTTGCCGTCGAGGAACTTCTTAAGGAAGGCCTCGATGGTCTCGGCGGACAGATCGTTCGACTCGGGCTTGTACTTGGCCATGTCCTCCTCCAGCTTGATCAGACGGATGGTGGGCACCTCCTCCTTGTTCATGCCGAAGAACTCGAAGATGCGGGTGTGGTCCTCCTCGTCGGACGAGATGGTCACGAACAGGATGTCGTCGCGGTACTTCTTGGCGATCTCCTTCAGGGGATCCACGTACTTCTCGATGTGGCCGGCCTCCCTCGACACGAAGAACAGCAGATGGGACTTGATCGAGCCACCAAAGATCTTGGAAGCAGACTCGTGGTTGAAGTCAACGATCAGGGGCAGCGACTGCACCTGAGCGAACTTCTTCAGGTTCTCCTCGGTCAGTTCACCTTCGAACACAGATTTCTTGTCGTCGAAGGGCTTGAACAGGATCACGCCGTTGTCCTTAGCTTCGTACTTGGCAATTACATCGGCATTGCTGCTCACACCAAAGACGAACGAGTCCAGTGCGTTCGCGGCCTTGGTAAAGGTCTTGGCCTCCTCAGACTCGGCATCCTTGAAGAATCCAATGATAGCGATCTCGTTGTCCTTAAGAAACTGCTCGGCATCAGCGACGCTGGTCAGATCCTTGGCCGGTGGGCCGGTCTTCTTGGTCACCCAAGCGATGATGTCAGCGGCCTGGCGGCCACCGCTGTACTCCACGGGAGCACCGCTGCGGAAGAACTTCAGAGTGGGGTAGCCGCGCACGGCGTACTGCTCGGCCAGCTCACCCTCGACGGTGGCATCGACCTTAGCCAGCTTGATGGGCGACTCCTTCTCGGCCAGCTGCTGGGCAGCCTTGGCGTACTCGGGAGCCAGAGCCTTGCAATGTCCGCACCATGGGGCGTCTGGAAAAAAATAGAAAAAGAAATCAAAGTCAGCAAAGGGAGGGCCAGTAGTTTTTTTTAGTAGATCAATCTATTAACCGGTTTCTAATAATTTAATGATATCATTTTAATCTGGGAGGCTAATGACGATTGGTCAAGCTACGCTATAATTGCTTCGAGATTGATCTAAAGTAATTTGTTGAGTTCAACATGGTGTGACCCACACGTATGTTGTATTCATACAAAGTATTTAAAGATTCATCTATAATTTGTGAGTTTAATTGTTGTCAATTAAATTATAAATTGTGTTAAACAGGTAGCATTTTGTTTAATATGCAGAATAAAGTTGGATAAACAAATTAAAACTTATAAAATAAAACTAACCATGGTAAGTAAAAATTATAAAACAAAAAACTTCCACATGGTTTCTAAAAGTTATCTATTCAGTTATCAAAAACTTCTGCTACCGACAGGGACTCATTTGTATAGGAATGGCTAAGTTTCAATGTAAATGCGAATATTAAATAATCCTATTCATTCTTCTGATGTAATGAAACCTTTCAAATCCCTTTGCCTCTCAAGATGCAAAACCCTTTTGTTTACATTAACGACTTGGAAACGCAATTAAATGGCGCGCACTGGAAGACCATCAGCCAAGTGTAAAATTCTAAATTTGGAGCGACAATTATCCGCGGTAGATTTGCCACGGATCTGGAGCAAGGCCCCCTGGACCTGGCCATATAACCTGCGCCAGATGTTGCCATTATGCAAATTCCACGTGTCGAAGTCTCATTGCCCAAGTGCAGCTCCTCAGAAGCCACGGCTGCAATTTGATTCGCATCCACGCACACAAAACGAAATAAAAGCTGGGGGTCCCGGCAGATGACATAATGCCGGGCTTGACAACGTCTACGATTAAGATTCCATCTTACATATAGAGTACGCCTTATCGTCAGCTTCTGGCTTTCGATTTAGTTATAGCTGCGGCTGACGTGGCCCTGGCATTGGTTCCGCCTTAAAGAACATCATTATAGTCCCACCGATAAGAACTTCGCCTTGGATGAGCGGGCAATTATCGACTTGGCTGACGTTGTCACCTACAGAAATCCCACACAAAAAACAACACCGACAAAAGTGCAAATTTTAATCAAACAAATAAAGAGAAAACGCTGGCATAAACAAACCACACATTCCGCCATATTGTTAGCTGCCTAGTGATGCCAAGCTAGCATATCTGTGGTTTAAGGCCAAATGGGGGGACTTTTTTGTATCACTGATTTAGGCTTATCTTTCAAGTGTTTTTCAATTTTCAGAGATAATAATGGGATTCGATTTTTTTGAGGTTCTCATTAGCAGAACATAAAACTCAATTGAAGATGTGTGGTTACAATGGGAGAAGCCGTACAGGAGTTTGTGACAATATTTAATAACCCTAAATAATACATTTTCACTTAATACAAATAGGTAAAATATAACAAGATAAAAAAGCTAAATATATCAAAATTATGGAATATATATTTCTAAAATATCCTTTCAGCTTTTCTCCGGCTTACTAGCAATCTGTTGCTCGCGCTAAGCATCACTGGCGGCTCAACACCGTTAGGCACGCGCAGAGAAAGAGTTGAATGAACTTTCCATTGCGTGGCCGCCGTGGAAAAGGGACCGAAACCAGATTTGAAGTGAGTATAAGAACCGAATAGAAAGCAAATGGTGAATAAAAGTGGGTTTAGGTTATTTTTTAGGTAACCCATATTCTCGAGAAAGAAGGAACTAAAAGTTGCCCGACGGCTTTCTGCCGCCTTTTGTTTCATTAGATATTTTTATTCTGAGATTGCTAAAGCGGATGTGTGATAAACATATGCCACGCCCCGAAGTCGCCAACTTAGAACAAAAAACTAGAAACGCCGACAAAAGTTAATCGTATAAAGAAAATAAAGCTGCCCACAATTTTGTTTCCTTTGGCATTTATAATTTAAAAGAGTATCAGGTTTAAAGCGACAACAATAACAAGTAGTTCTACAGTTCTCTCCTCTCTCGCTCGCACCTACAGGTGAGGAAAAGAGATGACACTTTCGTGCGAGAGAGCCCTCTCTTCTGCCACTCTCCCTACTCTCATAAGATGACGCGAGAGATAAAAACTGTTAAACAAACGATAAAATGCAGGAAAATTCACTAAACAAATTTTCCAAACCGCTGACTGGAACTACTTTTTCAAATGGATGACCAAAAACTATGCAATTGCGCTGGCTTCAGTTTTTCGTATTTCCAGTCAACAACAATTGCCACGCAGACAGATTTTCTCTGACGCCTGGAAAGACCACGTAGCCGCTAAGCTGCATGAATCAGAGAGTGCGAGCGAGAGGCCACTAGCGGCCGGCACTGTCATTTCGAAATTTACAACGATTTTCGGCACTTTTGTGCAGTTTTTTTTGGCCATTCTCAGACCGTACTTACAGAACTCGACCAGCACGAACTCGTTGTCGGCAATCAGCTGCTTGAAGTTGTCCACCGTCGCCACCAGAACGCCCTCCTCAACCTTGACCTCCGCCTCGGCGGAAGCGGCCACGTAGGACGCCGCCAGGAAAAGTGCACAGATCAGGAACTTCATCGCGGGCACTTGCGTCTTCTTATTATCAACTGGATTTGTGTGCCCTGTGTGGGTGCAGCTCACTCGCCAACCAAATTGGAATTCGAAGTTCGAACTGCGCTGGACTTGCCCGGTTGCAAGTAAAAAATCGAAATGAGACTTGTCTGGATCGGGGGTATATATATACTTTCTAGTAGAGGTGGAAAAACTTCGATGCTTCGATTCTAAATCGCTTTCTTGTATTCGATTACTTACTATTTAAAATGCCCGCCAGGTGTCGTTACTAATGAAAGTTTTCGCCGCTTGGGGCGCTCTTCTATTACGAAAATGTTTAGCGAATACATCTTCTTTTTTAACCGAAAACAACCTTCTAGCACAGCAAATACATCCTCTTAAATAACGACTACGTCCTTTTAACCCATTTTATCATGTGCATCAAGTTTTTCGTCACGTCACCACCCATTTAAGCCGAAATTTAAAAATAATTTTTTTTTTATTTTAATTTATACACTTGCTAACCGAAATTCTAAAAAAAGTGATGTTTTTCGGTATCCTTTCTTCAGACGATGGGATTTTGGTTTGCCTTGTATAATCTTAGGCAAAGTCAAAATACGTTGCTACTTTTTATATCGACCCCATAAATAGATATATAAATTTCTTATCAGCATCACCAGGCAAGTGCTTATAGTCATGACTACTCGGAATATCAACGGTTTTCATTTCTTTTTTGAGAATCTGACTAATTTGTTTTTATAAAATGCATTAAATATTAATAGTATTATTACTAATGAACATCACAAAAAAAAAATACATTTAAAGTATTTTTTATTAACATTTTAAATTTTTAGCAGGGCCTATTGTCCATTTTTAATCTTTAAAGAATTACAATTAAGTTATAATTAAATACCAAAATGAAGGGGTCATTCACCTTTAAAAATACAATATCTTCTGGAATTGTTTAAGCACAAATTAATTGCTTAAATGTTTTAGCAGTTGTACTGCCTTCCTGCTTATATTGTAAAGGCATTAGTACTTCCTAAATACAACTCATTTATTCAACAATTTACAGCACAATAATTGTAAATACACATAGCTTAAACAATACTTAAAACCACAGACGGTGGAGGAATTAAATGCAAACGTGAATTATACACAGGCTGCCACCTGTTGAACGCATTGTTCGACTACTGCAAAAACAATTTCAGCAGTTTTCTCGGTGCTAAATGGTTTGTCTATAGGCGGTACATGGACGAAGAGGCTCCTCTTTTTGTCCACATCCAGAGATTTCAGGTAGATATAGCCGCATAGAAAGTCGCCGACGTTTTTTGAGACCTTTGTAGCGCCAAGAGGCTTAATATTATCGTTTGTGGGGGCTACACATCCGTCGCACTCTTCATTTACAGCCGCCACAATCTTATCCACATCGAGACCGCATTTTAAGACGTTTGCATGCCCATTGTGGGGGAGTTCGCAGCTGCCGTTGGGCAGGTATTGTCCAGAGTTATCGGGTCTTCGGAACTTGTGGTTGTAGGCCAGCTTCTCTATATAGACACACTTTGCAACGCCCGAAACGCCAACATGTATGACCAGCTGGGGGGAAGATGATATCATTTGAGTGCTATTTATGGTCCAATTGAGAACGCAGTGCTTACATCTGGCTGGCGTTTCCATATCTCCGTCACAGCCTCGTCCACAGCTCCATATTCAACCTGAACCAGACGCTTTTCTATATCGTATTCGGTGCCATTGTAGCTGAGGACCTCTGGGAGCAGCTTCACAGCCTCCCAGCTGGCGTTGATGGTGTCATGGCCAGTAAATGGCCCGAACCCGGAGACCACAATTAGCTTTCGATCCGACGACGCCATAACAAACGCTCCAACTAAACATCATCCCACCCCCATGAACTACTTTATATATGTACCATATGTTTGTCTTCTTCTTCTTCTGTTTGATTTCGCGTCTCCACTGGTCATTTCATACAAGAAATTCAAATATTTAGTATATTTGTTAACGGTTATCAATAATATTTGCGTAGTCATATGAAATGTATAGGTTTCCATATAAACTACAAAAAGCCTAAGAAGTTTATCAAATGACTTAAGTGTTTTTAAAAAAACTGAGCGTGTATTATACTAAACTTACGTCTAATTTTTGGTGAAAATAGATACCCTGTAATTATACAACTAACCAGTTACAAAGTGGGACCAACCATTTTCGAGCAGTATTTTCTGGTTTTCGGTATTTTTGCGACATCTACCCTTGGGATTTCCACCAAAACAAGGCAGACGACGCAGTATGCGGCTCCAAACAGAGAAATAACACTCGAGGCGAAAACAAAAAGATAAATCCATACCATACATTCCATAGATCCGATCCGAGCAAATGCAACATCAAACGAACGACGGCCAATCGAATCGATAAGCTAGCGAACCAGATCCGAAAACGGGGAATATAGGTGGGTATTAGCTGGTAATCTAATCGGAGCGGATAAGTTGCTGGTGCTCCTCTGCTGCCACCTTACGCACACAGGTGAACTTTGCACATTAACAATTCATTAACCTCGAACAGGTCGCCGGTGGAGCGGGAAAAGCAGAAAAGTGGGGGAATCGGAAAAGCGGCTAGCAGTTGGCTCATTTCACACAACGCAGTCCAAGGAGCGAGAGTCCTTTCACCAATCGTTAACATGCTGTCGCGCCTGCAGGACTTCTTGTCACGCCACCGGCGGAAGTTTTTAGTGACCGGCGTTCTGGTGGGCGGCACCATCTTTGCGGCGCGTTACGCACAACGCCGTTTTGTGGAGTTCCAGGAGAAACAAGCCAGGGAGTTTTTCGAGCGGACACGCCGCCTGACCCACTTCGAGTCCACGGAGAAGACCTGCAACCAGGTCATACTCGGCATGGGCGAGGAAATGTGCCAGGCTGTCCTGCGGGAATGCAGCACGGACGAACTGCTCGAGCAGCTGCGTCAGAATCCCAAGAACAAGCTGGAACTGTGGGAGGACATGAAGATTGTGGCCTTTACGAGACTGGCCACCTATGTGTATGCCTCCTCCATGCTGGTCATTGCCCTCCGTGTGCAGTTAAACCTTCTGGGCGGATATATCTACCGCGACATCATGACGGAACAAAAGCAAATCACAGATGAGCTGAAGCAGCAATATCTCTCGCTCATCCGGCACTTTATCACCGAGTCGGGCATCCGGGACTTGGCGCGGTACATACGCAGTCAGGTCATCGCCGTTGTCAAGTCCATGCCGCTGTCCCAGCAGCTTTCCCTCAACGACTTGGAGCAGCTCTTCTGGTCTCTGCAAATGGCCATCAATGCGGACACCCGTCGGGATCCCAATTCCCGGATGAGCAAGTACCTGCTGCCCAGTCAGAACCCCAGTCATTCGCCGCTGCTGCAGAAGATGTTTAACGAAACGCTGGATTTGCTGGAGAGCGAGGATGCCATTGGTGTGTGCTCGCACAATGTGAGCCGGGGTTTTGTGTTGGCCTGCGATGCCATTGCCGAATCGATGGGCGAGACGCTGCAGCACCTGCCGCAGGCTGAAGTGCAGACCCAACAGGAAAACCCAAAGTTCAACCAGGCAGGAAGCTCCAGCAGTTCAAAGAGCCCAGCAGCGGAAAACAACAACTTCAACATCAACCGAGTGCTGATGGCGCTGGCAAACCTCATTCCAATCATAAGTGGTCTCACCTCGAGGGGATTCGACAGCACTGCGCGACCACATAACCTGCCCACCCAGCTAATCACCTTTTACGTGGTCGCAGAGAAGACGAAGACGCTGGGTGCCAACGTTTACGAGAGCTTCAGCTCAGCCTAGAAGCTCGACAAAACTTGGATTATGCACCTGTGCATAGGCTAGGCTAAGACAATTGCAACATTTTAGTTTATAAACCTGTATATTTTTAATACGATCATAATTCTCGGATGCATTGTTTGTATGTCTGCTTGAACCCCATCACGTATTAAGTTTAGCTCCTAAGAATATTTAATCGAAAGTGAATGTAAGGTATGCTTAAGTCGGTTCCCCATTGAGTCCAGAGGGAATTCTACGAGACAGGGAGTTACAATTCGAGTAACATGAAGGCCTTTTAAAATAACTGGAGTGAGTAATTTGTGCTTAGGGGGAGAATTTTATATGGTATCAAAAATAAATGGAAACGTAAATTATATGTGTGTAATTGTAAAGTTTTAAAGAAATTTATAAAGTTTTAAGGGAGTACAAATGTTTTGAGGAAAATCCAGTTGAAAGAAAAAATCGATTATAGATATCCTATATTAGGGCGTAGGTTCCATTTAAATGGATTGTAAAACACATACACACTTAATAAACAGCATTCCCTCTTTTAAATGATTATTTATAAATTAAAAAAAAAAAACTATAATCTGAGTAATCGAATTTTTATAGCATACACAGTGGATATCCGAACCGTTTGTAACGGTTGTCTTTGCTATCAGTGAAAAGGGGGTGGCAAAAAACCGCCCTGTGATAAGACAGCTGTGGCTGGTTTTTGTTTGTTTGCCATTTCTCTTGCTCTTGCCGCTCTCTTTCTCTCCCTTACTATAAGCACTTGCGCAGAAATGCCGCAAAAGAATGTCCATAATTATATTAGGAATACGCATATTATAAGGCTATTTTGTAGTACAACAAATTTGTTGCTTAACTTTTGGTTAAAATAGGTAAATAAAGACAGGTTGATATAAAATGTAATGCATAAATCTGTCTTTCTCTTTCTCCGGCTTAAGTGCTCTCTCTCTGGCTTGCCTCTCTCTCTCACTCCTTTGGGTGCCCAGCTGTCTGGTAAAAAGAACACATTTACATTTCCATTTTGGGCGCAGTTGCAAAAGTTACGTGAAAATCAAAGGACAACCGTTGCTTTTATACCATCCTTCGAGTTAAAGTGTGTGTGTGAGTGTGGAAAAATAATTAAAATTAAAAAAATAAATCATCCAGTAACCAGAAGCAACTAAGCCAAGTTTAAACCTATTGTGCAAATATGACAAAGTCTGCAAAAAGTACACAAATTAGCATAGCCAGCAAGAGAAGAAAAGTCTAAGGATTTCGGACAAACAACCAAACAAACAAGCAACAACAACACGGCGGCTCAATTGTGTAAGTGCACTTGCAAAATGTTTATTGACCAGTCGAGAGGGCTAAAAAGCCTTTAACCCATCAACTTTGGCCACAAAATGTTATTGATTAAGACAAAAAATGAAAAAATCAAAGGCACATAGGAGCACGCGTGAGGGAAGAAAACGGACATAACGGTATATTGGTAACGGGACAGACAGTGCGTGCGTAAAGTGGGGTGGGATTGGCTGGAAAAGTGGGAGGGTTGCAGTGGAAAAACCAAAACGCGAAGTATATGTGGGCTAAATATATAAACACTATATTATTAGACGGGTCACAAGTGAACAACCAACTAACGAGTTGTGAGGACACAATCAACAAATCCTCCAACGAAAGTCCTTTATAAACAGAGAGAACCTTTCTCTTTCGAAACACCAATCTTAAAAGATTCTTTATAAACTTTTGAAACATCTAAAAAGTATAAATTGTAAAACTAAAGTTGATACAGAAGTGAACTTGTAAACTGGCTTTTCGAAAGAAAACAAAAACTATTAAAAATTAGAATACTCTTTAGCGAAGAGTATCCTCTTGTAGCAAAGAAAGTCAAGTGCGGCAGCGTGAAGACAACAAAGAAATGGCATTTTCCCCAGCCAAAGTCCGTGTGGGATATTCAAGGAAAACAATGCATGCAAGTCGGGCAGCCCCTACAACCAAAACACCACCCCATTCACAAGTTTCCCCACTGGGTGCTTGAGCCCCTATATTGTACATATATATAGGCATATTGACATACTAAAGGCGTAGATCAAGTGCCTTGACAAGAGGCCACAGCACCTAACTAAATATAAACACATAAATTAGGGAAAGTAGAAGAAGCGTTCTCAGCGGAAAAAAGTACGTCATGGAAATTTGATGAAAAATAACAAAGGGTCTCAGGGAAAACCTTTAGGCTGCGGATATCTTGGATATCTCCTGATTTTAAATGTATATGTATTATATATGTCATTTAAAATTTTTAAGGGGTTCTCAATATCTTTACAAGTCATAATTCCGACAAGTCAATTAAAAAATATTTTAAATACTGCAATCGGTGCCAACTATTTATTCTCGTTTCCAAATAAATTAGCATTCAATTAATTCTCAGACAATAATAAACCCTTATCAAATTTAGCGTTAATGCAGTAACGAATTTTCTTGAATTTTGTAATTCTTATCAGCACGCTGTAGAAAACCTTTTTTTCTCTTGATTTACTGCAGGCGGCATGTTACTAATAAGCGTGCAATGTTAAATACACTGATACCCGGGGAAAATGGTTAGTTTTCCGGCAACTCTCTTCAGTGCAGGAATACAGAAAATACGCATGTGGATCGAAAAGTAAGGGTGCTGGAAGAACAACACCTTCGAGCTTTTGTCAAAGAACTGGGAACGGTGCTCCAATCAATAGAGTGAATTGAAAGGTGCATAAATAAACTCGTATCATGCTCCACTTGGACTTTTGTAACGGCTAAAAGGGAGTGCTATGGCATATATCCCAACCCTTTCGGACTATATAGATGTCTTTGCATGCGGTTTTGTTTGCTCACGCCACTTTCACATTCCAGTTCCCATCCCTGTATCCTTCCCATCCGAGTCCTACTTTTGCAACATGAATGAATGACTCTAACTACATTTTTCATGCAAGCCGAGGGATCCGCTCTGGTTATCCCCACTCCTTAATGCTTTCGTCTTTCTCCTGCTGTTTGCTTGTCAAAAACGTCAAAAATGCGATAGTGAAGACCCCAATAAAGAACAGGGTGGTCTGCAGGCTTCACTTTGGAAAAAAAGAACCCTAAGATTACATTTCTTAGAAATAAGATAAAGAATTAAATTCAAGATATTCTTTAAAGTATATTTATTCAATTCCAATTACTTCTACTGCATTTAAGATATTTTGTTTATATTTATAAATTATTTATGGGTTATATGGGTTATATTTTAAATATCCCATTTAAATTTGAGTATTGCCTAACTACTACCTCTATTTTTTTCGAGTGTGGAATACTTGCGAAGTAGAGCGGGCAACTTGAGTGTTGTTCAGCCCCAAACCACAACTTGCACCACCTTATTTGCATGGCTACCAAAGTAGTGCGGAACCCCCAGACCTCAGACCCAAAGTGATGTTGCAACCGCCGGCGGGATGACGCACACACACACACACACACACACACACTGACAGAGAATAGTGCCATAAATGACATGTGATAGATGGATGGACAGGACACTTGGTGAGGGCTTTGGGGGATTAGCCGGGAATGCGGCCCAAATGAAGCTGCACCCGTCTCCTGTAATTAGGCTTCCTTCGGGGCAGGTCCATAAAAGCCGTTGGTAGCAGCAGCCAGATCTGAGTCCACTTATTGCTTGGCTGCAGGACAATGTGGCTTTCACCGTCCCCCACTTTTTCAAGCACTTCACTCGATTCACTCTGGGCACTCGGTTCGTTTTATTACGTATACGCCCCGCCGGTTGCTGTGGAACAGCCCTTGACGCGAGACGGCCATCTGGCTCAATATTTGCTGTGGGCAAATATAAATTCAGATATTTTCATTGACCAAACGTAGAAGACTTTCGCCTCTCCCACATGCAGGTAATGAATATTTTTCCGGAGCTGGGACATCGGTTTCATGCCCTGCCGATCGACTTGGAACTAATGACATCCAATTTATTTGTTCAGCCATGACTAATTCAAAAAGACCGAAAAATAGCATCACTCGTAACTAATCAATTTTTAAATTGTGCAGAAAGAAACGTATGCCCTCGTTTTCAAAATTCATCCTTTGATAAGTTTGAGTTTCGGTAACAAAAATAAAAAATATAATGCAAATGTGTTCGGTCGATTCTAATATTCCTCGGAAAAAACTGTATTATCAGGAACTCTAGAGAATGTTTTGTGGCATGAATATATTTGATTAAAAAGCTGGGTAGTGAGTAATGTACCGCCCCTCATATCGCTGAAATGAAACATTCCGAAAACGGGCTCAGTTCACGCGTAGAGTCTAAGCGATCAACACGATTCAATAGAACTGAGAACCAAAATACAGAGTCCAAAATAATTAACACGGGTAATTAGAGCTGAAATTTTGTGGCTCTGACAGCGATGGCGATGGAGCTCGAAAGTGAGCCGTTTATTTGGATTTTTAATTTACCATAATATTTGTTCATCTATCTCGCACAGCACGATGACAAACGCCAGCTGAAGACGACGCAGTCGGTTTATTGGCCCCCGAATCCCGTAGTCTAGAGCCCCATCGCTGAGGAGTGGTCACCATGCGACGCCCGAAAATATCCCTCAAAAAGTACTTCTACTTCACACTGATATGCGCCCTCCTCCTCATATTTGGTTTCAATCTCAAGTGAGTAAAGATAGCGGTGTCGGTAAGGGTAAACAAAACCGATCCAATATTTATCTAAGAATGCCACACAGGTAGATTGAAAGAGATATAACATACCGGTTTTGGAAAATACTCAAACAAAGTTTACTGACTTATTATAGTTTAATTCTATATTGGACATAGTACAAATGATAACTGAGTTCTTAAGTTATGATAATATACATTTCTTTAAGCATTACTTCATAATTTGAAAGACTTCATTTTTCTTATGCAAGTTAAAGCTTAATTAGATGTATAATACCAGCAAATCTTATTAACAAATATCAACAAATAACATTCTTGTATGTACAAAAACTGATTTTATGACTTCCCGCAGAGAGTACGAAATATGGAAGACGCGGAGTCCCCGACCGTCGCAGATAACCACACAGCAGCAGCATCACCAGCACTTGCATCAACTGCAGTCCATGGACGAGGAGCATCCACTGGCCACCAGTTCGACACCTTCGCCAGCTGCGGTCACCTTGCTGCCTGAAGTGGCCGCCAATCTTGTCGAGGAGCCGGAGCAGACTGTTCTGGAGGAGGAGAATGTCGAGGCGGATCGGTTGCAGGAGCCGCCGGCGGAAAAGGCCTGGTTCTTCAAGAACGGCGAGTACTATCCAAAGCCAGCCAGGACCTACAGCAATCGAAAGGCCAGGAAGCGACATGCTCCTCGATTGCTGCCCCATCAGGATCCCTATTCCGATCGGATCGTTAACCAGCTGATGTATGTGCCGCACAACTACGAGGAGATCAAGTCGAGCGGAAAGCTGAAGACCATCCTTCTGTACAATGGACTGGGTCCTTGGAATGTGAAGAAGGGTCGCGACGTCTTCCTGAAAGCCAAGTGTCCCGTGGACACCTGCGAACTGACTGCCAATCGCGATCTGGCCAGTTCAGCTGACATGATCTTGTACAAGGATCACTACATCCCCACGGGCATTCGGCGACCCAGTAACTCCAAGCAGGTCTCCATGCTCTACTATCTGGAGTGTCCTTATCACACACAGAATGTCAAGGTGCCCGACGCCATCAATTGGACAGCCACATACAGGTTAGTCTCTTTCTAAATAAGGTTCAAGCTCAAAAAATGGAGCTTTTTTGCTACAGCTAAAATAGTTGATAACTAATTACCTCCGATAACCTCGACACCCCAAATTTAGGTTTAGGGGTTATCAGAGAATAGAAAAATGTTGGGTTTTTTAAGACATAAATAACTATGAATCATTTTTTTCTGCAGGCGGGACAGCACAATTGTCGCACCCTATGAAAAGTGGCAGTACTACGACACAAAGGTGCAGCAGCAGGAGCAGGATATAAACTACTCCGTCAACAAGACCAAGAAAGTAGCTTGGTTTGTGTCCAACTGTGGGGCGAGGAATGGTCGACTCCAGTACGCCCATGAGCTCCAAAAACATATTGAGGTAAGGTTACAATTGTTTATGATTTCATTGACTTAAATACAAAATAAGCTTTTAATAAAAAGAAGTAAAAACTACAATTTGGTAGTGCAAGTTAATAAGTCAAGTAATTATATTTATTTATTTCTATTCTATTTATTAATCTCAAATAATATCCTTCCCCAGGTTGACATCTACGGGGCATGTGGCAACTTCAAGTGCTCCCGGAGCACGGCGGACAAGTGCTTCGAGATCCTCGACAACGACTACAAGTTCTACCTGGCGTTCGAGAACTCCAACTGCAAGGACTACATCACGGAGAAGTTCTTCGTGAATGCGCTGAACAGAAGGGTTCTGCCCATCGTGATGGGCGCCCGTCCGGAGGATTACGAAGTGAGTGCTCCTCGGCGATCCTACATCCATGTGGACGAGTTCGCCTCGCCGAAGGAGCTGGCCGAGTATCTGCGCATCCTGGATCGCGACGACGAGCTCTACAACTCGTACTTCAAGTGGAAGGGCACCGGGGAGTTCATCAACACGTACTACTGGTGCCGCGTGTGTGCCACCCTCCACAACGAGGAGCAGCTGAGGAAACCCCGCTGGTACACAGATCTCAATGACTGGTGGCGAGGACCGGGAGTCTGCACGACAAGATCCTGGCGGAACTTCAAGGCGCGCAAGGACGTAATCAGCGATTCCAGCGACGACTGAGTCCAAGTTCTCGATGCGATACAGATCGTGGGATTGGGCATTACTTAGATTAGAGATCATCATCAGGCGTCTTCAGTGAGTAACTCGCTTCTGAGTGGTTGTTGCTTAGGTATCACCAGTCCTTTTTCCACAAGATGGATCCATTTTGCTTAAACATTTCTGGCTGAAAACTTCAGCTTCAAAAAGAGAGAATGGATAAGCCAATGTGTATTTAAATGTGCAATTTTACTTTAAAATATCCCAGTGACTAAAACCATTATTTTTAATTGATCGAGGTCAACGAAACTCTCTAGTTTAACTTTTTCCCCGATTTCTCATCGCGACCAAAATGTTTTTAGAGAAAAGCAACCTTCGCAGTCCATGTGTAAAGAACCGCTTCGTTTCTGCCGGAGTTTTACGTAAATGTGTTTTGTAGTTAGATAGTAGGTAAACCAAACCTCGGAGCTGCCGGCGCCCGGGAAACTCAAATCAAACCGAGGAGGCACGAGGTGAGGAGCGTTTGAACACTAGCCCATAGACTAAAAGATCCCCGTGCTGATCGCTGTAACATATACAATACCAGATGCATAAGTGAACCTAGAGTACTAGCCTAGTTATATATGGATATACAAATGATATGTATACATAGTTCGGTAATTTATATAGTTGTTTAAACTAAAAGCAAGTCCAAAATAGACCATAATAAGATAACGAACGAAAGGCAAGTTAAAGTAGTTTGACATTATGTATAGTATAGCTTCGGTGCAGTTAAAGGATGCATTAGCTATATTGCATAGATTTTTTGTAAGTGTTTTTGTGAGCTAACCGCAACTGATTTCAATTCACAATTTGGTTTTCGGTTTTAGACCTTATCAAGCCGGGCTTTTAGTTGAAATGTAAGCCGTAGAGAGCTACTTAAAAAGGTTTCCCAGCCTGTTGACTAACTAATTACTCTATACCCGATTCGCACAAGCTAACATATATATAATATATCTCAATACAAGTACAATTTACATTCCTATTTTTCAAAAAAATATCATATGGCGTTTAATTTCAATTCAAACAGTGCATATGAGTGTTTTTTACAGTTTTTAGCAATATTTATATTTATTGTGTGACAATTAATTTATAAGTATTAAATAATATCATCTGTGTGTGTATTTTGATTGTGAACTTGTTTCAATTTTAATTTTTACTGTGATACAAAAAAATAATAATTATAATAAACAAGAATTAAACAGTGGCAACTAATAGTAAGTTATTTCTAATGATTCCTGGACTTCAAATGAAATGTGAAAAGTAATAGTAACTGGGGATGGCGCATGTATTCATTAATAGAACATTCATGCATTCATTTATAATACTTAAAAATCTGAGCATCTTAAACATGGCACATTTTCAGCTGCACAAGTAATTCTTTAAGTGCGTTTAATTTCTCCTTTTTGGAATCATTCTTTCCTGCCGTGGCAGCTACGATCTTTGCCGTAATTTTACGTTGCAGTGCAATGGCTTCAACTTTCTTTGAAAGCTGCAAATTTAAGAAAATGTTTAAAGCTGAATAAAACACAACAAGTAAATAATCACCCACCTCATAAGCCCGCTTAATTATTCCTTGCGGCATTCCAGCTAATTTGGCTGCATTAAAACCATACGATTTGGGACAGGCACCAGCTGTGTATTTGTAAAGGAACGTGACAGTTTCTTGTGTGGGATCGGCATTGTCTTCGTTCTCCACCATGCAAGCCATGTGTCCCAGCGTAATTCTCTTGTCGTTGTGGAAGAAATCAATAAGATTGTGGTAATGGGTGGAGAAGAGAGTGCGACACTTGAGATTGGCCAGGAAGTTGACCACAGAGGCAGCGATGGCTGTGCCATCGTAGGTGGCAGTTCCTCTGCCCAATTCGTCGAGCAACACAAGCGAATGGCGTGTGGCGTGCTTGAGAATGAGAGAGGTTTCGTTCAGCTCCACGAGGAAGGTACTGTGTCCAGCAAGAATATCATCTTGGGCACCTAGTCGCGTGAAGATTCTATCCACCAACGAAAGACGACAGCTGGCAGCGGGAATGTGAGCACCCTAAAATTTAAATTAAATTAAGAAAAGATAACCAACTTATATGAAACAGAATAAACTCACAATTTGTGCCATGATCACCAGCAGACCGAGTTCCCTCATCAGCGTGCTCTTGCCGCCCATATTTGGACCTGTTAGCAGAGAAAGCGGCGCCTCCGATTCCGTGCCCAATTCCAGGCCATTGGGTATGTAAGTAGAAGCATTTACACAAGGATGATAGCCCTCCTCCAGCTGGATAAAAGGCTGCTCCACACCAGAGACCAGCTCTGGCACACAGATGACCATCTGTTGGCCGGCGTACTCCGCCAGGGAGCCCAGGACATCCAAGTTGGCCACGCAGTCGATGCATTGCTTCCATTGGTCGTAGTGGTTGGAGAACTTCTCGAAAAGGCGACGCGCCAAGTCCTTGAGCACCATGTTCCTTGTATCCTCGGCCTGCTGCATATCCTTGAGCAAAGCTCGAGTTTCAGCGGTGGTGTAGCGACGTGAGGGCTTCTTGCCCTTCGTTTGTCCCTCCAAGGTGTAGGACTTATTGGCCTTGTTGGCATGGGTTTCGGGCACATCCAACTGGTAACGTTTCTTGTCGCTGCCAAAATAGGTGATGCGACAACCGAAGTGGCGCTCCTGCTCCACGAGATAGGTCTTCAGGCGTTGCTCAACCTCGTTTATTGAATCCATTGCCGAATCATACTCGGCATCCATTCCGGCTTGGGGAGCAATCACTCCAGTTTTGGCCGCTGCTTCATGATCGAAAGCAGTGGCAAAGTATTTAAGCTCGTTGCTAAGATCGGGAAACGTTCCTCCAGACTCAGGTAGTTGGGTTATTCTCTTTAGCAAATCCGACTCACATTGATGAAACATCAAAGGTAATTTAGTCAGAGCATTAAATCCCTTAAGAACGGCCATGAAGCCCACAAGCTTCTGCTTGTTGTATAGTTTTTCCTCGAAGAGAATGGCCCGGGAGTCTGGGTGATCCATCTGCTTAATTTGCTTGTTCCCGAATAGGTGAATCTGAGCCAAATTTCGCTCGAAATCCGGCATGGGTGCAAGAAGGGCACGCATTTCCTGCAGCTCGCTGCTCATTCGAATCAGTTCGCCAATGGCATCTTGTCGCTCCTTGATCACCGCCACATCGCAACTCGGAGCACAAAGCCAGTGGTGTAGCAGTCGCTTTCCAAACTTCGTGCAGCAGTGATCCAAAGTGGAGTACAGGCTATGATCCTCGCCAATAATTCGCAGGTTTGACAAAGTAGTTGCATCCAGCACCATGTGGGAACGCCTCAAAGTGGAGGCCACGGCCGGCTTGGCATCAGCCAGCTGATCCGGTGGCACATATAGCTGATAGCGTGCCATTGGCATCACTTTTGGCTCCAGCTTGCATTTGTGAATGAAGAAGATGCACTCGCCAAGCGCTTTCAAAGCCAGCTTGTAGTTATCGTTGGGTGTGAGACCCAAATGATCCACATCCGACTGCATGGTGCGCAGAACCAAAGGCCAGTTGTCATCGGATCCATTTCCTGCATAGTAGCGCTCAGCCAAAAGTTTCAGGGTCTTTTCTGCATTACAGGCTTGCGATCCATTGCTTGGCACTTGCTCTTTTAGGATTCCACCCAACACAGTGCGGACAATTTGCTGCGAACGTTGGCTAAAAGCGGATTTCTCGCTGAGGAGCTGGGGATTGCAAACAAATTTAAAGTTTATAATGTAACTAACATAAAATTAGTGATCTTACCAGCACAGGCATGTGATGCGAGAGCAGTGTTAGAAGCCGGGAACAGTTTTTGTCGTCCTCGAACTCACCCAAATGGAAGTCGCCAATTGTGGTGTCAATGAAGCACACACCGAACCGACTCCAAGTGCCCTCATCCTGTTCCACCAATGCGAGCATATAGTTTGGCTGATGGTTTGGGCCGATCCTGCATTGTGACCCAAAGACCTGGGTGCCACGATTTGTAATCTGACAGATCTCGCGGGCCACCACTTTATCGAATTTTGTGGCCTTAATTCGCTTGCAACGTTCGGTCATCATGTCTGGGGTTTCAGTTTGCTCCACGCGAGCAACCTGGAGGAATGTCAAGAATAAGTTTAATTGGACTAGAGAGCTTTTCCTCCAAAACTCACTTTGTATCCTCTGTCTATGAGAACGGTGGACATTTTGTCGAAGGATATCTCCGGGAAACCGGAGTGCGCAAATTCACCACGCATGTAGGTGAAGCCCAGCTCATTGACGCCCACATCCGCATCCATGTGATACAGTTCATAGAACTTGCCAACTTTGAAGAACAAAACGCAATCATAGTTGTCCGATTTGAGAACCCACCACTGGCGAACTCCTGGCGATAGACCATTGAGGAACTTTTCCGGCACATGGAGGGTGCTCTTATCGTAGTCCGGGTGATCCGGCCGCCTTCCCGCCTTGTCCTTGATCTTGTCCGGCTGCAGAAACTCGAGTTTCTGGTGTGGCCACACCACAGGTTCATCCAGAGTAGAAGTGGTGGTCACTATGTCATCGTATGAAGCATCTTTCTTGGCATTGCTTTGTAGATTCTTGAGTTTCTCTTGGAAGGTAGAACCTTCGGCCAGCTGGACAGATGTTTCCAACTTGACCTTTTTGCTCAAGGGTTCGTTGTTGTTGTTGTTTAGGATTTTGGACTTTTTACGCGATTTCTTGGGCGTAGGACTGTCCACGGCCGTGTCATTCTCGCTGGGCGACAGCTCTTCTTCCCCGCTGCTGACGCTATCGTCGCTTGCTTCTTTGGCATCCGGTTCGTAGTCGGATTCACCAGCGGAGAAGTCGTCCTCTGATTTGGTCTCATCCATTTCCGGTTCGCTGTCGGTTTCCGGCTGAACGATGCGTTTCCGCTTGCGCTGGCCATTGACAGCTTCATCATCGGAGCCTCCGGAAATGGGTAGTTTTCTTTTGGCTGCTGGTTTGCTATCCTTTGCTTTGGAATCCTTTGGTTGCTCTTCTTTTGACTGCTGGTTCTTGAGATTCTCCTTTTCTGTGGTATCTCCCTCTATTTTTGAGCTCGGTGTCAACTTCTTCTTGTCGACAGCCGGTGACTTGCTGAAATAATTAAACAACGTATTTGTGGGTGTTCCTCCCACACTTGTATTCAACTTCTTGGACATGTTTGCGATCTAGAACTGATTGCCAAAATGCGCAAAAATCGCGATGAAGACGCCGGGATTATGCGCCAAAATGGGGACAAGTTGCCAGACCCTGCAATACAGGACAGATGAGCAGATAGCGCTGCCGGACTTTTTAAAAGAAAGATTTTAACTTTCAAAAGGACATTTGTGCTCATAATAATAAGATTATGTATATTCTAAGAAATAAACCAGGTTTAGGTCATAAAAGTATTTAATTTTACCTATATGCCAAAGGACTATTTTTGTGGCCCCGATTGTATATTGCCAATACATTTCAATATTTTTGGTGATGCACGTTTGGTATATTTAAGCGGCTGCGTTACGGTCACTCTATTTTCAGCACGCAGGAAAATAAAACATTTTTCAATAATTTCAGTAAACAAACTTGTAAATAAACAAAAATGTCGCTAGCAGACGAACTTTTAGCTGACCTCGAGGAGGACAACGATAATGAGTTGGAGGAGGACGATGCTGAGATGGCTAGTGCCGAGGACGAAAGTGTAAGACATTTAAACAATACTCGTGTCCTTCTTTAACACAAAAATTAATTCTGAATAGTTGTTGGCGGAGAAGTTGGCCAAACCGGCTCCCAATTTAATGGATGTAGACGTTACCGTGCAATCGGTGCGAGAACTTTGCAAGCTGCGCGATTCCGAACGCTTGCGAAATACCTTGCAGCAGATTGAGCATTACGCCAGTCGCCAGAGAACCGCAGCCGAAATGCTAGGATCCGTGGAATCCGATCCGGAGTATTGTCTTATCGTAGATGCTAATGCTATAGCCGTGGACATCGACAACGAGATCTCCATCGTGCACAAGTTCACCAAAGAGAAGTATCAGAAGCGATTCCCTGAACTGGATTCGTTGATTGTCGGCGAAATGGAGTACTTGCTGGCGGTCAAAGAGTTGGGAAATGATCTGGATCAAGTGAAAAACAACGAAAAGTTGCAGGCCATTCTCACGCAGGCTACCATTATGATTGTGTCCGTCACGGCTTCCACTACTCAGGGGTAAGTTATAATTTCTTATAATCCCCCAAAACATCTCATTTAAATGACTTCTTTTTTTTCAGTACCATGTTAACTCCGGCAGAAAAGGCCAAGATCGACGAGGCCTGCGAAATGGCCATCGAGCTAAACAACTTCAAGTCCAAGATCTACGAATATGTGGAGAGTCGCATGACCTTTATAGCTCCCAATCTTTCCATGATTGTCGGCGCTTCCACAGCTGCCAAACTTCTGGGCATTGCTGGCGGTCTATCCAAACTATCTAAAATGCCTGCTTGCAACGTGCAGGTTTTGGGTGCACAAAAGAAAACGCTTTCGGGATTTTCGCAAACTCAGATGTTGCCTCACACTGGCTACGTGTACTACTCCCAGATTGTTCAGGACACTGCGCCGGATCTGCGTCGCAAGGCAGCTCGTTTGGTAGCCGCCAAATCAGTGCTGGCTGCGCGTGTGGATGCCTGCCATGAGAGTGTGCACGGGGAAATTGGCCTGCGCTTCAAGGAGGATGTTGAAAAGAAACTGGACAAGCTGCAGGAGCCACCGCCAGTAAAGTTTATCAAACCGTTGCCCAAACCCATTGAGGGCAGCAAGAAAAAGCGAGGAGGAAAACGAGTGCGCAAGATGAAGGAGCGATATGCGCTAACAGAGTTCCGCAAACAGGCAAACCGAATGAATTTCGGAGATGTAAGAATATTTTAGTTAAAATCTTGTTCATAACTAATTTTTCTATTTATCTTACAGATTGAGGAGGATGCTTATCAAGGGGATTTGGGTTACTCGCGTGGCACCATTGGCAAAACAGGAACCGGCCGCATTCGCTTGCCCCAGGTGGATGAAAAAACCAAAGTGCGCATCAGCAAGACGCTGCACAAGAACTTGCAAAAGCAGCAAGTCTACGGCGGCAACACCACAGTCAAGCGGCAAATTTCCGGAACAGCATCTAGTGTGGCGTTTACACCATTGCAAGGCCTGGAGATTGTGAATCCACAGGCGGCGGAACGCTCACAAACCGAGGCCAATGCCAAATACTTTTCAAACACCTCCGGTTTTCTGTCAGTGGGACAGCGAACCACTTAAAAGAATAGCTAAACTTTTCATTTTCTATAAAATTAAGCACTTTTATTTGGAGATTTGTCGAATGTATGAGATAGGCGTAGTAAAGCTGCAATGAAGCTGCACAAGAGATTCCAATTGTTGTTAGCTGAGCTTGCCCACTTCCAGTTTGCGCTGAATGGCTTCCCAGGAGTTGTTTAGCAGGACAGCCAGAATGCCGGCCACCGTAAAGACGCCGCCAATGATGGAACAGCAATTCGTGGCAAAGTGGCCAAATGAACTGTGGATTCAAAACGAAACTAATAAACAATGTAATTAAATATTAATCCTCTGATTTACTGACTTGTGTTTTTCCGCATATTTGACCATCAGCGGCGAGAGTTCGTAGTTGAAGAATATGCCCGGCATTCCTCGCTCTCGGTCCGAGAGATCTTTTCGGTATCGCGTAACCGAGAACTGATTCGTGTGTATGGGCTGACCATTGCTTCCCCGCATATATAAGGTAGGTACGATTTTTAAATAGTAGTTGAACATTTCACTTTTGGAGTCTGTAAGCAACGATTCATTTTATATTAATAAAGGGACAAATTTTTGAATGTCGCGCTTGTTCGATAGCGCCCCTGTCGTCTATTTTCAAAAGCACAAAGATAACGTGGCAACCTTATTTCCGATTTGACAGCTCACGCACACCAGCGAAATCACACACATTTACGAACTGTTCGACAAATCGGCCGAAATAAATAGAAATAACTAGGAATATTCCTAAAATAAACGGACTCGTCGCCACTATCTCGATATTTGAAAGTGAATCAGAGCAACGACGTTTGCCACTTGGCGGGATTAACTAATTGAACAGGAGAGCGGGAGAAACCAAGGACTTTGCGGCATGCCACTGCCCACGAGCTCATTTTCCCAGCAGGGACCATCGTGTTTCGATAAAATGAAGACTGGCTTCATCATTGGATTCTGTGTGGGAATGGCCAGTGGAGCGGTCTTTGGAGGATTCTCGGCACTCAGGTTGGTTGGACTTTGCCCGCGGTTCTCAATTTATCACTCCTCCAATGGAGTGACGCAAGTGTAGGCCGGCAATTATGTAATTACACCGGCTAACTACTACAAATCTCTTACAGATACGGACTACGTGGCCGGGAGCTGATCAATAATGTGGGCAAGACCATGGTACAGGGCGGCGGAACCTTCGGGACCTTCATGGCCATCGGCACCGGGATTCGCTGTTGATCCTGCTAGCATTTTTGACTAGAGTTACTAAAAACCAACCTTAAGCCCTACTCCAATCTTGTTTAAATTACGCTAAGTTATTGCAATAGAGATGTTAAAGAGATACCAGAATGCTTTGTGTTCACAACTCACCAGTCACGTCTACTCTCAGTCCATCCAAAGGATGCGTTTTGGCGAACTCTATCTTCTCTCCAAAAGAAAGATGATTGATTGTGTGCGACAGTTTAACATTGCTGAATTGGAAATCGTGAATGTGGAACTGGCGGATGGAGAAGCTCTTGCCGGGCGCAAAATGGAAACTGCCGGCCATGCGGTTAACCTCCAGGTGGCCCTGAATGCGACAGCCCTCTTTGAATGCGTCCTCGTCGGTGCGTTTGTATTTTCCCTTGCACTGCTCGATCTTGTCCACTTGCACGTTCCACTTGCGCAGCCTGTAGGCGTCGAGCACTTCTTCGCACGTGTTGCAGCAGCTGGAAATAAGAAATATTGTTCAAATGCCTTGATGAATTAAAGCTATAACAACATGTTAATAAGCACCAGCTACATCTGAAAATGAAGATTTTAGCAAGCCAGCCATTACAGTAAATGTTCAAATTGGTTCCTAAGAACGACATAACTGGAGCATGGAAATATGCTTTCGTTTTCAGTTTTTTTAAAGGGAAAATGTGAGGCTAACGAAGTTAAAAGTTGGAGAAAGAAGACTAAATCGGCATCTTACTGGGTGGCATTGTGTTCCGCTCCGTAGCAACTGCCACAAGTGACGTTCTTATTGGGCGGAGAGACAGCAACAATTTCCTTGATGGGCGTCTCCTTGAGAGGCTCTCCCTTGAGATCCAACCGGTGCTTGAAGACATCATGATCCACCCTTAAATGGGTATCCCCCGAGGAATCCATAGCATCTAGTGATATATAATTGCAGGCCAGATTATGAAGGGTTACGTCTAGATTGATTCGCAACTTGTGACCCCTCGTGGTATCCACAAACAGTTCTTCATTCATGGTGGGTTGCATATAGTTGAGAAATTCGAGGAATATCAGTAAGCTGATTATGCTGGTACTGATGATTGTGACTGCAAGTCGAAGGAAAGCCGGTTGTTTAGGTTTCTTATCGGGACAATCAAATTTACACCTGCTCTCACCTGCAGCGCCTCCCACTGTGCGCACACTAAAATCGTCTAAGGTACGTGGATAGGCGTCCAAACGACGCAGAACGTCGGCAAACTTCATCTTAATTACAAATAACACGCAAAAAACACGAATCGGAAACGTAAACAATAAAAATTACATTTTTTTTTGCAGCGGCAGGTGACGTGTTGCAATTGACGTTGCCAGATAGATGAAGCCGTGGGTCCAAACATATGTTTGTCGCGATTCGATTAGTAATCAAAAATCGATAGAAAATAATCATCGAATCGGTTTTTGAATAATATTTTAAACAGAGTAGATAACTGTCCTTCGATGTTTTCGCTTTGAATGCTTACACGTAAAGAAATAAAAAAGGTGTAAAAAGAAAATTATATTAAAAAGGAGATATCTATAAAAACATGTTTTTTTTTTGCTTAGCAGGTCTTTTTTAATAAAGCCTATATAAGCACTCGTAAATAAACGTTATTATTGTTTGCCTTAAAAGTTCTATAAAGTGATTGAACTTAAATGTGGAAATTCAAATAAAAAATATAAAGTAATAACATTCGCGTATACAAATTTTATTAAATTATTAGAAATTCCTGTAACATTTTATTTGAATGTTGCTTCAAATAATTGTATGAATTCAATCGACTAAACTTGTGATCAAGTTTTTATAGTTTTGTTAAGTTGTTTTTCCTTTGAAGAATTTATGTTTTTTTAATTTTGTTGTTGTATTTTGGTTTCACTCTTCATTAGCTTCTATACATTGATTGCGCATACGTCGCGTTGTCCCGACTATAATTAAGACCTCAGTCTGCCCACCCCCGTTGCGTGGCCACGAATAATGTTTAATAGTGTTGTCATGTCTTGGGGCTGTGGTTGCGCATACATTAGGCAAAGCCAACCCACCATCGGCACCACCCCTTAACCCATTCTTGCTGCTGTGGTCCAGGCGACCGCGTCTAATTTTATAATACATGTTAAACAGATGAAAGGTTAATTGAAAGGAACCACAAGTTTCGACAGCCCACGCAGCCAATGGCTTGGCTTTTAGGGGTTGCCAGCCCACCTCCACCTCTCAAACTAATGCAAAAGCAAGAATAATAGGAGACCGTGGGTTATCCCCGGGGATTTTGGTTAGAGTTAAAAGTTTTCGCTTAAATATAAATCACCAAATGGCTTGCCGCTTGACTGGTTAAAGCCGAAAACCCGAAGGCTCGGGTCCATGAACCCGAAATCCATGCACGGTCACAAATAATTGTATGTAGGTGTAGAACATACCGCGACTTTGTGTAATTACCAATTAAGCTCAAGTCCCCGAAGCTTTCTCATTTTCTTTGGCACTCTCTAGTTTCCTTTGTCTCCCTTCTGCTGGCTTGACCTTTTTTTTTCGCAATTACCTGGGCTAGCAATCTGTAAAATCAGTCAAGGCAGCAGATGACAAAGATTAGCTAGCGGTAATTTTACACTTTTTTACTTTCTGAATTGAAGTAAATGGATTGGGAAGGGTATGAGATGGGAAATGGGATCTTTGATATGGCTTTAATTATAATTCTTCTAAAAAAAGCTTTTAAGGACTTGACCTATTTTAAATTCATTAAATTTTCAGTATGAATCTATATAAAAATATTTTTCCTTTGGCTTCGCAGTCTGATAAGTTCATAGCCCTTTTCTTATTACTCGCCCTGGTATTAGCCCAACTTATGGCCACAGGGCATTCGGGTTTTTCCATGACCATTTCCCCCGACCACGCCCTCTGACCGCCCCTCCTTATCTATCGCTAATTTGCATTTCTAACCATTTCGCTCTAGCCAATTCGCGTCATTTCTTATTTGAAACAATGAGCCCAACAGCAGCCAGAACAAATAGCGGAGAAGGAGTCATTGTGCTCCAGCTTTGCAGGCAATAAAAGACTCCGGAGACAAAAGAACCGTAGAAAAAAAGAAAGAGAGAGAGAGAGAGAGAGAGCGTGTCAAGAAACTTGGGCCCGGACGGAGAAAGAAAGCCTGAAAAGAAGTTGGCGTAAAGCAGCTTAAACAATCAGGACTGCCTAATGGATATTGACACTTTAATGCCCTGGCCACCGACTCAGGCTCTGATTCTGAATTCGAAACCGCACTGCCAAAAAAGATTTACAATTTATACACACAATATTTATATATATTTGTTCTGACACAACCCATTCTCTCTTTCACATTCAGTAGGTCAAAGCTTAACCGTTATTTATGCCTATCTATAAACAAAATTATTGGTTACAATCAGTAAACAATATTATAAATCAACCAACTATTATAGTTATAAATATATCTAGCATTTAGGTTGAAGATTTATTACAATCCAGATCTTATCAAGGCCTTTAAAATATTAAAATTGTGTTATTTATGGAGAAGAAGAAATACAAACCAATATTTAACTGATAAAAAGTAAAAAATAAATCTATGTATAGCTACTAATCAAAATTATTAAGATGCTATGTAAGTTATTACGTGTTAAAATGATAACAGAAAAAAAGGTAAAAAATTGAAAAAATTATTGAAATATGTTATGTAACAAATATTACATAACATTATTAATGTCATTAAAACTCCGAATCGATCCTAGGACGTTTTTTTCTATGTAAGTTTTAAATTGTTAATGGAGTGGGCAATCCCCGCGAGGAAGGGAGGATCCATCCGTGCAGATGTCCTGCTCTAATTCGGTTCGGTTTTCAGCTTTCCGTGGTCCAAACTCGTACATATTTTTTTCCTGGGCCGCATTCCTTGCTTTAAACAAAATTGCAGTGCCGAAATTAATTATAGAGCCGCCGCACCCGGGCCATATTTAATTAAACGTGGACATTTTAAACTTGGAACAACCGAACCACTGAACCACCCAAGAACGTGGAACCAAAAGGCGTAATTAATTAGTGGAGACGTGCCAAATAATTGCGGCAGAAGTAACTTTTTCCTTTTTTCGGGCGACTCCTTTATTATTTCGCTGGTCAAAGAATGTTTCAATTACGTGTATTGCTGATGGGCGATGGGGTTTTCGGGGTGGCTTTTGCACCAGGACTAAACTTTTCACCATCCAGGTCCAGGTGGAAATTAATTAAATTAGCAGGCGTCATTTTGGAAAAGTGTCGCGCAAGGACTTGAAATATTTTGTGCCTTTGCCGGTTTCCTGTCACTCACAACCTACAAGCCCCCTGAAAATTGCCAAAATGTGTCCCGAAAATTCGCATACATAACCTCCACATCCGCTGGCTAAAACCGAAAACGTCATTTCCGACAAATTAGTCCAGTCAACTGTGCCACGATATATTGTGCTCGGAAATGTGTGGGCGAGTCCCAGCGTTTATATCGTATGTGTGTTTCGGTGAACGATTTCAAATCGCTGACCACGTTTTAAGCATATTTCCTGGTTTAGCATGAAAAATCCTTTTTGTCTGCCCCAATGGCCGACAAAAGTTTCGAAAGCGTTTCAAAATGCCCCTATTCTCATTCTCTTATTCGATTCAAATTGGATGAATTATCATTTTATGAACATACATAATGATTTCTTCTGCTCGTTACTTTTAATTGTCGCGCCTATTAATTGCATTTACAATGTGTTATAATTAGGGGCGCATTAAGGACAAAAGCACCACCCCTTAATCAATAGTCTTAAATGCGATCGGAGAGGGGAGCAAATTTAAGATGTAAATGTCGATTGATTGAAGCAAATCCTATACGACTGAAAGTATTTAATAATTGGGAAGCTCTTTAAATGTCTTTTACAAATGCGAATGTTGTATGTGTATATATTTACATGTTTAAGAAAAAGTAAACAATTTTTAAAGACAGAAAAGCTTATGAATTAAACAGAAAATACTTAACATTTATTTTGTATAAAATTACTTCGGTTTTCAAAAAGAAGTTAAGCTATTTGAAGGGTCCATTTTCAGTAATTAGTTTGATTTAATTGAAAATCATTGCCACAATTGCAATATGCGGAAAATAAATTCAGAAACATATTTTCCTTGATTGCAAAATGTGCATTGTGGGTTTCCCATAGCACCGAGTCATTTTCATATTTATATTCATCTTTTTTTTTATAAGTTTTAATGAAATAATTGAAGACCATTTATTGGTGCGAAAAAACGCGAAACTTTCGCGTACGGGGTGCGCTTTTAAAACCCAGTCTGAAAATCGGTTCTGTTCAATCCTTTCACAGGATCCACTCCTTTTTGCACTTTAACCATTTTGTGGGCTGGACCGCGACAATGGGCTCTTTGTGCAGACCCTGTCGGGGTGAGAAATAGATGAATGGCCGCCAACCTTTAACCCCTTTTGTGTGGGCGTCCATTTTTCGCCTATTTTTGTTTATTTTCTGGGTGAACATTTTTGTATTTTTTGTTTCGCATACGCGCGGGTCACGTCAACAGAAGTGCATACTTTTGTTGTCGCTGCCGGCTGCCGACCGACCAGCAACATGAAAAATTATTTACATAAATATCCGCGCTGTCAATTGTGTGTTGTGGCATGTAAAGTGACAGAAGCAGCGCAAAATGGCGTCGCTGCCTCTGCCGGCGTTGTACGTGACTGCACATTTTTTTCGCTACTCGCCGCCCTCCAAATGTGGGCGGGGCTATCAAATGCAAATGCATTCTGCATGTCGCTGCACACAGGAAAAAATACCATTCAAATGAATCAATATATGCTTTTTTCAAACTTTTGTACATTTAGGTTTGTTATTAAAAAGTAAAAAAGGTTTTTGGATAATATTCAGTTTTTTTAATTGTTTATTTTTTTGCCTATTTATAAATTTTTGAACAGTTTTCGAAGGGTTGAAGATCGTCTCCTGCAATACATTTTTGTATTGACTTTAAGTACTTGTAATGCTTACCGTATGGTATTGATAACATATTTTCTCGCTGTGTGTTTGAATAATGGTCGAACGGGATGCAGTGCGGTTCGAAGGGAATGCGGTGTGTCAGTGGCGGTCAGACGTCAACGTTATGGCTGCCAAAGTTTTCAATTTTCCACTTAATTGCTTTCAATTAAGCAAAGAGTCCTCTTTAGTCCCCCACACGAACGCAACTCAACTCAACTCGACTCGACTCGACTCGATGCGACTCCTGGACTCCTCGACTCAAGCCCGACGACCCCACTGCCTACTACATATATATGTGTGTATGTTTGTGTGCGTCTCGTTATGTCCGTTCAATTAAATTACACACTAAAGCGCTGCGCTGCAGCTGCAGCTGAGACCTGAAAGTCCTGAAAAGTCCTGCCAGTCCGTCAGCCCAGTCAGTCCATCCAGTTCGGGTCACAGCCTCTGGAAAGGACCTCGCCGCATTGTTATCATTGTCAAGAAGCTGCAGCAACGGCCTCTGCTGGCAGAACCTTTTTTGAATCCGAATACAGTGGGTTTCAGATATTCTAATAATGCAAGCTCTTAATTACATTAGTCTCTTTATTGAATACTAATCACAAATAAAAATTAACAAACAATAATTGTATGACACTTGTTCTAAGGGTTAAAATCTTTTATTGAATAAATATAAATACTATGTATAAGTATTTCAAAGTTGTTGTTTTATTTAATTACTTGGTTGTGCGTTATCGAATTGGGAGGTCTACTTGACTGTAAAAAAGTCCCCAATTAGTCCTCTTTTGATCGAGTTACAAATTATAGAACAAACATTGAAATGAAGCAAGCTACGATGGTTAATTTTCTTTCAACCAAAACGTTTGTTGACCTTAGCAATCCACTGTGCACCCGCACAGTCAGGCTTCTGTGTGTTTGTTGTTGGTTTGTTTGTTTGTTTGTTTGCTGGGTGGAAAAGCGTTGCTGCGTGTTTTTGACAGTAAGCGGGGTTCGTGGCCGCCTTGATTGTTGCACCGGTTGGTTCTCTGCAAGGGGCCAAAGGTCACCGGAGAGCAAGCGAGATGCGAGGCAAACAAATGAACAAATAAACAAACAGAGCCACGTTAACCCGCTCCAAAAACGGACGACTACGAGGTCCCGGCTCCTTTGAGTCGACCATCCCGTCTCCCACAGCACAATATGCAAAGGAGCGTGTAATGCGACTGTCTGCATTCTCCGATGCCCCACTCTTAATTTATCCAGGTGCACAGAGGCGGTCAATATAATAATTTTACTCTAAAAACAAATAATTGCGAACCAGTAATGTAAAGGTGTCTAAAATTGGTATATTTTATTGGTTAATATGTACATTTACATAGCGGTCGAAAAGTTATAATTCTTAGAAGTTACATTTATTTAAAATTATATTTCAGATAATTTAGTGTTCAGATTTAGTGTTATTACTGTCGAACAGAAATATCAACAGACTTAAAGTCAGAAAAAAAGGTTACCACGTATTATTTTCGTAAAATAAGTAACAAGTTGCATTTCAAATTAAATTTTTTATCGTTATTTTCGTGGAACCCACTTGTAATTTGACCGCAGCTGTTTTTGAGATGTACTTAAAAACAAGTGCTGCATGCGGTTGGCTAATGCCGGGGAAAGTCTCACACTTTGAGCCCACATAACTGACCAGGCTGCCTCCAAAGGGACCCCAAAACCACGCCCAACCCTTTGCAGTCACCCAGCGGGAAAAGGTGTGGAAAATATACTATTTTCCTGTGCTTTCTTCATACAAGCGGAATGTGGAAAAAAGGGGTAAAGCCTTACATTTTTGCCGTCTCTCCTTTCAAAATACACGGGGGTGACACAAAAATGAAGGGGTAAAGGGAAAAATCCAGTGGACCTACAGCTGCTGAATGCAGGGCAAAATCCTGTGGATGCTCTGGCTGCTGAAAGCAGGGCAAAATCCTATGGACCTACAGCTGCTGAATGCAGGGCAAAATCCACTGGTTTTTGTACTGAAAAAACCAGTGGATTTCTTGCTGCTGAATGCAGGACAAAATCCACTGGTTTTTGGCCTTCCCACTTTACAGAATTTCCACAAGCAATAAAAAAACAATACTTTTTAATTTGGTATATGCATTTATTAATCTATTTACAGTCCAAGGGCCTTTATCATAAATATTGTTGTATGTTTTATTTTTTGCCTTAGTGAACGGTGAACGCAGATCATCTTGATATTGGGGAAGACTGTAATTGTCGTTTCTGAGTGACTCTGAAAATAAAAACCATAATATGTTAATATATTACATATTAATACAAGTAATAAATATATAAAAAGTAATGGGAAAAATGGATAAATTTAGAAAAATAAGTAATAAACATAGTAAAAAGCATGGGGACACAGGCCTGTTGAAACTTATTAAAAATGTAGTGAGTACTTACAAATGCTTCTGGATTGGCTTCGCCGTCGGAGTCCAAATGGCCGAGTTCTTCAAATGACGAAATCGAAATGTCCGCTTGCGCTTGTTCAGATTTGCCGTTAATATTAACACAAGGGCCAGAATCATTGAAGTCGAATCTATTACAAACTCTAAAAAAAACAATGTTTGTTCTTTTAAAATTGAAAAATAAATTTAAATGAAAAACTTACATACTTACTTGACAAACGCCTCCGGCGGCTAAAATGTAGTTTTTGGAAAAATGCCTATGTTCACCATATCCGTAACGCTGAAATAAGGATATACAAACAAAAATATTTATGTTATAACTTACCTTTATCTTGTTTTTTAAGATTAACACAACATTCTTTCACTTTTTACACTTTTTGCACGAAATTTTATACTGATGTGACCGTGCATCATAACATAATTTATAACAACATTCCGAAGAAAGACAATAATTAGTCACAACTTCGTTGTAACTTATGGTCATATTCAGAAACCCACCCCATTTAGCGGTCGGAAATTTTCTATCCCTTACCTACGCCTGCTAAAAGAAGTAGGTTTTCATCTATCCCTACCCCTACGCCTGCCAAAAGAAGTAGGTTTTCCAGTACTCTAAAAACCTACTTCCCACTTTCCCGCTGGGCAGTCACACACACTCCCACATACACACACACACACAGACACACACATCACACACAGGTGGAGATTTCGGCGCCTTTGCAAAGAGCCAAAAGGATATTTTAATTACATTTACGCAAAATTGCAAAATTGAATAAAGCCATGGTCAGGTGGATGGAAGAGTGTGGGTGGTTGGATGTTTGGGCGCAACTGCAACGGTGATTGTGGTGGAGAGTGAATGAACGCCGAATCCTTTAAGCTGCAATGTAAACAAGTGAAAAGCATTACTAAGACAGCAGGAAATCTGTTTAAGGTTATTAAACAACCATGACGGCCTCTGGATGCATTTCATTAGTCCCCTCCCCTCATTGTAATTACACTCGGCTGGAGAATGTCAGTAAATTGCTCATTTACTGCAGAATGGATCAGAGGTTGTTGCAAGAACGGAATCTGGTCAAGTGTGGATAAGTCCCGAACAATGTGGCGGCCTCACCGAGATTGATTGAAGGGGAATTCGAAAGTAACACTTAGCAGTTAAGTCCTTACAAACTTTGTCATTCTCTTTGAAAATTCAGTCTCTGAGGTATTTGAGTTGCGTATGTTGTATAAAGTGTACTTGCTGGGTGTTTTTTTAAATTTAAATATGCATACCATGTTGCACAAAAAATTTTAATTTCTTGCAATCGCGAAATAGTGAAACTATAAATCCATTGGCAAATATGATTCCAGCCCATTCCGTTTGCTCGCGTAGGTAGTACACATTTCAGCACTTACAGATCAGAGGGGGTCTCTTGGCCAAAACCCACTTCCCACTTTATGGCCACCTACATGCGGCACAGCAGTTGGCCAGCTCCGCGGAACTCAACACGAAGCGAAAAATCCAACTTATGAAAGCCCAAGCTGAGAAAAATTCCATATAATATACACAGTTCTTAAAAAACAAATAAGAAAATCGTTAACACAGAAACACATAATAATTCTATAAATTTAATCAAAAATGTCTGGAGGGCTGATGCGAAATATCGATCAAGTTGGAGTTTCGTTTTGGCTTCGAATGGATTCAGATGAACCTGGAAAATTTATATTAATTAGATGTATAGGGGTCAAAATATGTACCGTCTCCAAAATAAACAATTAAAACGCACATCGCTTTTTAATTTGTTCACAATCAATGTTATAATGTTAGAAAGGAGGTACTTACTTTAAGGGAAAACAAACTGCCCTTCAACTGTTTCAAAATTACGAATGCAGATTTTTTAAGAGTTGTCAATTGTATTTCATTTTATTGGCTCAGTGTATAAAAACTAAACCTCACTGAGGCCGAAAGCCTAATCGAACACGTTTCATATGACTGCGGCGCTAAAGATTACATTTTAATCTCATTGCATCTCGCTCTTCCTCCCTCCTCGTTCTCCCCTCTCTGTCTTCCCCGTTCTTGGCATGGCAACTAATCAATGCCCCGTACTTGATTTTAACTTGCTTGTAATTGGGCAGCGATAGAGAGCTTCGAATGGCGACGACAGCCAGGCGATAAATGTCCAAAAATTCTAGCCGCGTACAATGTGCCCCACCCCCTTCCCTCTTCACCGCCGCCTTCTTTTTTCTGTGTGTTGTCCGGCGGTGTGAAATTACCGTTTAATGAAAAAAGCTCCAACAGCTTCCCCCCAACGAAAAGGAAAAAAATCACACAAAAAGATACAACCACTACTTTTTGTGACCAGGTGCGTAGTCGGAAAACTTTGACGGGTACTAGAAAATGCACTCCAAAAAATATGACTCTATCTGCAAATATTTATAATATTTTATTTAAATATATATTATTATATAATTTTTATATGGAACATATTAATTATTATTTTTTAAAATATTTTGTATTTGTTACCTATTTTTAAAGATTTGGTGCTAATAATAAATTTTATCATACCTGTACAGAATTATAAATTTTGATCGGCTCATAAGTTCTGTTTTAAGTTTAGGTAATATTATGTCCATTATTTAACATTTTTTTTTGCTTAGATTTCAAAGTATCGTATTTAATTAAACTTTTCAATTATTTTTCTCTGTGTGATGTTTAGAATCTACGATTTCTGGATCTTTCGCCCGGGCCGATAAAGTTATGCAACATTCTTGAGGGGGCCGATTGCCCGACGCCCCTGGCCATGATTTCGGCCATAGTCGCAGCGGCAGTCACAGTCGGAATCAGAATCAGAATCAGAATTAGAATCGGTGAGCGCGTAGGTAGTTAGATATTTTCTGCTGAAATGCGGGAAATTGCCACCGCTGAAAACGCACACACACACAAACACAAACACACAAGCACAGCACGTGACAAGGTGAAAGAAAATGAGAAGCCATCAGCGGATGGCCACGGATGCCCGAGGTTCAGTTGCTCGGTTCGGTTTGCAGTTACAGATACGAATAGCACCGCGGAAGATACATGACGATACAACATCTTATTAGTTTTTAGTGCGGCTGCTAGATGCCTTCAACATCCAACTGCAGTAGCACTTGCGAAATTTGCATACCAGTCGGGCAAATATTCAACCGGCTACCGTTGACATCCTATTGCATTCCTCAGTGTCACTGGCTTTATTGGTTTGGCCGGAACTTCGGTTGGGCTCTGTCATTACAGATTTTCTATAGATTGCTGGCTAAGTGTTCTGCGAACTAAGCCAAACTTAATTATGTATAAATCCTTGAGAAAATTAGTTTTTTTGTCCCATTCTTTCACTAATTCCAAAGGACAATATTTGTGGGGTATCTGTAACCCAATCTTTATTTGTTTTTCTTTTTATTTATTATTTTTATATAGTAAACGCGTTTTGAAGAAATATCTTTTCTTTTGAAAGAAATAGCTATTAAATTTTTTTTTGATAGATAACATTGACAAGAATGAATATATTGTATAACAAAATATATTTACTTAAAAAGGCTTAACGTAGTCAACATGAATTGTAAGCCAAGTACCCAAGTTGTTAATAAAAAAAAATTTTAAATGGGTTTTATATTTTTTTAACTTCCTAAGCGGTTAAGCGGAAAAAATCGAACTCTCCTGATTGTCTTGGAACCTTGATTACTCAAACCTTTTAACCGGCTACCGCCACGCTCAATGACAGTTAACCCATCGCAATTGCATTACGGACATCGCCGGCCAAAAAGAAAACCCTATTAACCTTTGCAACTCCCGATGTTAACTAGAAACGGCGGGGGGTACTGATACTTGGGCACTGGGCATTGGGCACTGGGCACTTCCTCATCCTCATATCATCCTGCTGTTGCTGTTGCTGTTGCTGCTGCTGCGATTGGTGTTGCTTTTATTGCAGCTGCCTTCGACTGAAACTCCGGTCGCACTTTGCACAATTTACGTGCACATAAATTACCATTAATTAAATATTTCTGCGCTAATGCCGTCCGAGCGGCGAGTGGCCTCCCTTTCCCGGTAATGACAGCGACTTTTGGTCATTTCACGGCACGGGGGAACGGGGAAGTGGGCTTCTTTAAACCGACAAGTGACAAAGACACCGGTATCTCAGGATGCACAGAGAAGAAATATGATTTTATGGAAATTGTATTGTAAAATAAGTATACATATAATAATAAGTAAATAAAAAAAAAAACAACTACGATTAATACAACTTTTAAACTGGAATATATAATAACCAGTCTAGTAAGGAAGACTTTTTAGATTCATGTGGTAAATCATTGCAGCATTTTAGTATATTTAAATTATAAATATAAAATAATTTTTTCTCTCCATGTACAACCTTCCACCGATATAGTTAAGGACGTTCATTAGGCTTAATGTAGCGGAGCAGTCGTATAAAGAGGGTTTCCCCGTCCCCTCCCTTTTTGCATATGACAAACGCGCAGGCGCGTGGCCCCAACGAGATTTCAGGCTACCAGCTCCTTGGGGCCTTTAAATTTATGGAATTATGAATAATATTTTAAGAGAGCCCCGAGGGCGGCCACCGGGCATTGAAACCCAAGCCGAGCAGTCGGATTGTCCGGCTGAAAGTCGGCTCCGAGTTGAAGTTGAAGTTGGGTTAGTTCTGCTGGCTGATTGCCCGCGACGGTGACGAATCGATTGATGTCTCGCTTTGAGTTATCACGTCGCTTGTCTTCGGCCGCCTTTAACAAGGCCTTATCCCCCACACTGGAAAAAATATGTATCTGATTGATTTATGATGGCTCATTTAAGCCCAAAAAAATTTAGTTCTTGGAAAATAAAATTGTTTGTGGGGGATAACTAATTATTTTTTCAATTACTTTGATATCTTCATAATTTTAACTTTCTGAACTAACATAAAAAAGTTAAGTTATTTTCTAAGTACAAAAGATAACATTTGTATATTTTTTTTACTTTCTAATTAGGTTTCAATTTAAAATAACTTCGACTTTTTTTTTTTTTGAGGTTTTTTAGTAAGCAGAATTATTTTTTGGAAAATTACTGTAATTTAATTGACAAGCTGAAAGAAACTGTATAAACAGATTCCTTAATTTTCAATTTTTGAAAAGAAAGTTCTAAATTGATATACTATTTTTTCACTGCACTCATATATACCTACATAGATGCCATATCTGTTCTTGTCGTGCGCTGAATTTTTGATGAAAATCACTTATAATCCCATCAACATTCCCCATCTCGCTCTCCAATTGAAAGTTAATGTCTTGTCTTCAATGGGAGTGGGAGTTTTTGGATCC